AACCAAGACAGTTACTCATGTCCCTGGGACGCGCCGGACTTCAGTGTTCCGGTGTTTTCATGGTTGTGTCTACTGTAGATCCTGGCTTACAGGAGTTGCAGCGGTTTTGGGAGGTTGTGGCGGGCTTGTCCCTTTAAAAAAATTCATCACCATCATCGACACTAGACAACTTACTGTTAGACTACCTATAGAGCTCTTCTACATCATAGAACACAAACCAAGACAAGAAAAAAAGAAAATGGAATGTAAAATATTAAATTACCAAAGAAGGTTTAGACGGCAACACGAACAATTTTCTTAGTGAAAACATTGAGTACCACTGCTCCACCCGGTGGCCGGTGGTAATGAACCTGTGATATTGAAGGTGCCTGAACTCAGATAAACGACGCGATATTACGAAGGTCTTTGCTTGTTCCAACCTGTATAATTAGTCTTACATTGTACTTACAGGCACTTTTACAAGTTAATGTTATATTCAAACTTATATTTTTAGTTGATTTCTAACACCACTCACTTTTCTGTCGGGGCTTAATATTTTACCTGTCATGTTGTTTAAAAGGATAACCTTGAAATATTTTGCTGACCTTCACTTTCAGACTTGGGAAATATTCACGAAATGTGTAAGATTTTTATGTATAGGTACTATTGAGGTGTATGAAGATCGGTGAGCCTGTGTCTGCGCATACAGATGTGTTGTATGAGTGTTTAGATGGATGTATATGTGTGAGTGTCGCAAAGTTACGGCCGGTGTCGCTAGCCGCGTATAAACTGTTTGTGTAAAACAATTATTATAATAAATCATATTTAAAGTGATTAAAACCTGCGTGTTCATTTATGCCCTAACATATTCTAAATTACCTAAAATTTTATCAACGCATCGCTACGCAATCTTAGTCTAAGGGCCGTCCTTCAAAAGCATAAGAGCCGTAAATCTCAGCCGTACTAAGATATCAGGGCAAAATGTAGTCGATGTGTTTCGAGCTCTAAATTCTAAACTCACAAAACTATAGACAGTGCTCCAGATAATTTCGAAGTTCGAAACACTCATCAATTTAATCTACTTCACTTAGGGACCTAAACTTCAAACTGCACAATTTACAGGCACTTAGGTAAATACTGCATGTATTTCCAAAATGTATTTTAAGCCCTTGAACCAGAACAAAGCGGACGTACAAAATGTACTCGACGTGCCCAAATAGCGACTTCAAAGGAAATATTTGCATAGAAATCCAACAGCAATGCAAGAATGCAACACATCATGCAATCACAGACAGTTGCATTTACCTGATAGAAATACAAGGCAGGTCAAGGTTTCTTAAGGAATTATTTTATGACGTTTGTTATGCGCTGAAGAAAGTGCTAAAATATTTATCAAACTATGCACAAGATGCACAAAAACCGTCCAAGAAATGTCTAAAATCATCATTAGTCAAAAGCCGTTTTTTGTACATTTGATGGGCCGACGTATGACCACTATCTTGCCTGGTGATAAACAAAGTTTACTACTGAACAAAAGCTTGTCATATTTATGAAGATTTCACCTTAATAATCAACCAATTCAATGGAAACAATTCATCTCTAAACAGTTTATTCTTTGTATATGTATGTACGTATTTGTATCCATCTAATAGATGCTCTAGCGAGTTTTTTTGTTACTAATTACGCCTTATCTGAGTTCAAATAGGGATAATTTTTGGCTGCATTCAAGGAAAATTTACATTGATAACCGCGGGCAAAAATTAGATTACAATTAAAAAGCAAAACGACATCCATCTATAAATTGGTTGGGTAAGAAAAAAATAAAGGCGATTTTCAAACAAAGAGACAAGAGAGAATTTCATAAAAGAAGCAATAAAGGTTACAAACTGAACTGTTTGCAACCTTTATTACTGTTCAGATAGTTTAGAAACCTTCAAGTATCTGCCAACAAAGTTTGGACCTCAATACTGCCCTCGTCAACTTCCGGATGGATTTTGGCTCAAGTGAACTTGTTTGTTTCCTTTTAAAGTGCTGTTTTGATATGTAACGTCGTTGTTGGTGAAATATCTATACTCTTCTATAAAATATACATAGTTGTCGACACGAGAAGTATGATTATATATCAATCACTACTACACTTTCATTTTTAAATCTGTTACTTTACTGAGTCAAAATCAAAACCTATAATACAGATTTATGAAATTAAATCGATATGAAGTACATTACGGAACGGTCAAGGTCCGTCTTCACAAGAATTATGTTTGCGAATAAAGAGCTTGATTGCAGGTAACGTGGATTGATTGATTGCTGTTGACCAATGACTAGCCGTTTTATCGATAACTTTATTATTAGAACTAAGGGGTTGGCTATAAAGTTTCTTTTGCTTACCTTTTATTGATTTCTTATGAAATTCAAATGTAACGAATACCTCATATGATTATGTACATACATACATAACATCACGCATATATCACCGAAGGCGTACACATTACGGCACCTAATGCCACTGTCGAATGTAGCACCCACTTTTCACTATTAATCTTATGAGTCCCATAGAATAGGGGGTGAGCTTATTGCCATATACCGGGCACAATTCCAGATAAAGCTTTCAGATAAAGCTTCCAAAAAAACATACAGCCGAATTGATAACCTCCTCCTTTTTGGGAAGTCGGCTAAAAATATATAAACGAATATTTCAATGCGAAATTTCCTAAAAAATCATAAAACCCATAAAAAATGTAAACCATAAAATCACACAAAGTCAGGACAAACTGACTACAATTACAAACACAACAAAATATATCACCGAAAATCGAGCAACGAATGATATGTGTATGTACACACACGAGTGTATTGTTTGTGTACATATGTGATTTATGTGCGTAAAAACACACACGACACAGAATAGATATTTACGTGTGTATTCGTTTATTTATCTTGTGTACTTTGTGACGGACATTATTGAGGAACAATATTTATGTAAGTTTATAGAATTGTTTTCAAATCCTGTTTGACTGTTAGGTATTTAGTTTCTGTAGTGCTGTCACTCAGTGAGCTGCGCGACTTCGCCGCGACCGCGCAGGCTGCTCATGAGGAAGAACCCCTCTGTGGTTCGAAACTAGTAGAGTTTTTCTCAGTATATTCACGTGATTACCTAACTCGCGATTTTAGTTAATTTATTTATTTACTAGCTTTTACCTGCGGCTTCGCTCGAGTCACAAAAGGATAAAAGGTAGCCTATGTGACATATACCAATACACACAGCGCCATCTATACCAATACTTTTGTTTTCCCTTGGGAATATCAATTTTTCCGGGATGAAAAGTAATCTATTATTTAATCCGGACTTCTAACTTTACGTCTGCAAAAATTCAAAGCAATCGGTTAAGTAGTTACGGCGTGAAGGCGGAATAAACAAACAAACAAACAAACAAACTCACTTTCCGATTTATAATATTATATATATATATATAGTAAGGATTATTTATAGTTCAGCAGTGGTCAGAAAATTTTCATGATCAGTAGATGTCGCAATGTTGCTAAAATAATATAGTCTAAGACATAGGCAGTGGTGAGGTCACAGTGCATTTACTTTTCGCCTGTATATAAGATACAAGTCCCGTTAGGTAATAGAGTCAAGTCTATTACCACAGAATACTACTATTGCTATAATACACGTACAGACTAGTAACTACCAGACATGTATATTATTACATAAAACACAAGGTAGGTATACTCAAAGACCTATGTCTAATATTTCTATCTTATTTCTTCGCAATAAAGTTGTAAATCGATTAAAGAAATTCGACAATTCGAGGTAGTGTAATATGCTGGTATCTGTACTCAAATAACAAACCACTTAGCTCAGCACCCCCGTCGTCTCTCGCTGTCAGTCAATTAGTACAGTATCCCGTGGCTTGTAAATTAGGCAATTTTATCAAATAAGACTGCCTTATTGGCCGAGTGGTCGCAAGTGCGACTGCCGGGTAAGGGGTCTTGGGTTCGAATACCGGGTCGGGCAAACTATTACTGGGTTAAAAAAATTCTCAGTAGTAGCACGGAGTCTGGAATTGTGTCTGATATATGGCAATAGACTCACCCCCTATTACATAGGACTAATCACATAAATAGTGAAAAGTGGGTGTTACATTGTACAGTGGCATAATGTGCACCTCTACCTACCAAATAAGTAGCAATCGTTAATCTCGTTGTACATACTACTATACTTAATAAAGTTGTGTAGCAGTGTTTTTGTTAAAATACCCTGTCTGCTACACATATTCCACATCGAACTAGATACTATTAGAAATTTCAAAAACAAAACACTCAATAAAACATTACCCAACTTCTTTATTTTCGTTCTAAGAAATATCTATCAATATTCTTATTTTATTCTTATATTATTTTTCTTTCTTTCTTCTATCCCTGACCATTGGAACATGTAAAATAGTCGATGAATATCAAAATGAAACCAATTTCCATACGATTTCCGCGAAGCGACAACCCTTTATCGAACGCCCATATAACCGACAGCATTGAGAGTTCGATGCACACAGCAAACACTTATTATGTAAACAAACCAATAGCCGATATTTATTGCCACAGGAAAAAAGTTATTTAAGTTCGTAACCAATTTATTCTGACCCCTGGAAAACTACTGGCGACCCTTAATCTGGAAAAGTTTAAAGGGTTAACGCGGGGCAGGGAGGTCGTTTAGTTTTGGTTACCAGTGGTCTGCACGACAATAACACTGGTCGAAGATATAGTTCGAATAGAATGAGAACTACGTTTTTATTTAAAAAAAGAATTTCTTCTCATTCAAAGATTGGAATCATGCTAGTTTAGTTTTATTCAAAAGGAGACAGTATTGTTTTACATAAAAATAGTACCTAAAGTACGTATTTTACTAATTTAAGTAGTTCATTAATTGTACTGTAGTCGTTCTGGAATACACATAGCCTATTACGCGAACTGCGTACACTTTTCCACAATATAACTATTTGTATACACCCAAGTCGTATCTAGTTTTCCACGATCGTGGTATAACCGCGGTGGTTACCGAGGGTGGCACGTGGCCAGCGGTCAGTATTCGCCCCGCGGCCGGCCAGTGCACGCCATGGGACACTACTGACCACTACAAACATGACGGACGACATACCAGGTGAATGTGTTCCTATTTTGAAAATTAAATCGACGCCATCATTGTTTTTGATTGCCGCGAATCCTGGCTGTTTTGTGGATACTGTGCGGTCATAGATTTTTTTTTTTATTTGTGTTTTTGGCCAGGGTTGGTTGTTTTGAAGTAAGTTCGCCTTTTTAGTTTTGGTTCATAAAAAAATATCCTCTATGTCTACAGTGGGGTGTTTTAATTAATTTCAAGCTTATACAGCATTTTCGTAATTTGCACATTTCTTTCTACGATTGCACATTATCTTGTAAAATGAGCCCTTTGCCAAGTAGATTTCGCTCCTCTTCGTACAAATAGTCTGATTGTATCTTAAGTATACTTATTAGTTATTCTCTCCCAACAAAGTACCGTCTAGTGAGCACACTGGACACAAATCGAATTTATGAAACATTACAATAAAATTGTTTGCACTTTACTAAAATCTTACCACCATCGTTCTGTTTTCAAATTCATGCACTATCATGTTCCTGTTATTCATCATCTGTACACTTAACCCTTTGAGTACCGTCATTATAGACACAATTTAAGAACAATAAGTTGCGGTCACCGGTGTCCTCGTGGTGTTTGACAGTTTAATGAATTTACAATAAGTCACTTAATTGCAATAAGTGCTTTAACTTAGTGAATGACAATTTCGGAATTTAAGTACTTATATTGAGTATTTTTGAACTTTACAGCTGGTTACAGAACAGTTTTTCCCTAATAGAGTTAACTTGATAGTAAAATTTACCTAACTTTACGTCAATCATATTAGCGTGTTTTTATTACAACCCACGTTAAATTTTTACGATCCTTTCCTACTTTAAAGTGTATATTTTATTCACAAGTGTTAATGCCCTTTTACCTACTTAGGCAATCAGCGCGGTATTAAAATGTCGTCTAAGAATTCTGTTTACTGTTCAAGGCTCAAACCTAATTTTCTAGTGGTCGAATATTTTAGTATGTACCGGTCGAATGACGTGCCTTAGCATATAATTACTGAATAATTTTCATTGGTCCTGCATGTTTTTATTTAACTACATGTGTAGCGATTTCTCTGTATCGATTTAAATTATTTACTAGGTCAATGTATTGTGCTAGTGAGTTGAGTTAATTTTAATGTGTGTATGTGTGTGTGTTACACATATTTGTGAGTTTATTGTTTTGGAGTTTTCCGTTTTCCATTTAGATAACTGTTGGCAGCTTTTAAATTGTAATGTAGGTTGTTTAACAACTATTTTTGTAGGCAATAGATACTTTTTGTTTGTAAACTATTGTTTTAGTGCACTGATCTCTTGAGAAGACAGTTCAGTTGTAGTTAGACTGTTAATATTTTATCTCATTTATACAATATACATAATACAATGGCGGACTTAATACCTAGTGGCATTCTCTAACAGTCAACCTTAATATGCAGAGACACAATAGTACGTGTAAAAGTTTAACATTGTTCTGAGTTTTTTGTATATTATATTTGATCTGGTCAAACAATGTCACTTATTTAGTAAAACCTTACTAAACCTAACGTCACTTTTACTAATCCTGACCTTATTTCATAAAAACATAACTCATGTTATAAAAAGCTGTAATAGTTTTCCGTACGTTGCCATGCCACGCCTGCCATGTAAAGTAATGCAGTGAGGTTGACGGTGGAACACTGTGTAATTACCATAAAATAATAAAAGTACTGAATAACGTGACGTTAACCGACGTTGCATGTACGCACTGGTGCACTGCACTCTGTTGTATTTACATACACAACTACTATATTTTCCACTATCTATGCTAGTATCTGCTGTTGAATATTAGCCTGCAGACTGCCTCGTTGGTCGAGTGGTTGTAAGTGCTGACTGCCGGGCAAGGTCTCGGGTTCGATTCAAGGGTCGGGCAAAGTATTACTGGGTTTTTAAAATTCTCAGTAGTAGCATGGAGTCTAGAATTGTGCCCGGTATATGGCAATAGGCTCACCCATATTACATGGGGCGCATAACATAAAGTGAAAATTCGGTGTTACATTGTACAGTGGCATTAAGTGCCGTAATGTGCACCTCTGCCTACCCCTTCAGGGATAAAAGGCGTTATGTTATGTTATGAATATTAGCCTAACAATTCATAGTGAGCCTACTGTATCTTAAGTGCGAGTTAAAGCCCGATAAAGTAAGTGGAAAATGCTCCATGATGATGTTACGTTTCGAATTATGCTCAGTGATTGGTTAATATGCACCTTTGTCATATTTGGAACATAAAAAGCGAAAAGTTATATACATACGACTCTTACGAGAAGTCCTACGTATATTTTCGTGAAATCAAAAGTGTGATGCGATGCCATGTTGTCTTATCTCCGGTATATCATCTTACAACTATCATTAGGCTACAATACATTAGTAACTTAAAATACTATCCCACTTTTAATTATTTATTTAAACTTTAATGTACACAGAAACAAGTAATGGTACATAAGGCGGACAATAATACCATATGGCATCTCCCAGTCAACCTTAGGGTTAAATAAGAAATCGGCGAAAAAATAGGCATGTGTAATTATAAGAAACAAATAACATAAATAGACTTTATACTTATATAGTATAAATATAGATACTAAAAATGTTTAAAATGTACTCTACAATATTTTTAGTTACTCACGGAAAACGAACGTTGATCCCTAACTGCAGACGCCATAAAGATATTCAGGTATCAGCAGCATTGACAACATCAAACCACTTATTCCACAAACTATGATAAAAGTAAAAGATAATTTACTTTGCCACAAAGAGCAATGGCCGTTATCAGGTCTACAAAACCCTTTATAATACCTCTTTCATGTAATTCTAGCTTTCTATGGCTTAACAGTCAGGCTATGTTCAAGGCTCACGAAATCCTAAATCTGATAAGCTTAATGACTTGGCCAGGCTATCAAGTAAGTGTTTTATTGGAAGGCCAAAATTTACATAAACGTTAATACTTTAGCTATTTGTAACAATGGCTAAAGATTAAATTGACTGATGCCTGTTCACTTACCTATCGATACGTATAAAAATTATGTCTGAATTTCATCAATCATAATATTATATCGCATATAATTTTTCAGGTTATTTTTGTTCATGATCGGTTTTAACGAAAGCAAAATCGCTGGATTAAGCTACTGTAAAATAAATTGTTCGACATTGACTCTCAAATCGGGTCGCCTTTATATCGGAATCGCTGTACGGAAACGGTCTACGTTATAAATATTATTATGGTACCTCCTCTCGAATCGAATCGGATCTTCGTATGACACCTATAATCACACAACATACAACCTACCACACATCAAGTTTAAATTATTGACATTTTAGGTAAACAGTGCCACTATACATGTATTATACATATTATAAACAGTCGACACCCAACTACAATGTATGACTTGCGTCATAACCTAACAAAAGCACAAATCCTGCAATCAAATGTAAGGACCCAAGGACAGCGGATGTTACGTGACTGCTGACCTATTGTTAATGGCCCTTATACTTTTAGTTTCGATAGCAGACCCCTGCTAAAGTACTACATCATTTGCCTAGGCGTGACGTCATTCAACATGATTTATACGCAACTGTTTCTAATAATAGCGACGCCATTTTCTTTTTGTTTTTTTGCTAAATCTTTGTTTTATCCTGATTACTTTAGAATAGAAAGAAAAACGTTTTTTATGAGATAAGCCGGTAAACGAGCAGACGGATCACCTGATGGTAAGCAATCGGCGTCGCCCATTGACACCTGAAACACCAGAGGCGTTACAAGTGCGTTACCAGCCTTCTAGATTAGGAAATTGAGAATTGTTGGGGATTCAGGGATTGGGGAAAGGGAGGGGGGGGGGGGTAATTGGGCCTCCGGTAACCTCACTCACAGGACGAAACACAACACAACGTTGCTTCACGTCGGTCCTCTGTGAGGCCGTGGTATCACTCCGGTCGAGCCGGCCCATTCATGTCGAAGCATGGCTCTTCCACACTTGAAAAATGTATTTGTCAGAATGTAGTTAATAGGTGTTTTATATTACACTTATTTTCTTATATATGTATTTATGTAGTATTCTACAACAATGTTTTTGTAATCTTTGTTATCGAGAAATTCTTTTGTTGCGTAGTTGCACTTATAAAAACCGAAACTTAAATAATTTTGTTCTGAATTATGAAAATTTGTTGTTAGAATTATTGTCATAGATATAATAAATTATATTTGTATGGTTATTGTAAATACATAGGTATTTCTACTGAGGTATCTGGTTTGATCCAAGTATTGTTAGATTTATATTATTTTGCGATTCTCATTCGCAAAGAGAAAGTAACACTACCTCGGACATATCTGAAATGTGTTTGATAATTGAATAAAAATAAAAAATATATCAGTTTATTTATGTTCTCAAATAGAAAGAATTAAATTATAATAAAAGTCTTAAAGTGTTTTGAAAAATATTACTACAAGTAAAAGTACATTCTATTACCGTAACTAAATATTAATTTTTCAGGTCACTGTAAAATGGTATTTCTACGCCTAATAATTATGTATTTATTCAATCAACTGACCACAAGAATCAAATATTGATATTGACCTGAACTTTGACCTATTTTTTCTAATAAACTTTCGAGGTTAAGAGGCGTGATTATAGTGTTTACCTTATTTAAAAAAATATTAGTCATATTGATGTGAAATCAGAGGCCTTATAGTATGAGACGATGTTCGGGGTTCTGATTGGTTGTTTTTTTTGAGCCGGACAATCAGAGTGCCGAGCGTATACTCGCTTCGAATATTTTAAACGTAAAACAAGTCGTACTAAGCCCTCAAATAGATTTAGTGTCGTTTTAAAGACGTTTGTCAAAATTATATTATTTTTGCATACTGTAAACATAAATCTTGTTTGTAAGTTTGTTACCCTTTTACTCAAAAATTACTGAACGGATTTAGATAAAATATCATATACAGATTGACCATCTTTTTACCTGGCATTCAAAGAACTTGTATGTGTAGCATAGTTTAGTTTAAAATATTATTGACGTGTTTAAATGCAATGTTGCAGTCAATTAGCAAAATAAAGCAACGATCAATTAAAAGTTTTCAACAAGTGGTAATTTCTACGATTGTAATCTATATTTGCAAATGCATACATCAAGTCGGGAGTGCCTTTTCATAAAACCTTGCACCTTCGCTCATACTATACTTAGGTCAATGTGACGTATGCACCATATGTGAATATCACACGGTTACCGCACGAAAATAGTATCATAAATACGTAACTATAGTGTATTTTTTACAAAGGGAAAATATAGTTTTAATCCGGTTAAAAATGAATCTTATTTACATATTACGAGAGTCTAAAGTTTATCTGTTTTTTACAATAAACAAAAAATATTTCTTTTAAGGGATAGCGAGTAATAATAAAGTGAGTTAACTTGATAACGCCTTAGGTATATATAATTGACATAACTACGTAGCTACGCTGTTCGTAGCACGGTGCTACGAGATGCGTAGCAAGTTTATATTCAACTAGATGAATTTGAATGAAAACAATACATATTATGTACCTGTAACTAAATGTATATTTACTTCTTTATTACTAACTAGCTATAACCCGTGACTTCGTCCGCGTAAAATATTGACTTCTCGTAGAAATTGGGGTTTTGAATTACTCTTTACCAAGGTATATTCTACGGCTGTAGGACTGTGACAAATGTCATCAGAATTGATTCAATACTTAGGTTATATTCTTATTGATAATTAGCAAACCCAGCGAACTCCGTTTCGCCACCAGATGGCTTCGGTTTATGTAACATATCATTAAAAATAAAAAAATGAATTTTTTTTCGTACATTTTCGTTGTTATAAACCTCACGGAGCCCTTTCCAACGAATGCAAAACTGTGGAAATCGGTTCGTGCGTTCTGGAGTTATAGCGTCAGGAAGGAAAACCCGACTTATTTTTATATAGTAGATATTATAAATAGGAACGTTGCATTGTTTGACCAGTTTATTTTTCAAGGAGTATAGACTGATTTTCGTATTTCCATAAGACTGTGATCTAAATCAAAAGTTGGAGCTGTACGTGAAATAAATACATAATAGAAACTAACAATAAAATCTATGTTCCACAGAAACGGGTGCAGTGTTCACATTCGGCAAGTCTCACTTCGCGGAGAATGAGCCGAGCCACTTCTTCATCAAGAACGACCCTATAGTCGCCATCTCCTGTGGAGACGAGCATAGCGCTGTAATATGCCGTAAGTATTTTATCTATTCATTTCAATTAACCCTTTGAGTACCGTCATTATAGACACAATTGAAGAACAATAGGTTGCGGTCACCGGTGTCCTCGCGGTGTTTGACAGTTTAACCCGTCAAACGCCGCGTGTAGGTCATTGGTAACAGATGTAAAGAAGCTTTTACCTTGAAGGCTAAAACACAAAAAGAAAAAACGTTTCGTTATTCTACAAAGGACTTACACTGGGTGCCGCAAAAAGTAAAAAAATCGTAAGACTCTTTTTTATACCTATCCAAAAAAACGTTGCCGCACACTAAGATTTTCTCCTGTATCGTGGGTGCGTTTACAAACATACAAGTTCACATACACATGATACCCAGACCCGGAACAACAATCTGTGGATCATACAAAGAGTTGTTCCGTGCGGGAATCAAACCCGCGGCACGTTGCACGGCAGCCAGTTGCCTTGCCACCACGCCAACCGTGCAGTCACATAATTCATGTATAAAAGATATTAGTGTACGGCTATATAAGAATTTAAAATATTATCTATTGTAAGAAACGTATCTACTAAATTCAGTAAAAAAATAATAACTTAACCAGTACTGGTATTTTTATTTACCCGTGTTGTTCGGCATTGCGTGTACTAGCCCAATTCTAAACAAAGTTGTCGATCTTAATGACCACTGGTCAAGAGTCATGATGCCTACAGTATCAATTATCAGGTTCTAAGGTCTAGCTAGCGTGCCAATGTCAGACCAAATGTCGTAAAAGTAGCTGTGCGAAATAAAAGTATATTTATAACAATTCAAAGAAAAACATTTTTTTAAAATCTTCTAGCTTCTACACAGGTGACGCCGCAAGTGGAAAACTAGTCGTTAATAAAAGTAGAACAATAAAAAAACAAAAATACGAAATTTAAAAGTTTGTTCCATATTTAAAAATATTTTCTTTTTTTTCTAGAAAATGGCCGCGTATTCGTGTTTGGCGGGAACGCGTGGGGACAACTAGGCCTGGGACATAAGGACGAAGTGACAAGACCGAGTTGTGTAAAATGGCTGAAGCCTCACAGAGCTCTCTTCGTGGCCTGTGGAAGAGCACATACTGTTTTCGTCACCGGTAACTGACTTACATCACTATTATAAGGGCTATATTTAAGGTGAAGGAATAAAACATATGGCAAACGTAATTTGGAAATGTGTGAAGTCTGACGTGACGTAATTAATGCATGCTCATAAGAGGCCATTACCTAGTCATAGTTACTACTACTTCTATAAAATGAAATGTAAATAATTAAATAACTTACAGTATTAATACCACCCGTATATCTATGTATATGTATAGTAAGTAACTACACTTCTCTAGAGGACCGACTAACTAATATTATTTTTTATTATTTCAATATTTTGTTTTGACGTTCAAAAGTTCCTTCCTGGTCTAATTAAAATAAATGATTTTGACTTTTTCTTTAAGTATATAACCTAACTTTAAATATTTATACCAACCAGACTCGAACGCGATCTACACAGTGGGCTGTAATGATGAAGGTCAGCTGGGTACAGGGGACTTGGAGCACCACACAGTGCCTCAGTTCGTGGAGCTGGAAGGAGAGACCGGCCCTATCAAACAGGTGTCGGCTGGGAGCAACCACACTGCTATTCTTACTGGTAAATAAAATTACTAGGTATCCATGTTATACGTTAACGCAATCGACTTGTTTATGGCGTTCAACGCTCAGATTGGCCAGCTTCAATTTAACCAACCAATCGGAGAGCTTCGCGGTAAATTTATATGGATCGTTAACGTAAAAAAAACTATAGACGCACTAGACCTCTGTATTGTGGTAAACAAAATTACTAGCTGTGTCTGCAGCTACTAGCTACTAGCTGTGTAGCAAATCACTTCATAATAATATTGCCATTTTCTATGTGAAACTAAAAGTAATATTATTCTAATTATGAAAAGTTTTAGGACATGGTGTGGTTTTCTTCATAATTAATCATCACTAGATTTAGATACTAAATGTTAAGCAAATAAACTAATTATAAATAATAATAATGTAATTTTTAATAAGCTGGTGACACCCCTAAAATTTATAACGCCTGAAAAAGGCCGTTAAGCTGTGCCTGTTATTTCATAAGACCTGTATGTATTACCTTAACATGCAAATAAAGAGTTTGAGTTTGAGTTTGATACTTAAATTCAAATATCTAGAATTAGAATAAGGACTGAACATGTTGTTTAATTTCAAAGTAATGTTTTATATTATTTACTTAAATAAAATAATATTTCTCCAAATGACCAGCTTACATGTGTGGAAATTAATAGTATGTAGATTTTTCCTAAATCAATTAACAAAAGGTCATTCTTCCCCTTATGGGTTATTCTCACGGACGTGTTCTTGGCCTAATTACAGCAGCCTGTTTACTTTCCTAATTGTAATTGCAGTTAGAGAAGAAATAAAAACTAGAAATGCGCCGACTACGTGGGAATAGCCTCTAATTATATGGGACTTTTAACATAACCTTTGGACTTCATTAATATGATTAATACCTTTTGTATATTGCGAACGAACGAGCGAGAAGACTCTCAACTTTTACTCATTTCTGCTCCAACCAAAACTTTGCCTGGCACAAAATGCATACTACATTAAATCCACCTACGTACCTACCTATTCTCATAGCGTCATGGTGGCCCGGAGGTTTAAGAAGCCCGCTTCTCATGCATGAGGGTGCGAGTTCGAAACCTACCAATGGCAAGCACCAATGTGACTTTTCCGTGCTATATGTACTTTCTAAGATTATCTAGACACTACTGACAAACGGTGAAGGAAAACATCGTGAGGAAACCTAGGTTTATAATTCCTAATTGTAAGGTTGTAATCGTCAACCCGCATTGAGCAAGTGTGGAGATTAACCCGTCGAGCGTCCTTATGAGCATCCGGTGGATCATAAGAAAAATGCTCCAAATGTCACGTGTTCACCCGTTGGATCATAAGGAACGCGGACGCTCGACGGGTTTAGCTCAAACCTTCTCCGTGTGAGAAGAGGCTTTGCTTAGTAGTGGGCATTTATAGGCTGTTAATGATGATGATGACCTACCTATTCATTCATTCATTCATCATCAGCTGGCAGACGTCCACTGCTGAAACAAGGCCTCTTTTTGTCCTCGTCGGCTCCCCGCGACTCTGACACTGTAATCGGTCCACCTGGCTACTCATTTCATAAAAACATATCTTCTCATTGTCTAATTCTCTTCTTACCAGATGACGGGCGTGTGTTCGTGTGTGGCTCCAATACTGAAGGACAGCTCGGCCTGGGTGAGGACACGCGCTCCTGCGTCAAGTTCACTGAACTCAAGTTCATGGAGAAGATCGCCTTCGTCGAGTGCGGATATTATCACACTGTGTTTATTACTGGTTAGATTTTTTTATATATGTTTATACTCATTTGTGGTACTGGTACTTCAAGATTGTTATCTGTTTATGACACAACATAATTAAGCTATAAATAAGTAATTGCAAATGCACAAGTTCTCGATTTCCCAAATTGAACGAATTGCTTACAGGAGTGTCTAGCCGTATTCCACCGAAGGCCAATAACATCGCTTAACACCAAGTGAAACAATGGCCAAACCAAAAAACTATTTCTGATATAAAAAAAATATTAAATCACAAAAAATGCGTTGCTCGGCCCATTGTTTACAGAAATAACGTCGTCGATTAAAATTGTATAGGTCAAAGAAATGTACAATTTAAGACACTAATATTTAAAACCTACAAAAATAACCTTAAATATAAAGCATATTCATGTCACCTAAAGCACATTCATGGTTTCGTAACACCATACCAAACGCCATGTGTGTAAAACATATACAATGAATATGTACGTATAATTACAACCAGTCATTTAAACAATAGGTAGATTGATGGCCTTTATAAATTAAACTTGTCACGCAATCATAGCCGGTAACATAATAATATTCAACCTCGTAGGCCTCGTAGGCCGTAGTCGATCAATCTATGCCGTAGCAATTTGCTACGAACTCGTCAATGCTACGCGGTCATCAGTGCTACGAATATTCATGACTGTACGCTGTTTTGTTGTTGTTTGTGAATGATGTAGTGATTTTATGCCGTAGCCGTTTAGCAAATAATGCATAATGATAATTTTTAAAACTCATAGCACATTAGTACGAACGTGTTGCGTATAATAATAAAAATTAACCTCTTGACTTAACTGCCGGTATACATATATCAGATACAATAAAAATACATTATGACTCTACAGAGTCATCATTAATAAAATATTCAACAAGACATTTATTTCTCATTGTTTACTCCAACAGCCAAAGGCGCAGTGTTCGTAACAGGAGATAATGAGAACCAAAAACTTGGAATACCAGACAAGCCCTCCACGGTATATGTACCCGAAGTATTACCTCTTACCCTACCAATCAAGAGTGCATGTTGCGGTGCAGCCCATACATTCTTACTCTCCATGGACGAAAGCAAGATCCTGGCCTTCGGGTCCAACGAAAAAGGTCAACTTGGCCTTCCCAAAGAGGTGGAACACGTCACAGAACCCACTGAAATAGATATGGAGAAGATGTTTGATGGATACCAACTGAAGCTAGTCGCGTGTGGAGCGATGCACACTGCATTTGTCACAGGTAGTATTGATTTTATTAAAAAATGTATTTGTGTGGTTCAGTTCAGTTTTGTAGTTTATCAAGCCGCGATGTAAGCAGATTGGTAAAGGGTGTGTTTCAAAGTTCGAGTCTAGTTCAAAATTAGTGTGTGTATCTTTTTAAAGCGGTGTTTAAAAAAAAATATGCATTTCTTTCTCTATTTCCCTTGCTGGGTCTTAGATAAATACTCTCATCAACGAGGCGACAATGCTCAGCTACTCATCCAATATAAAGTAGTCGAGTGTCAAGTACAATTCAACCTGAGACCTTTTCGTAAACACAACTGCGTACGTACGTATTATTATTTACTTACACAATATTTGTTCATAACTAAATGCTAAGTGAATATTTAGGAAATGACACACATTTCATTTATTTGAAAGCGTCGTTCCAATTCATCAAAAGCGGACATTTTTACTGACATACATTCGATATCTAATGTAATTGGCTCATTTTCATTGTCACGTCAACACAAATAGTGTCTAAATTGCCCTCGGCGGGGCGGTATGATCAGTATTCGATTACCATTTGTCGTCGCTGGTCGTATTAAACTTCGGTTTCGTTACAGACAACGGATTGCTTTACGCCTGCGGTGAGTCCCGGCACAATAAACTGTGTTTGGAAGAAATTGACGATGCCGGCAACGCAAACGAGGCAGGCGCCAATCAATACACACCTAAGCGGGTCACTGCTATGAATGGGCACATAGTAGACAATGTGGCCTGCGGGGGCTGCCATACGTTACTGACTGCCACCAAAGGCTCTAACGCGGACTTCACTAACAACGACTTCAATCTAGTCAACGAACAAACCAGACAGATCTCTTTAACCGAACTTCCACCGCTACAGAAGGTACCAGCCATGAATAAATCCGAAGAACACTCGCATGTAATCGAGGACATCACGAACTCCAACATTGACGTGCATAACACCGATAACGTGAATGGAAATGTGAACGAAGAGACCGGATCGATAGATTCATTAGAGGCCAACGTCAGCGGCTCCCACATAGTAAACATAAACGACCTTGAGAACGAAAACGGAAGCACGCATGACGCGCCCGACGTAAACACTCAACCGATTGATGGAGAAACCAAAGTCATGGAGGTCATGGAGAGTATGGACACTATGGCTGATAAGGCGGAAAGTAAAGTTGAAGAAATTGTTACAAGTGTTACAGACAAAGTTAATGAGAAAGTGGAAATAGTTGAAGAGTTTGTGAAAAAAGCGGCGGTAGTGCCTCCTGTGATACACGATGAAGCGAAGAAAATACTGGACATTCCTGACAAAATGACAGAGGTAGCAAATTCACCTCCACCAAAGACGCCGATATTACCGGAACTGTTACACATTCCTGACTTGAGTCAAATAAGTCCGGTGCTTAGTAAACACAGTGATGATGGGCAAAAAAGTGAGGCGGGGCAATCAGAGAACGAAACCATTCCATGTGGGTCAGACAAATCTAGTCCACAAACAGGCAAGACAAAGACACAAGCTGTGATGCCTATTGTTAGGAGTGAAGATCACATCGACGGCGTTGAAGATGGGGAGCATAATGAAGAAGGTGACGTTGTAGTAAACAAATCTCCGGAGAAAGGACGCTTCGCACGCATGTTCCAGACGATCAGAGATAAAGAACACTCGTGTATGGGCAAAGGGAAAGTTATTGAAGAAAAAGTTGTTGGTAAGTTTTTGTTGTTTTCGTCACGTGATGTTGTTTACGAAGCTTGAATGTTGGGGATGATTTATTATTACGAGACGACTCTAAGTATTTCACGGGGATAGAACATAAACGAGAATGTAATACGTAGAAAAGTGACAACAATATGTTTGTGACATGTGTATATTTTCTCATAACATCACATCTTTTATTCCTCAAAGAAGTAAACAGTAGTGCATATATTCAATTGAACTCCAACTGTTCTCCAGTTTTAAGCTCCGTGTAATAAGTAGCGAGCCTATTACGATACATCGAATACAAATTGAAACCCCATGCTGTTATTAGAAAGTTTATTTTTAATTGAACCATTTCCTTGACGAGTGAGGCAGCCAAATTATCACAGTATTCATATTTTTTCAGAGAACGTCCACAAAGGCATCGACACAGCTGAGGACAGCATCCATAAGGTTGAGGAAACCATTGAGACAGAAATCAGGAACCAAACCAACTCCAGAACGTGCACGATACTATAATTGTTTCCATCTTCTCCTACATTTAGCTTAAATAAAACCTTTGTATTATTGCTACTTGTTTACTTTTTATTCTGTTATTTAAAAAGTATTTTAAAACGTTACGTGTATCAAAGTACTGGATTAGTTACTTCGATTTTTAGAGTAGAAACTGCGACTAGGTAAACGTAATGTAGGCGTCCTCCCTTCCAGCTTGGTGAAGTAACAGGACATTCCCAAGCTAGCTGGCAGTGGTTACATACAAAAAGGCCGTTGAAGAGGCTTGGTATCGAACGAGGAACGGAAACGAACTGATAAGAGTGTCTAATATAGTAACCACGGTAAAAAACTTACAAAACATTTTGATTAAAAAATATTTATTTGTGTTATCACTTAGATTATACAAAGTACAAATATTAAACTGTCAAACACCAAGTGGTCACCGGTGACCGCAACCTATTGTTCTTTAATTGTGTCTATAAATACGGTACTCGACGAGTTAAGTATATTATCACAGAAATACTCTACATAATAATGTACTTCACCAATAGGTACTCAACTATTCGTACGAGTGAATAGGAAATTCATTGTATTATGAGGTTGACATGGATATTCCACAAGTCAAATTAATGGGCAATTTTTAATCATCAGTTCCTAACTGTAGTACCTATAAAATGGACATTTGACAGTTTTTAGTACGAAAGAATTGTCATATATATATTAGTTGTTGTTCAGTTAATCGGCCCTTAATCAAGCAAGACCGTAATGTAATATAATACATTGATTTACCTATTCCCTCATTCAAATTACTGATCTAAATCGAAAATCTTCATAGACCACGGCACCCACTTACCATCAGATGGGCCGTGTACTTGTCTTGGCGCCATCTGTGGTTTAAAAGAAAATTCTAGAATTCTAGATCGACAGCTATTTAAAAAAAAATTCAAAAGTAATGACGAAAATCGATCTTAATCCACAGATTGTGAATTGAGATTGGTTATAAATTTCGGCCATATTTGCTGCCTATGGTCGTACCTACATCTGACGAATACGTGACTCATAAGTCATAAGTAACTCACAAAAGGCGGATGCGTCAAATCAATCACTACAATATAATCCAATTGAGATCCTTTGTAGAGGTGGTTAAATATTAAATGTCTTAGATGACTAAATAACAAACCTTTTTGAGTACCTACCTATACTAAACTTACTAGGTATAGTTATACAGATTATACACGCATACAACAGACGTAAAATTACATTTTAACTTAATGTAATATGTACACACGGCCACACATCAATCTATACAAAACCAGTTTATCCTGGTGTCGCGTCGCATCATCTTTCCGCGCATTTAACGTTCAGTTTATACTGGTTATGTAAAGCTCGATGTGTAGCCGTGTGTACCAGTCAAAATCAACATCTTTACAAACATCACAACTAAAATGCTTATAAAACTGAAATCAGTACATAGTAGTCAAAAGTAAAAAGAAATTAAAAAAACTCAATCACAACTTTTGCATTTTTGAAATACAAAACAATAATTATGTTAACTAAAAACCGCGGGTTGCTCACGTGAATATACTGAGAAACAGCCTACTAAACAATAATTACAAATTAACAATACTTAGATTACAAACTTGAGTTGGCTACGCGACATCGCCGCGACCGCGCACGCTGCTCACCCGTCTGTGGTTCGAAACTAGTAGAGCCTTTCTCAGTATATTCACCTGAGCAACCCGCGGTTTTTAGTTAATCTAGTATGTCTCACGATAGTTATAAAAATTATAAAATTATGTTCTTTAATAAAAAAAAAGACTGATTGTCCATTCCTTTCATGTCATAATATCAAAATAAAATAAAGACAAATAAAAATCGCATTTATAAGGCGATATTTCACAACACACGTTAAACATGCAATTCAATAACATTATAATATTAATAATAAAGATTTATCTATCTAATTACATAGAGTACATAGACTTAGAAGAATTGTGCTTATAATAATTGAACTTGTAGGGTATCTTAAACTGCTTTCTTAATTTCCGACCCACCTCAAGAACTGGATCAGAATCGTTAGTCTTCATCCAAACAGCTGCGAAAAAGTACCATTGTAACATTATTGTAAAGATCTGTATCTAGTGATAGACGCATCTAGTATATGATAGTAGACTTTATGGTTTAGTGATAAAGTCTTAAAATCTAATAAGACGGTGCATAAATAATGTATTTTTATACTCACAGATTTTATTCTTATCTCGAACATTAACGACCACGCCGCATATATCGTCAGTGTGCTCCAAGGTAGCTCCAATTAGGATTAACACCTGTAAGTTAAGAAGATAATTGTTCATTAGAATGCATCCTGTTTATATGACTCTTCTACACAATTGTTTGGTATAATCCACGCTTGGCAGGCGGTTCCGACCTACAATTTCTGTTAAAAATGTCGTCTTGAGGTACTGAGGTATGTTGGATTACCTCTACCTCAGTACTATGGAAGTATGAACTATGGAACTGAAACGTGGTCTCTCACTGTCTCACTCTCAAGGTCGCTCAGCGCGCTATGGAAAGGGCTATGCTTGGGGTATCATTGCGAGATCGGATAAAAAACGAGGAAATCCGCAAACGAACAAAGGTCACCGACATAGCCCAGCCCATGACGAGAACCTCGTGAAAGCTGAGAAAGATAAACAAATAAAACATCTAGACATTGTGCCGATAGTCGTGTCGGCCAATGGGTTAATACTTAACAGCCTCGACAACCACCTTTGGAGGCTAGCGCTAGGCGGATGTTTAAAGGGCCTCATACAGAAGTCACTTCTCCGTGAAACGGCACGTATCTTGAGGAAGCTTCTGTCTCTGGAGTAACCACCGGTAGCTTGGACCATAGCACCATGCTCCCGCTACTGGCTCGGCTCCTATCTTATATATAAAAATGGATCGCTGTTCGTTAGTCTCGCTAAAACTCGAGAACGGCTGAAACGATTTGGCTAATTTTGGTCTTGAAATGTTCATGGAAGCCCAGGGAAGGTTTGAAAGGTGAAAAAAAAATTTTAGGCGGTACGAAGTTTGCCAGGTCCGCTAGTTTTTATATATATTTTTTTAAGTATTATTTAAAAATGTAATTTTAGAGATTTTTAAATAAATAAATGTAATAAAATTCAGAAGACAGAATCACTCCTTCTACGAAGCATTTTTGATAACAGCTTAGTTTGTACCGTTGATAAGCTAGTACTTCTTCATTAGCCTTACTAGACCCTGAAGGGTTCACTTCAACAATTAGATAACCGTATTTGTTGTGTTCATTGCAAAATAAACTGATTGAAGTACCTGCCTTCACTTAACTCTTTGAGTACCGTAATTATAGACACAATTAAAGAACAATAGGTTGCGGTCACCGATGTCCTCGCGGTGTTTGACAGTTTAATAAGTTAATACCATAATACTTATACTTATTAGTCATGTAATAGCTAGATATGTGCCTACTTTAAATAAGAAGCGCGTTCCCATAAGCTTGACTGCACGGTTGCCTGTTGCAAGCCTGGCTGCCGCGCTACGTGTCGCGGGTTCGATTCCCGCACATAACAAGGCTTTGTGTGGTCCACAGATTGTTGTTCCGGGTCTTAGTGTCATGTGTATGTAAACTTGTATATTTGTAAACGCAGCCACGACATAGGTGAAAATGCTAGTGTGGGGGAACGTTTAAAAAAAAGCCAACGCAAATAAAAACAACCTATATAGGTCTAAAATAATAAATACGCTACTTACCCGAGTAATCATAAATTATTTTATTAAAGATGATGCTATTTGCAACGCCCAATTTGCTTTTTTTCAGTGCAATTTGGTTTCACACAACGCAGGAAATATTACTTGTAGATAAGAGAAAATATAAAGAAAGGTAAGTTCACAATGTATGTCCTACCGTATCTGCCCAGATGCTATCCATGTGCGCACTCGTCATTCGATCAAGCATGATCAACCAGCGACCCCCTTTCTTGTTATGAGGATCCTCCCACATTGGCTGGATGCCCTTCTTGAAGATCATGTAGTCCTGGCCCAACTTCAGCTCGGAAGGCACCTTCATGTGGTGGTAGAGGCTGCAGAGTGTACACAATGTCAATGTAATGAATGAAGAATGACTTTGAAGAGAATATTGTATTTTCAACCGACTTCAAAAAAAGGACGAGACTTCTCGCCTACCAGTGGTTGTGTAAGATATAAGTACGTTTGACCAATAGTAGTTATTTTTTTACTTTTCGTTTGTTTTTGGTTTTTGAAGTAGGTTTTTTATCTAAGTAATCATTGTCGATATCTGTCTATATATCAATAAAGATAATGGCAAAAAATTTACTGCACGGTTGGTGCGGTGGCTGGGCAACTGGCTGCCGCGCAACGTGTCGCGGGTTCGATTCCCACACGGAGCAACTCTTTGTGTGATCCACAGATTGTTGTTCCGGGACTGTGTGACATGTGTATGTGAACTTGTATGTTTGTAAACGCACCCACGAAACAGGAGAAAATCCTATTGTAGGGCAAGGTTTAAAAAAAAGTCGCCGTATTCAAATCTCTATTGATTGATTGTTAATGAGCAAAAACATTCTTTTATACTAGTGTAAGTAAAGTACATAATTTATGCTGTGCTGTGTGTTGTCTGTAAGTGATTTAATACTTGGTCAAAGAGTTTTTAAAAACATTGTCAAGACGTACCACCAATAATCTTCGACAGTGTTAAAACTGGTCAACTTCTCCAGATTATCCTCCCAATTCTTCTTGTCTCCCATTAACAACCAGAAGGTCCACTCGTCACGCAGCGGGTGCTTCATTCTCTCTGGTAGATCGCTGCTAACTGACTCAATGACGGTCGACGACATTTTTGCAGAAACTGTTTTTCTGAAAGTAATAGTCTACATTTATAGGTATACTAGCTTTTACCCGCGGTTTCGCTCGCGTCACAAAAGGATAAAAAATAGCCTATGCGACATATACCTATACATACAGCGCCATCTATACCAATACTTTTGTTTTCTCTCGGGAATATCAAATTTTTCCGCGTTATAAGTACCCTATTATTTAATCCGGACTTCTAACTTAACGTCTGCAAAAATTCAAAGCAATCGGTTGAGTAGTTACGGCGTGAAGGTGGAACAAACAAACAAACAAACTCACCTTCAGATTTATAATATTAGTAAGGATAGTAAGGATTAGTAAGGATAAGGATAAGAGTTAGCTTAAAGAACTTAAAATACGTTAAGTATGTAGATACCCGATAGATCAGTTTTTTCATCAGTAGGTAGTGATGAAAAAATACCATGTGTATCAATCTAGATTTTGTTTGTTTCTGTGCTAATGCTGTTAGATGTATTGTATAAGGCAATCGATGGAAACAGCAGCTCATTGCAAATCAATATCAACGGATGCAAGTGTCATCCATTGATATATGTATTGTATACATATATTTTATTTCTGTAGTGTCTTCTGACCGAAACATAGGTACCTACCTACTCACTAAAAAAAACTACTTTAGGTAATAAAAGTAAAAGAAAACCTGATTCTTGTAGACTCGTAAAAAAATATCATATATCACAGATATATTGGTCGTCAAGTGCACACGGGGTATCACAAAAGGTGTAACTCTGCTGCAATGCAGAAGTCATTCATTCCTGACGTCATCTTTCTAATCTAATCACTAATGTACCTACTTCTCGAGTTGATACCAATCATGAGCAATACATCGAACGTTCGGGAACATTCTGTCTTTGGACTTTGGAGTTTGTAAACTCGGGGAAGCCCCTAACAATAATTGTTCCAAAGGGATATTGCAAGATCAAATCTCAATCGTTTGTTTGATAAATAAAGATACGAGATAATATTTGCTGGCTGAAATCCGCCAGTTGTGCGCGATACGAGCAAATTACTTTAACTGTTACTCCAAGTCAAAACATCATTCCCAGCCATCGCCTGAGACACTCCGGGTATCGCAGATCGCGGGACGATCTCCGACCACTGTAAGTGCGGGTCTGCGGACATCGAGCTAGGACAGGTTGCCGCCTGGAACCAGATCCGCACGCGCTTCAAAGAGCCATCAGACCACCACAGTTGGGGCTCAGTGGGGCTGATGCTTGATACGGAGCCCCGGAAAGCTTAACGGGTTGCCGGAGCTCCGGCTCGAAGAGCAGAAATAGGAACGGGCTGGTATTTAGTCAGTAAGAGTTTGACACTCCCTCTTACCTGACCCAAGACGGGAGAAGTCATTGGATAATTTTTCCCATCAAAAACAAAAGTAAAAACTGATGTAAAGAATCAACGATTTAAATATAGACCTACCTATAATAAATATTTGGTGATCATAAAGTTAATATTGTCAAATAAATGAAACATTAATAGTACAAAGAATAAGTATCTTTGATACACGTGTGATGCCGTGAACCGTGACGCGGCATCTGCACTGCACTATGATCACAGATAACTATAATATATAGTTAATATATACCTAATGCACTAGTCAGGGAACTATGATGCGAACCTAAATATAGATTTGTTATGTACCTACCTAACACGCACATTACACGAAAAGAACAGAACAAAGGCACATAATAATCAACAAACCTAGAGTAGATACTCTAGGTACATATTGTTGAGGTACCAACTATATAGAGTCAGACACCATCAGACCTAACTAGATCTTAAACTGTTAATAGAATTGCAACTTTATTGCACAGGTATAAGATTGGAAAATTGTAGAATTATGACTTTACCTATCAAAATACCTATAATGAGAACCATCGCGCATTCGCGCCCAATACACTGCGTAAAGGAATCAAAACTTTAGGTATTTAGATCGACAGTTCAACATTTTCATTTTCAAAATGTTGAACTGAAGGAGACCCTTATACCTACCTAATTAGTAATTCTATGATACTATTGTGAAATGTTATGAAACAAAATCAAATTCTATGTCAACAACGAGAATTGCGAAATCAGTAGGTACATATTTCATCATTACACTGGGATCGAATTTAAAAAAACTTCCTCCTTTAATTCTCACGCGTGCAACCACTCAACTCAATTTAATTAAAAGAAATTCTAACATCGTTGAAACTTTTCAAATTGCAACATAACCTCGTCAATAGCAGTGTTTACCGTGTTTATGAAAATTATTATGATTAATTGTTTATTACGAATAATTATTACTTACCGATTTACAATTACGATGCACGTGGTTGCACTCACTGATAAAATGAATATAATAAATAAAACGAAAGTACGAACACAGTATTTATAACGTTAGCCAGTACTTTTGAAGTATCTCAATCTGTGAATCACCGTTGTCACTGAAAGTCCCGATAACGTAACATCAATGTTGCTAGAGCTAAAAAAAATATTTATAAAGAGTCAGAAAAAATCTCATAAAAGTGTAGACACACAGCTTGCCAAATATGTTTTAATTCGTAGATTTTGTTATCTAACATCTTTCGCAGATAATGATTTCTTCTTTTCTTAAAAATTAAAAAATAGAGTGTGAGGTAAATACAACTATTGTATTTTCTTAAATGTTGTGTATTTTATTTAAACGATTACTTAACGCTGGGGATACCATAGGTGGAAAACTAGTAAATAAAAACAACAGTTTAAGTTTTTATACAAAATGGTATTTAATGTTTATAGTATACTTGCATCGTTGAAATGCTGTTACAATATGACCGACAGACGGCAGTGTTAAAAGCCAAGTGTTTCTCAATAACAAAATAATATATAATAAGTGCTAAAGGTAGAAATAATGGTTATTTCCTTTATATAATACTAATAATTTAAATCCTGCAACCAAGCTAACACATTTCGACACAATTACATCTATAGATTACAACTAATGCACACTTAGTACAAAAGTCAGACTTAAAATTTATAGTTTTCTAGCCACAGACGTAACATGCACGTTATATTAAGATAAATTATGTGAGACAACTCCTTAAATCAACCTAAATATCATAACTCCTGGTAGCTAATCAATGGTTAGAAAACACAACAACAATGTATGAGATAGCTCATATTATAGCTAAAATATCTCTTTTCTCTTACACACAAACATTGTAAACCAGAATTCCTTTTCGAATTCAAAAAATCGAATTAACAGAAAAGGAAGACATACGAGTGTTAGTAGGAGGAAAAATCGACTAAATTATATCATGAAGACGATTTTAGTCGATTCATCTGCCTTACCGCACTCACTCGCCAACAACAATAACATTCTAAGACATTTTAACTAGCCACCCCATACAAATGTTAACATCGAGTGTACAGACAAGGACGAGCAACTAAACAGTGTACAGATTCTTAGTTGCCGAACTATGTTTGACCATGGTGTCGCGATGGACTTGGAAGCCGATTTTCCCATGAATGCCGAGCTGCTCTTTGATTTTTCTTCCAATTTCAATGTTAGCATGCTGCTTAGAAGTATCAGCTGTCCAGACTCCTGTAACATATAAATAAAATGCATGTTAATTGACTGCAGTATTATCTAGAAGCATAATGTTATTCTTCTGCCAAGTAAGGGTGTACCAAATTCCCACATTTAATTATATTGGACATTATTTCTACACACATAAAGTTGCAAAAGGTCTTCCAATGAAAACATTGTATTGGGTAGTATTATAGATATTGTTACTCACCAATTTTATCGAGTTTCGCCCTAACGTTAACCACAGCACCACAGATTTCGTCTGAATGGTCAAAATTTTCACCAATCAGGAGAAGAACCTGTAAAGAAATCACATTATTTGGTTTATTTCAAAGAAGTAAGATATACAAGCATATATTTATGGATTTTTTTAAGATAACTTCACAGTCTGAGATGAATGATAGATAAGAGAATGACTTGTGAAGTTTTAACCCGTTGTGTGTCTAACCATGGATCCACGCGAGACACAATGTAGTTTCTATTGTGTCTCATATACGGACATTCAAGCAGTTAAAAGAGTCATTCTCATTTGCGAAATATTCATAATACTGAATCTTTTTTACTAGATTAATTGATGTTTGTGTCGAAAACATTTGAATGATTAGTGCTAGCATTGCATGCATTACACAATATGTATCATGAAATCACTTTATTTCACACAACTTAAATTAGTATTATTTTTAACAAATATTCTACTACTTATCTGACCCAACACTCAATGTCTTGACTGCCTCATTGGCCAAGTGGTCGCAAGTGCGACTGCCGGGCAAGGAGTTTTGGGTTTGGGTTATATTCCCGGGTCAAGCAAAGTACTACTGTTTTTTTTTTTAATTCTCAGTGGTGGCACGGAGCCTGAAATTGTGCCCAGTATATGGCAATAGGATCACCCCCTATTACATCGGATTCATTACATAAATAGTGAAAAGTGGGTGTTACATATACAGTGGCATTAAATGCCATAATGTGCACCTCTGCCTACCCCTTCGGGGATTAAAGGAATATGAATCTCATCTCATGTTATGCATATGTATCTCACCCAAAGTTACTGTTTATAATCATAGTATGATTCATCATTTTAACTGCATCTTATTTTGAACAAAGTTTTATAGACTGACATGACTGGGTCAGGGTCAAATTAGCCAAAATAACCTTCAAGGTAGGATATCAAAATACATTCGAAACATTATGCAACAAAAGAATATTATAAAACTGGCTAAAGTAGTATTCATCACAATCTTTGAGCAGCAGTTGTAGTTTGTGTCACAGAAAGTTCTTTTTATTTGTATGTTTTCCTTGTTTTATTAGGTATAGCTTTTACCTGTAACTTGACCCACATACATTTTCCCTTTTAAATGTCCTATCTGTACTATGAACTTGCAAAATTTCAAGAAGGCAAAACCAGGTTGCGCCCTAAGTACTAATATAATCCCATTTTTTCCCATCCCCGTTCATGAATTTCGGAAAAAAGTAAAAAATAAAATTTTGGTTAAAAAGTATCCTATGTCGGTCTCCTGGCTCTAAGCTACCTCCCTACCAGTTTTCAGCCAAATCCTTTTGCCGTTCTTGAGTTATAAGTGGTGTAACTAACACGACTTTCTTTTACATATATAGATAAGTAAACTAAGATGGGTGTTACATTTACCTTGTAACATTTGACAACTATTTTAGGTCATGGAAGGAAATATAAAAAATTCCATGACAAAAAGAACTGCCAGTGTTTACTTTTGAAAGGTAAAAAATAACTAGAATACATACCACATCTAACCAGAAGCGGTCCAAGTCAGAGTTACGTTGTTTTTTTTCAAGACTGATCAGCCATCTGCCGCCCATCTTGTTAGCATCATCCTCCCACATGGGACGGATGCCTTGCTTGAAGACTGCATAATCGTGGCCTTGACGCAGCTCTGAAGGTAGCTTAATGTGGTGGTACAGTCTGGAAATGCAATCATGCATTAAAAGATTTTGTCAATATAATTTTAATCTTTTTTTAATATAGAAGATAGAACATAGAAGTGACGGAACATTATGGTAACACTATAATTATATAATTTACTATAACAACACTACACAAAAACATCTCCAAAATAAACATTACAGAAAGAATACCACTATTTGAATATTTGTGTTGAAATTTATACAGTCCATTAATTCCATTAATTTAAATATCATCCCTAGCTAAGAAATTACAGATTGGTGTTAAGTAACAATTTCATATCAGTATCAATAAATAGCAAGCTAACAATGTAAATAATGGTAATTACAGAGAAATTTGACTTTTCAGTGCTCTATCTGTCTCACTTGCATAAACTTACCTCCAGAAATCTTCCACTGTATCGAAAGTGGTCAGCTCTATCAGGTTCTCCTCCCATGTTTTGTTTCTATCATTGTCATAGAACCAAAGACTCCAGGTGTTCTGCAGAGGATGCTTTATCAAAAATTCTGGTGGCACCTCCGCATTGGTAGTTCCCTTTGTTTCCGTCGTCGCAGAACCCTTGAACACACAAGTCGTCATACTTCAGACTCAAATCCTAACCTTAAAAACAAACTTATCAATGGCTTGATAGATATTAAAATATGACGTTTTAACAATAATTTATCACGTGAAACTAATTTTCTTTTACGTAAAACTTCTAAACTGGCAAAAAAACACTAGTAATATGAAACAAATGCAACAGTGAAAGTAAGTGCAGCCACATCAGCATATCTCGTAAAAAGTAAAGGAAGTACGATATAATTAATGCCAATTGCGGGTGGACGGTGCAATTTATGTCGTAAATAATTAGGACTACCCACCTCCACTTCTTCAGTATTGTTCCCAGCCATACTGGAGTTTCATAAAAATCTCACGATGCAACAATTTTTTTACAAAAAGAAAGACAGACGGAACTAATGTTGCAAGCATATAAATTTAATGTTTTTCTTTTCTCCTTTATTTCAGTTCTTAAATTCAATTTATTACAAACCAGTAACACGGCACTGTTTCGTGGACTAATAAACTAAGAATAATTTAAAAATATTTTTATTAAATTTACATGATAAATAATGAACCTACTTTTAAAGGACACATTTATTTTAGTAGATATGTGAAAATCTGAAAATCTCGATTTGTTTTTTTAGATTTTATTATTTGCATATGGCAGCCCATTAAAGTAAATGTCAAACCTAGCGGAAAGGGATACCAGTAAAAAAACTTTTCGAATGAAATTAATAAAAAGATATATTTTAGCAGTCAAAATACATTCAATAAAAGATTACACTATTTTTACATATCTATAATGTATCACTGTAATTTGAATAAAATATAAGAGCATTTGATAAGAATTTCAATCGATAAAAATATTTCACCTTGACAACACTGTCCTACTATCAAATGTATCCTTCAAATTCAACTCAATTTGCCATTTCCTTCAATTTCAGTGAGCGGCTTCGTTGAACTTCGTTCTATTCCTACTCTTGGTTGCGCCGGTCCCGTCCAATTGTATATTCACTTATAAACGTTTCAATTAAAGTTTAATACTTGAAAATGTCTGTCCAAACGTTGCTGCTAGACTTCTCGATCGACCCCGCCCGCCTGGGAGACGAGATCGGCCAAAAAACAGTATTCGGGCAGTTGGAAACCGTGCTGAAGGAATACATTCCGAATCTTATTTTAGCCACCGAGTTAAAGCTGGAAGGTGGATCTTTAAAGCTGTTGACTGGCAAGAAAGGTTCTACGGTGTCTGTGAGACTGTTTGACCGTGGCCTTGTCACTGTAAACATTGAATATTATAAGGAGGAGAACGAGGAACCATTAATTAACCTCAAGGTAAGCGCGCCTTGTAATTTTTTACTGAAATATGTGATAGTACACTACAATATTGAATGAATATTGAATTTTCTAATCTGTATCCAATAAATAAAGAAAATTGAATTCCATCAACCATCATTATTACGTCGCTGTGCGGTCATTGATTTTAATTTCGAAATAGGGTTGTAAGTCACGCATTGTTCGCAATAAAATCAATGATTATTATTTACAATTACCGTTCTTTGATTATTTGTTTACTTCCTTGAAACAATGAACTGTGAAATAGATTGAACAATGCCATGTGATGTCATTTTTAATCATTAAATAATTAAACAAAAATATTACTTATAAGAATCATGTTGATTAGATCTTATTTAAGATGCACTTCAGTTAATATTTTCTCTATGAATGTTAATAAATTGAAAGATCATTCAATTAAACATTAATCATATTAAACATTTTGTGTAATACCTAAAATAGAATTATATAATAAAAATACCTACAAAATATTTAGAATGTAAGAAAAAACTAAGTAAGCAAAATTGTATACTAAAATCATGTGAATTCAAAATCACAATTTTATTAGGCTCTATTTCAGATTTATTAGCATTCAATGGGTGAACAAAATGATCAGTTTAAAAAACAAATTACCATAGACATGTGAAGGTTGAGCGTATAGAGTTTTCATTTGTTTTCTAGTGCTCTAAACTACTGGAAAGTTCGGTAAGAATGTCATTGGACTGCGAAAGGGTAAAATTATTCCCAACAATCAAAAGGGGTTATAAATACGATGTTTATCTCACTAGTTCAGGTTAGATAACATACCTGTACTATTTATACCCATTTTTTTACTTAGTTTGATGGCATTACCCTTATAAAATTTTAATTAGATTGGTTTGGTTGTCTTTTTCAATATTTCAGCTTCAAATATAATGTACTACTATTTTATTTAAGTACTTAAGTTTAAGTATAATGATATAAGCACATAGCACTTATTTATTATAAAGAACTATTTTTATTTATTACACATTTTCACTGTTCACTTTAATAGAAGTAGTTATTATTTAATATCTGGCTGAAGTCTACATGCTAATAGAATGTCAATTTTATTCACTTCATGTTTTATAGAAGTATTTTATAATCTCCATGATAAGACACTAATATCTATCTAATAAGCATAACTTTAAAAATAAAATTCTGTGTCTTACAGATTATTTATTTGCAAAAACACATGTGAAATAATAATACATCATAGAATGCACATATGTACAGATGAGCATTGAGCATAGTATCAACATGTTTGACCATATCTGGTGTACAAATGTGAATAATAATAGTCAATAGATCAACTCTCTAGTCTTAAAGTAGTCAAGTTAATAACAAGGGAAATGGCTGCTATTCAACCGATTCAACACAATAATAATACTAAAAAAAATCCGAATAACTATCAGACATCTGGCCAAAAGTACACTTATCAGTTATCATTGTTGACATTATTATTATAAGCACAGACTTACAAATAGTAGTCCCAGTATAAAAAGTTCAGATTTATCAGATTTGATAAGAATTTGAACGCTAGCATATTGTAAAAACTTTATCCCCTATACATATAACCATTCTCAAAATATGTAAGTAAGGCATTCGCCAGTTGTGTCATAAGACTGCTTCAAAGTTTCGAATTGGAACTCTCTGAAATTTGAATCTGAAAAAATATATCTGTGATTTCATACGTGAAATACGCACTTGCGATCGAGTGATCATAAAAGGATTATTGTAATTTATGTATTAATTTTAACATTTCACTTTCACCATCACATAAACTCTGTAAGCTATTCATTTCTTATACCTATTCTTAGAATATAGCATAAAGTATGCTTTGCACACCTACCATTTTCCGTATCTAATAGTTGTATGCATGACCCTATTACCAGACCCGTCTAGCAGCAGACTAACGAATCTACCAGACCTTCCAGTACCCAAGAAAACGCTCAACCTTACATTTTTTCGCCAACTTATAAAACTATGCATGTTTAGTGTACCTGCATTCATTTTCTTTTTGTTTTTCCTTCTTTATGATTTATTTTTTCAATAGTCGGCGAGAGTATTGGAAAATCAGCTGAAAAAATACATCAATATTATTAAATCGCAAGCATACGCGCCGCTAAAGCGATGCCTCTTCGGCAGGTACTATCCGACATCGGGTAAGTGGTCCATCTTATGTAATACTAAACTCTTCCTATTAAATAGTTAATTTCATAATGTACCTACATAACTTTATGTTTAGAACTAGTTTGAATGTTATTGTTGTCTTTTAGCCGCTCTTTAATGAAGAAAAACTGACTTTGATTTTTTATATTAATTGTCATTTTATGCTAATTCTCTTCTTAAATACTCCCTAAACCAACACATTAAAAGTTCATTATAAACAAAACAGCGTACTTAATCATAAAGTTTCACGTCAATACGTCCAGTAGTTTTATAGCTTTCGTGTTTTAATGTAAAATTCCGTTTCACAGACGATCGCCTACTAGAGTACGATATCGATGCTGTAATATTCGATGAACAGTCGCCTTTCCAAAGAGTTCAAATCGTCCATTCCAAGACTCTCGGCAATATGTTGGTGCTAGATGAATTACAAAGTAAGTTTACTTTTGTATGTAATGAATGTGCAGGTGAATGACCTAATAGCAAGCAAGCAGCGTCACCGGACGCGGATTTAATCTAGAGGGCGTCCTATGCAATTCATAGGCACCTTCTTTTTTGTCGCCGCTATGGGCACGTGCGTCTCGCAGTATCACGCTGCGGCCCTCTGTTCTATCCCCTAGCCTAGCGCCCTAGGCACTTGCTTAGTTTGTCTTATGCTTTGTTCGCACTAAGCTAGAATCTTAGTCGAGCAGCGAGTGTTTAGTATATCCCTCTCGCTTCTGTCCCAAAATCGAAGCGAGAGAGAGTTACTAAATACTCGCTACTTGACTAAAATACTAGCATTGTGCGAACAAGGCATTAGGGATAATATAGCTCTTATGGACGGACGTCCGTAACATCAGGCGACTTTCCAAGAGCGTTGCCGGCTTTTCGGGGTTTGAGTCTCCGGTATATGTACACATAACTATGTACCTGGCAAACATTTGACGACACATGCGATAAGATGTACAGACTATAGATACAACAGCCTACAATAACCTATTTAATTTCCTTGCAGATATCTCGGAGGCTGATCTCATTTATACTGAAACTTTGATGCAAAGAGGCAAGGAGAGTTATGAAGGGAAAGAAATCGTCATCTTAGGTAAATAAAAACCTCTTTTTATTTCTGCTCGCGCTCTAAATACATATTCATAGCTGAATTAACTTTTGCATATTAATTTTTTGTTCGTTTTGAAGGCGAGATAATATATTTTATTTTAGCTTTATGCACATCAACAGCATCTACATTAGAGGGTTTACCATTAATATCTAGACTTGTCACGCGGATTGTAGTCTGCAATTTAAAAGGTTCAGGATTATATATAGTAGAATGTATTCTACTCTACGGTCAACACACTGAAGCATGAGCTTTCTCTACCATAATAATATCAATATGGCACTAAAATACTTTCCATCTTCATTCTATACTGCTTTATTGGGATGTGAACTTTGAGCCTTGTTGCATTATGTATGCATGCGCAAATTGCCTTGTTAACCCCTAGGCCGTCGGCCGTCTCGCTACGCATCAAATTGACACCCAGACGCCAATCAATGAATTGAAATTGACAATAAGAGATGTATAGCAGAAATTTCTAAGGAGTTATTATTATCAGGTCCATTTGTAACTTGTGAAAACTGAAATACGTTACAAAATAAACTTGTATGGCTTTTTCATTACTTTATTATATCTGAATGGGGATGATGACGTGGTATGAAAATTAAAAATATAATTAGTCCGTAAGTTAGGTAATGAAAAAATATTAGACACGTATTTTTTTATTTTGTCGTATAATAAAACAATACTTAGATAAAACGAATCAAAGTTTAGGAGTGGGGGCTAAAACGTCATTTCTTAGTATAAAATGTACTGAGAAGTGACGTCACGCGACATTTCAAATCAATATATCTTCGAAACTATTCGTTTCTGTGAGAAAATAAAAAATACGTGTCTAATGTTTTTAAATAATCTATCAGACGGACATTAAAATAAAAATTAGTCGTCTACCCTCTGTGAACTTTGAAATACCTTTCAGTTTGTTTAAATATTCCTTCAGAGTCAGATGATACATACTGAACCGATAGAAAATTCTAAGATATTTAAAATTGCTATTTCGTAGCTTATTTACTCAAACACTTCTACCACGATTCTTCGTAAATATCCAGCGCATTAATTTACCTTTAGTTCGGTTTAGTTAGAGCGATGCCAAAACGATATACCTAAGTAGGTCAAGGACACGATCATACTACTTATAGCGTATTAACCTGCATGCACCACTCGCTTGCAATCTAAAAGGGGCTGATTGTTCAAGGTGGCGGCGATGGAGCTCTTTTGTACGAACTCCTCAAGGAGAAACCAAAGTACGTGTGGATGCTGGAAATTGACGAGGTTGTGATGACTGCTTGCAACAAATACTTGCGGTCAATATGCGGGGATGTGCTGGAGACAAGAAAGGGCCCTAACTATGAAGTAATTTGTTTATTTCGTATGTAGTAGTGTAGTGTTTGTCATTTTACCATTATCACAATCATTATACCAACAACAAGACGTCTACTGCTGAACACAGATCGACCAGAAGAGTCAGGGAAAACCCTGGACTTCCATAAGTATTAAAACTTAGTCAGAGTTTCTACTAATTTACAAACTTGCTTCATCATTTGAGTTATAGTACGTTCCACAATGACCTGAGTTTTCGAGTCAGGTAAAGGTGTAATTGCGTTTCGTATTTGTGAGGAAAAGTAATGAAGCATGCTATCTGGTAAAGGAGAGACAGAGGAGGATCTTTTGATCTGCATGCGTTGTGATTTCATTACTAACTAACTGCTTTCTACGGGTGCGCTATGGCTTAAAAAGAGTTACGAAGAAGTTTCTTGCGCTTTCTTCTCCATTCGATGATTCGAAACTACATTTTGGGACGAGATCTTGCTATCTGCAGCTACTTTGACGAACGTAAACTGTGTTAAAGTGAAAACTACAGCTCGTAGTTACCTCCTGTTTTATAAAAGAACTTATTAAATATTTAAAATATAGGTACCATTGTTGCCTTTTGAGGATTGTCTTTGTACTCAATCCGTAAGTACATTTGTATTACGACAACCAGTAAACAAACTATGTACAAGGTAGCAATAAAAATTACTATGTAAAGTTATACCTTCACTTTTATTACTTTTTTATAATACATTTTACATAAACCATTCTGAGAACAAATAACATAGGTAACTAAAGAATGATCTTGAATGTTCAATCACAAGTTTTGCGTACGATGGCCAAATAACTGTCATTAGGCCACCATTTTGTGAATACGAGCCGCTATTTATAGCTTGTCAACCCAATTTCTATTTGGGTAATATGCACTGTAGATGTAGAACGATAAAATTGGAGTATTCGAGAACTACGTTTGAAGATTTTTGTTAATAAAATTATGATGATCAATGCCAAATAAAGTTAATATTTATGTAAGTAATCAAAAAAGGTTCATGTTAGGTAATTATTTATTTTTGGTACCTATTGCACAATATTTGATTTAGATTATAAATAAACGTGTTTGTAAATGTATCCCTGACATAGGAGAACTTAGTATGGCGCAACGTTAGGAGTAATAATATATTAGCTACCGATAAGCTGGCTAGTAGAGATTGCTAAGCAGTTATATTTTGGAAATGGAATTGTTAGTATATTGAAATTTTTTACCAAACACTGACTGGGTGTTGCACTCGTAGAGTATCACGGGCAATTAAAGAAGTACAAACGAATAAATCCAATGTTAGTCCCGAAGTAACACGAAATAATCTAAAAGACTTTGCAACGTAAGGACGCAATTACAATGTGTTGGCAGATAACTAACAAATACAACTTGGATATCTTCAAGTCCCGAGTGAACAGGTTGCTCATAGGTAGGCGTGCTCCATCGTCGGCCACATCATCGCTTACCACCAGGCGAAATAGTGGCCAATCAAGTATAAAAAAAACTTGTACGAAAGAGTAACCTACTTAGCAGCTATGATAGCTCTTTAATTTAATTTCCACAGGTGATTGTAGAGGACTGCATGCTGACTGTGAACAAGTTTATCGCTGATGGCAAGAAGGTGGATTACATATTTGGGGATTTGACTGACATCCCTATCTCGGAGTCTGCGTGCGGAGAGCTCTGGGAGTTTATGATCACCATCCTTAACTCCTCATTCAAGATTCTCAAGCCCAACGGGAAGTTTATGACCCATGTATGTATAGTCGTGATCGCTTTATAACTGATCACAGTGATTACAATCGAAAGATTTTGCAGATTGTTCATATTATTTGAATTCTGTCGAAAACCTAGTCCAGTGATATTTTAATTTGTTCCAATTGTTTCCAGGGCAACGGCGCCACTTCCCCGGAATCTCTAGAGCTGTACGAACAGGAGCTTGCCAAGCTGAAGCCGCCGGTCAAATACACGAAGAGTAAAGCCTTCGTGCCATCGTTCCTGGAAGACTGGTACTTCTACCACATATCCTTCGCTACCACCGACAACGGGGATGCTTAACACCACACCAAAGACATAAAAGTATTCACATTTTTACTAAGTCATATTAATGCCATATTCCTAGGTATAAACACCATACATAATAAGTTAGAAGCAGTGTACAGATTAAAGTGGAATCGCACTATGATACCAAACAAAAGTACTGAAATGTTTCACATAAAAACTTTATATGATTTCACTTTGACCTGGACAAAGCATATGGTTTCTATGTACGAAATTAACGATGATTTTGTTAAGAAGTTATTTTGTATTATTAAAATTAATGTTTTCCTGAGTTGTAGACTTGATATACATTTGAGCAGCTCCGCCAATGACCCGAGGCACGAGGTTGGCGCACCGTATGGTATTGAGGCAGCTAGTACGCCTGTAGCTTGTAAGAAATGTAGTCACACTACACAATTTTCCGTATTATTAGTTTTAGTTCGAAGTTTACTGTTATTTCTATTGATATGTGCTCGTTCCTTTATTTGTTTTATGAATATTAAAAGTATTTTAACGACCGTTGTGGTTTCAATTTTCATCCTACTGTAATACCTATACACTCCCATCATCTAATAGAAGATTGCGTCATTGCAGTAGTCACTAGCAAGATATCGAAGACTGTAACCAGGATTTAGCAATACTCGGTCCTATTAAATGTTGAACCAATAACTAAATTAGTGAAAAGTAGATTCGAATTTACTACTAAACTTTTAATAGAATAGTTTCTCTTTTTCTAAGGGAGCTCTGTCTACCCATTGCAAGGTCAAGGACAAGGCCACACGAAAGGTGACAAAATAATTTTAGGTAATAAAATAATAACTATATAACAAAATAAAAGTAAATTCATTATTCATAACTTTATAAAGATAATTTACAAAAAATTACAAGACATTTATATTTTATCTTAGATACTTATTTATATTCCAGTTTTCTATATCTTTATGATCACAGTACAATAGCATAAAGTGGAAATGACGCGAAACCATTAAAAATATTGCAAAATAACACATTAGATTCTTGTTGAAAGTAAGATCTGTAAAAATGCTGTTATGACCTAAATTTTGCTGATTTATAATTCGCAACAAAAATACAAATATTATTGTCAGATTTAACTGAAAGCCACAAGTTCATATTCAGATAATGCGCAATTTATGTCTAAAATTTCCTTATTTGTACCGCCATACAGATCTGCTATTGTGTTTAAAAAAAGTAAAAACATAATAAGATTACCTCACACAAAACATTGAGTATTTATTTTCTAATACTGTAATAAATGTAAGTAAAATAAAACACGCAATTCTGTCACTTGTCTGTGACCATTCAAGTGCCCAGGAAGATACTGGATTTCTATTTTTCTAGCCTAATCCACAGTACTTTGCTTGCGTCATGCTATGACGTCATCAGTTACGAAGTTCTGCTTGGAATAACTGATGTGATTTTGTAGTAAAACTATTTTGTTTTTATTTGCATGAAATGAACAAAATATATTGCTTGTTCTGTCTAGTAAACTAACTTATACCTATGTACATACATGGTTTTCATTACATGTTACATTAGGTAATTAATGATTATTATTCTCTACTTCTTGCCTTTTCTCAACTAAGTTGAGTTTTGCACTAGGCATAACTTAGTAAAATAATCTTTAAAAATGTCATAATATCAATGACATAAACTGCGCAACCTGACTCTGAAACATGCATCATTTAGGTCTTACATTAAACATGTGCATAATACATAACATTTATGTACAACAATGGTTATTCGGCTTGTCGTAATCTAGCCAACCTCTGTGTAAGCTCGTCCTGTTCTTGAGATACAACTGTAGACTGCCCCACGGAGGTGCTTGGTACTCCAGATGGCAGCTCCATGTTGAGTTCCAAACTGAAATAGAGATGTGTGAAGTCATTAGTAATAGACAAATTAGGGCAGACTTAAAACCCTTAACTTTAAAAATCTGGTTGAAGTTGTATTGTTTTAAGAAAATGGTCTACTATTTTCTAATACAGATTCCTCATGTAGTCATGTCATGTCCACTGTATTTATTATGGATAGTATATTAAATTAGTCTGGGAACAAAAGCTAACTGCTTACTGCTCTTATTACTGTAAATTAGCACTGCCACTTATGAGGCATTCGATCTGATACAAAAGCTGGAAACATAAATTATTGATTGATTATATAAAATGCCATTTTCATTTAGTATTCCATCGTCTCAGCCTACCCCAATAAGAGACAAATATCAATGTATGTACAAAGTTACCTACCTATTTGAGGCAAGGCACTTCTAAAAATATGACAATATTTAACAAAACATACCCAGCTTCATCAGCCACTTGCTGCAACAGATTATCAACATCGCCTTGAGGTACTGTAGTGGTTGTGGTCTGTGACATTGCATTCTCCATGTACGAGGACTGGACATCCAGGTCTTCAAACTGGCTCTCAAACTTGTCCATAAGTGTGGAGATCTTCTCGAGGTTCATTGATTTCATTGCTGCATCCATCGCCTTTACAACACCTGCCATGGAGTTTGTAACCTGAAATCAATTTTGATTGTGTTTAAACTAACAGATTTTAATTGTGAAGAATTGCTTGTAGAGGTGGAGAATGAAAACATAATTATTTCAGTTCAGAGTAGTTTGTAAGTTATGGAGTACATTCATGTTAGCTATGTTTCCAACAATTTGATTTTATCTCTTATTATATTTAATTTCTAAACAGTCAAGTCTCCATGAAATAAGACAAGAAGTGATTGAATACACAATATTATCGTTGTAACTGACTAATCAAATACAATCAAATCACACTGTACACCTAGTCACTGCATTAAACTTCTGTATAATCCCACAATGATTCATAATATAGTAAATAACTAGATATCACTTTATCAACATGGGAATGTCATAAACATTCATCTTATAAAATTATTAATGAAATTATTCATGTTAATGAAATTATTCATGTTAATGAAATTATTAATGTTAATGAAATTGTAATCCCAACTCACCTTTCTAGTAGTTAGAGCAGTCTGTACTCTGCTTGACACTGCATCAACCCTCGCTGACATCCTGAGATAGTTGAGGGCCTGATTCTTCTGTCTTATAGCATTCTCTGCATGTATTCTCGCTCCTTCTAAGTTTCCCTTCTGTATTGCTTTCTTTGCTTTCTCCTTCTCAATCTTTTCTTCCTTTTCACATTTTTTAGAATTTCTCTCTAACTCTTTCACAGCAAATTTTAAATTAAATAGGTGCTCTGGTAAGTGTGAGTTAAGGATTTGTATGAGTGTGAATCATAATTAAATACATTAATTTTATTTCTATTCCCAATTAAAAATGTAACAAAAATCTATACATGTAATAATTTAGATAATATAAGTGCAGAACAATCCCTCTAACCTACTAATTCCTCCCAAATTACTATAATTGTTGAAACCTAAATAAAAAATGTTCAGATGTAACAAAAACAACAATAGTATCTATGAATCATCAACATAGTGAGTAAGGAACACTTACTTTAGTGTCACTTTATTTTGTAAATTTAAAAGTATTATACAGACGATAGATCCATAATCTCACGACATAAGATTCATGAAATAATGGACAATGGTAAAACTGTTACGAAATACAAGGTAAACATTGTAGATACAAGTCAAATTCAATGCCAATGTAGGAAATACCTTCAAGATTATCCATCAGTAATTCAATGTTTCCGATCGATTGTACTTACTATTTAGCTTTAATTTTGTTATTAAAATTTCAACATACAAGGCCTGAAATACTGAAAAAGAATAGAGTAGTGTCAAAACTTTATACTATCAAAAAGGATACTTTCCATAGCGGATGAAGACATTTCGTTCCCCAGCTTGACGGCTTTTATAAAACTTTGAACACAAAAACAACAGGCACAAGGACCTTTTAGCTTAGCACTAAGTACAGGGTTGAATTATAAAATTATTAAGGAGTTGCAAACTCGGATTCCAATTAATTTATTTGGACGATGACTCACAATCACTCGTCAAAACAATTTTGCCCTATCTGTCAAACTACTATCAGTCATTCGATTGCAGTGTGGCAAGCAGAGAAAACTATTTACAAACAAGTTATCAATTGTTCGGGTAAATTGAACGAGTGCATTTAATTTATATTGCATAATGCTCGATTACTGTACGTACAAATGAAAACAATTTTTAATGGTAGAGCAAATAAACTCACTTTTAATATGTGAATGATATAGTCATACAGGAAATCGCTAGAATTTTAAAATTGTCTATGACTGTAATTTTCGTAGGTTGGTACACTTGAATATAACAACAAAATGTCAAAATAAAATTGAATTGAGTGAAAAGTGTTCGCTGCTAGATTTTATTTGGAAGTGAGAGAATCGGAGAGCGTCAAATAATCTTTAATATTTGTAAAAATCCTTCAAGAAAATAATTTAGAAATATCTATTTTAAAATTGTAGTGCTTCCTTTCTTTAAGTTTTAATATTATTTCGATTTTTGCTTGTTTCGTGACAAAAGCAGAAATTCCAAACATAGTCTCGGATAGGTAGAGGACATTCGCTGGGCGTAAAAAGAAAATGGCGTGTGCTACTCTCAAAAGAAATTTGGACTGGGAGTCCATGGCGCAAATGCCTGCAAAGAGGCGAAGGTGCTCACCATTTGCAGCCAGCAGTTCAAGCACAAGTCCTGGAGTAAAAGTTTCCGAAAGCAGACAATCGTCATTTGGAGAATCCGTTATTGCACCTGCGAAACTGACCCCAGGTTTGTTTATTTTTTTTATTATGGCTTCAAGAATGCGATGACGACTTGCTACGTTAGTAGTTTGGATAAAATAATATTGTATGTTAAATTATTTGTATATTTAATCAGCTGTATTATCTAACGCCATTGTTTCCACTGCATCATGAATATTTTTATCGTGTTAGAGCGAGATGAGTGATGCATGAAGACCGTTGCGTGGATTTTTTCATGTCCTTTTGTTGGTTTTTGTGTTGAATCCCATCTCAAATGTCTTTGTGGTATTAAATTGTTGGTCGGTTTTTGCTGAAACCCGAATTTTTACGTGTTTCGTACGATTCTTCTTAGTCAGATGATGCATAATCAGCTGAAATATGGACCGTACTTATTACACGCAGTGTTGTCTGCGTTTCAGCATATTACTAATTAACTGGATGACTGGACATTTTGTAACAAAGCTATTAAATGCTTATGTGAGCTGATTTATTTACAACTTGACAGTTCATAACTCGATTATTCATATTCATCAAAATATAATAAAGACTAACTTCAATGTGTAGTATATGTATCATAAACAAGGTTATACTGTATGTAGGAATGTAAATAACGAGAAAATATATGAACAGCTGGATACTTCATAAGCATGACTTTAAAATACTATCTTTGTAGTTTACAATAGGACTATAAGTACCTACTCTGTAAGTGTCACATATTATTTTTCGCAGCTATTTAAGAATATATAATTAATTTCTTAACTAATCATGGAACCAAAAAGGAATTGTGATTAAAATCTAAGTCATCACTTTATGTTGCAATCATCATGATTTATAAAAAAAACCTTGTCTTCATTTGAAACTTAAAGGTCATGCAATTTATGGACAAATACAATTTGTAGTACTCATATTTAATAGTCATCACTTAAATGACAGGAAAAATACCATCCAGCATGTAATAAAATACCATCAGTTTTTATGACTGGACCTCTATGCCCTTAACCTTTTTTTTTACGTTTAAAAGTGGAATTATGTATTTGTTACCTGAGGCCAATTTCAGTCATGGTCCATGAACATAAACCTTTGTCATATCTGTGAATAAGTTACCTTAGAATGCAGTATGCTGTATTTATACTCTTTGCAACCTTTAGGCAATCTTTATTTTGTGCCATGAAATCAGATAACTTAAAAAAACAAGTTTCTTTTTTTTGTAGTTTAGTGGAAATTTTATAGTCACTGAATAGGTTAAGCTATAGAAATTGCTACTTTCTTTCGCAATATTTATTTCACGGTTATTGATCATCATTTAGCTTCATGAAGACTGTAAAAAGTCATGACTGTATAATTTCTTAATAAAATTGCAGATTTATTGTTACATTTACTTGACATGCATAGTTATAATTTAACTGTGTAATATAAAATTGTAGAATTTATGAAATAACTGATGAAATATTAATTTCTATTTAATCACTGAAGAATGTATGTTGGATGGTATATTAATAAGGACAAAGTCTTGGCCAAATTATGCTTAATTAAAAATCAATTAAATAAATGTGATATTATCTAGTACTTAGAAACTATTGCTGAACATTTCTGAAATAATAATCTTATTTACAAACTCAGACTGAACACTAGCATTCTATGTTTAACCGGAATGATCATTAACCAAAAAACTATTTTTGTACATGTGTGCATTTTTGTGTGTCTGTGTCATTTTACAACTCGTTGGTTATTGGTTGTTAATTTTGACACCTTGATTAGTTGATACATGACTAAACTAAGACATTCCTGTAACAGCCATTTGTATAAAGTCCAATGTTTTGGCAACCTAACACCTACTGTATTGTTTATAACATGTCTCAATTAACAAGGAATAATTTATGGCTACTCTTCCACTAAATCATTTGTTAAAGACACTGAGAAAACAATTTAGAGAAATGGTGTGCATTCAACATTATAAAGTACCATTATTGTTTTAAAATTAGAACAGGCAATTGGAACATTATTATAGAAGTGTATCAACCGTGCAATATGTCGCGGGTTCGATTCCCGCACGGAACAACACTTTGTGTGATCCACAAATTGTTGTTTCGGGTCTGGGTGTCATGTGTATGTGAACTTATATGTTTGTGAACGCATCCACGGCACAGGAGATAATTCTAGTGTGGGGCAAAGTTTTTTAAAAAAAAATCATTCTCATTTGCTAGTCTGTTAATTTTATTACATTTAAAATTTTGTGCTGATAAAATTCTCTGCTTAAATCACTTCAAAAGAGACTCATTCAAAGAGAAATTCCACTTCTAATTGAATAAATTTTGTTGGATCTTCAGAACGTATGGCACAAGAGATATGTGACGAGATCAAGCGTCTCCATCGCCGTCGTCAACTGCGGCTGACAAATGCAGCGGCATCCTGCTCTTCTTCAAGTGGCTCTGAAGGCGACTGCTCGCCTCCTCATCGCTCCTCACACAACACACAGAAGGTGCACCACCGTGCACTCTTTACTTTCAAACAAGTAAGTATATTGATTGGTAATTAAATAGATATAGTGTAAAATGTGTAAATCTTTCTTTCAGGTTATTTCATTGTTAATTTTATTGTTACTGATAAAGATGATTAGTCAAGAGCAAATCTCTATCGGTTCTTGAAGTAGAGAAGTAACTTATTGTTAAAATTATTCTAGCAGTTGATTTCTCAAGGTTTTTTTCGGTCGGTACACAAATATTAGAATTTTGTCCACACTCCACTGTGTAGTAAATTAAGCCGAAATGGTGGTATCAATGTCTAAATGAAATAAAACATGGCTGCCACTCTGACCCTCACATTTAAATACCATATCAAATTTACCTCCTAACATTACCTTGTTCTCTCTAATGAACAATTTAATGTCTGTTTCCATCTAACCCTCATCATATTACATTTAAATTGCTATTTAATTCAAGCTTTGTATTGATTGTGAAAACATTAAATATTTTGTAAAACTGCTTCTATTTTTATGATTTGTAAATTTTCCGTAACAATAGGTATTGTGTCTAGACTTGGTAGTTTATTTTCGTAATTTGGCAAGTTAACAGCCCTTCCGTGAGTTAGAAATATTAGTCAGACAAAAACCTTTTTAAATGTAAGACAACTATATTTTAGTTTTCCTTAGCTATTTGTCTTTATCTGCTAGCTAGCTATCTGTACTTGCGGCCTTTAAAAAAACACAAAAACTCATGAAATACATTTTCTGTTATAATTTCTTCACCATTATAGTTAGGTATGAAATAGTTGTATTGTAATTTAACATTTTATTACGTCACAGGTGCGTATGATCTGCGAGCGGATGTTGCGTGAGCAGGAGGTGGCTCTCCGCTCGGAGTATGAGTCTGCACTTAGCACCAAGCTTGCTGAACAGTACGAGGCTTTCGTACGCTTCAATCTTGATCAGGTAACACTTTTAAACGATTCCATATGGTTTTAATGCTTCTCCAATCGTAATAAACGATAAATATTTCATCTGAAAATCTTTCTAAAAACTATTCAGATTAATATGGTAACTGATCTCAGTTATGCCTTCACATCATATTAAGTTTTTCAATAGTAAATTTGTTTATAAAAGAAAACTGCAGAACTAAATAAAATTTTAATTTCCTTCACTCTGTGTATGCCAGGAAAAGGGATTACAATAATTGATTGAATAAATCATTTTCAAGATCACTTCTACAAGGAAATATATAATGAATAAATTAATAATAAAAATACACAAGTCACTTTGACTTATCAAAAGGTCCTAAAAATCATTATGAAATTAAAACAATTAGCATATCAACTTATTTAACGACCAAATAATCATCACTAAGATAAAAATTATCAGCTTATTTCTAACGTTTTTATATTTGAAACCATATCAATGACCAATGGCGTCTGACGATAACAGGCTGCTTTCACACGCTCTCTTTATCAAGTTAAATAGACCGCAAGAATTGGATTCTATACAAATAAATGCTCAAGTTAGCATTGTATTGTAATTATAAAAGTTCTAATTTAGTTTCTTTGTTTCTGATTTACATTCAAATACGTAGTCTGAGGATAAATCATACATTTTTAATTACTTAAAAATATGTTCAAAACATTTCATCAGAAACAATTAAATCGAAACATGATATTTAATTTGATTTAGCTTCTGATATTTTATTAATTAGGTAATTACATTTTGTTATATCAATTAATAATGTATTGAGTCATCACTAGAAAACAATAATACTGATTTGATGTAAAATTTTTATAATCCTATATTGCTATAGGATTATAAAAATTTTGTGATCATTATGTGATCCTAAAACAATATAGCATTAACACATGTGGCATTTGTGTGACAGGTGCAGCGCCGACCCCCGCCCGCGACCTGCATGCCGCTCGGCATGGACGCCGAGCACCACATGCATCAGGACCTCGTCCCCAGCTGTGAGTTGACATACATGCTATTTATTAATTACCATGTTTTTTAATGATGAATATTAGACATGTTGACACAACTTTTTTAGAATGTTGTCACTTTTTCTTGTTTGCATGAGTCTAATGTTTCTAAGAAAGGTTGGAACTTCTGTAAATTATAACTGAATCATTATGTGTATTATGTCTTTTGGTCCTACCCAGTAATAGTAACAATGTGTTTTTTTTGTTTTCAGATCTGTCCTAATGACCATGAAGTTTGGTGTGCGGTATAATACTGCAACTATATCAAGACAAACATATTTTGGTATATGTGAATATTATATTATGCGGGAGTAAAGTATCCTAATGAATCAAGACATTGTGATTGCTGGTGGAATTTGACACTGGCTAATATTGCCAAACATTTTCGTTTAGTACAGTATTAATGTACATCCATATAATACAATTTATTTTCCCACCAGTTATATTTTTGTTTTCAGTTCAAAGTCCAATGTCCGATAGCCTTTTAGACTTAGCATAGCAATAAATAGAGCCTTTGCAATATTGCCGGTGTGAGATTCCACAGTTTAGTTCATGCCACATACACATAATTAGCTTTTAATGCTTTAGGTAAGGTACGCTGGATTATTGTGTTCATAGACTGAGGATCGATGAAGCCGAGTCGGACTACTTGTAGCCAGGCACGACATTAATTAGCTCTGGCTAAGTGTTTGAATTAACAAAACGGTTTTGTTAACAGAATTATGTCTTTACAGCAGACACGGATGTCAGGTATACACTTGTATTTTGTATATTTTCTAAAGTAACATTATGAAACCTATAGTGTTGTAATCTACACAAATTCACGCAGAGTGCCTCATTCATTGTCCTCGAAAGTGCGAATTAGTTAGCCATAATTATTTTTGATTGATGATTATTTTTACTGTACTTTTCTTTATAGTGTTGTCGAATTATAGTTGTAGTTGGTAAATTATATTTAATTTGATTGTATGTAAAGGGCGGCGCGAATGCCCGCCCTTAGCTCTTATGAGAGATGGCCTCTTGTATCAGACAGTTCGGGATATCTTTAGGACTCTATATTAAAAATGTATTCTTAACTATAATATTACGGCATTTCTAGCCAATATTTAACTACGACAAAACTTATTTCCTCGAAATTAACTCACTGATACATGGCTTTTAGAGAATGATTAATTAGCTTTATTTAAATTTTTAAGTTATTATTTTTTTCTCAATAATGTATGAAGATACTACGTCGGCATCGCAGTCGACGACCGCAGTAACCGAGAGATGCACTCCACGGAACATTATTGGGTTTGTTTTATAATAATTGTTTAGTTGTAACTTTTTATTGAATACAAAAAACGATATTTGTTACCAAGCATTATTCAATAAAAATAGGATAGGACTTTTTTTAAATTGTATTATCAGCTCTTTATTGTAGGTTATTGGCGATTAAGAACTGAAAATAAATTAGCTAAACACAAATGGATTTTTATTTTCTTGTATGTAATGTGTATAACACTACGCCTGAATTTCCCGAAGCGGTTGCAAAGGTGTACCTTATCTCACCTCTATAAGACTACACTACTATAAAATAGTGGAATCCTTAGAAGTTGTCAAATAAATACCTATGAATTGGATGCTGCAATGCTTTTCTCATGTTAGAAAAGCACTGATTCATTAAGGCTAGGTGTATGAGGGGGAAGGTCACCCCTATACTTATTATACTCTGAGGTCACCATACACTGCGGCCCTGGCAAAGAACGACAGTAAGGGCAATCTTATTCTGTGTTGTGGGTGTGACACTCCTGCCCTAAAACGTAGTGATTATGTACTCAGACCTGCCCCGCGCGAGACGAGCCATTTTGTGATTTTCAATCAATCCTTTACAAAATTAGTCTGGTCTGGATGTGCTATTTATTATTCAAAGAGAGAATAAGTCTGGGAAATACCTAATATTCGAAATCAAGGACTACCAGAGTAATGAAACAAAAAATCAAAGACATAGACAGTATTAACATCTGAATTTCTTTCCAATAAAAAGCATATAGTTTATGATAGTGTTAGTACGTAGTAGTATTCTTGGTTTAATGAAATCCTAGTTTCAATTATTATATTTATAGTTAGAAAGGCACTTTTGAACGTTAAGAAAAAAGTGAAGCTATTTGCTTATTACAGGGCGTAGACTCCTAAGGAGAAGAACGAGAGAAACTACCGAGTTAATCTTTTTTATTTAGTTCACAATACAATTCTTTAGTTACATAGTTTTGTGGGTTTAGTTGCATGAGAATTATGTGACACTGTATGAGAACAATGTAATGCGTTGAACAACATTGTCTTAGTCTGAAAGACTTAAAATGAGAGCGCGCTATATTTTTTAGCATCCTCATAAGAGCTATGACCCATAGCCCATTTTAGTTACTTTAACTCTTTGCCCCTATACCTACTTATTAAACTCTGCTTATTGTCCTCTTTGGGTGGGACTACGGTGGTATCATATCAGTGGGTGGAAGCCCCTCATAGACGTAATATAAAAAAGTTTGCATATTACGTCCATGATTCCCCTATTTATTATACTCTGCAATAAGATATTAAAATAAGTAAAAATCACGCCTTCCGCAAGCGATGATGATGAATTAATATCATAGTAGTAACTAGACTACTGAATTATTTACATCAAAGTCTGTACTAATAGTCAGTAAAATAATATTAAACCACAAAGTGTACATACAATAAAGTAAATCTAACTAAATAACGATAAATAAATATTTTCTGAGAGTAAAAAGAAATAATGACCATAGACCCCCATTCTCATCTCATCACTCATTCCAACTTCCTATTCGGTGCCATGCTTACTAAACGTTGCAACATTGATAGGCACTCGGTTCTGTGATTGGTAGGAAAAGGCAATGAATAGTAACACGCCAATGAAAATCGTTCAATGCTAAGTCAGCCATGATGGAACGTAAATAATGAATGAATTTCAGTTTATTCATTCATTCTTTGAACGATACATTTTGTCATTGTCATATTTATTATTCTAAAGAAAAGAGTATTGAAAATATTTTCATTTAATTTCTCTGTGTCAAGTAGAGCGTTCTTATAAAGCATATAAAATGAGTTTTGACCTAGCGAATAGTGGCCAAGAAAGGGAGGATCGGAAATACTACGATCGCAATAAAGGAGACGATATGCAAATATCCAGAACAGATATGAATATGTTGATAATGAATTATTTGGTAACAGGTAAGAACTATTATTTCAAAATTCTACTTATTGTTAGTGCCATTGCTTAATAATCACTATCGATAATAAATGAGGTTCATTATAGGTATTAAAATGAGAAGTTGAAAATTATTGCAACAAAGGAAGGAATACCTACGACACGACACGTTCCTTTTTATTTCAAGTGTTTTTTGTAAATAAACCTATGAACGACTGCGCGTGGTGATTGATTTCGACATAGTTTTTGGTTTTTTATCCATACGCAGTAACGATAAGGCGAAACAGTGGCTCACAAAACAATGTTATGATTGGAAGGTCAAAAGAATTTTCAGTCTCTGTTCAAATCTGTAAATGTATTAAACAATGAAAACGTGCTGGCCACTAAAATATAATTTTAATAAAAATAATAAATATCAATAAGTAGTTATTGTACTGATCATCTTATCTGTTGGGGTGATTCATATGATAAACTTTGGTTTTTCGGATATCACCTCTCACCTCAAAGATATCAAAACTTATGTTAATATTTCGAAATTAAGTAAGATGATAAGTAAGGAAAGTAAATGCATCTACAGAAGTTTATTATTTACTTACAAAGTACTACATAGAATGCTGTTTACTCAGTAATACAAAATATTTTTGTGTACACAAAATGGAAGATAATGTTTCATACTTACAACCATTTGGCATTCTTTACCAGTCTGCCTTAGCTTTAATATTTTTAAACATCATCATCAATCATCAACAGCATACAAGTGCCCACTGCTGAGCAAACCCTCTTCTCACACTGAGAAGGTTTAAGCATTAATCACCACACTTGCTCACTGCGGGTTGGCGATTACAAACTTATAAGTAGAAATTATAAGCCCAGGTTGTTTGTCAGTGGTGTCTAGATAATCTTAGAAAGAACATATAACTCGGAAAAAGTCACATTAGGATTCGAACCCGCACCCGCATGAGAAGCGGGTGTCGTATGCCTCCGGGCCACCACAACACACTACTTTTAAACAATTACTTTGAATTAAATTAAATAGTTAAACTTCTAATCATTTACTAAATTATGCATTTTAGAGGGATTCAAAGAGGCTGCAATTAAATTCCAACAAGAGGCTGGGCTACAGGAACCTGCTCTGTGCAGCTCTCTGGATGAAAGAATCATGATCCGTGAAGCAGTGCAAACTGGTCGCATCCCTGATGCTATCGCAATGGTGAACGCTCTACACCCAGAACTGTTGGATAATGACAGATATTTGTACTTCCATTTACAGGTAAATGTATAAACATTATATTACTCTATGATTTACATACTACACTCAATTGTGTCCTGGGTCGGGCAAAGTATTACCTGGGTTTTTTATAAATTCGCAGTAATAGCTAGCACGGAGTCTGCTTGGCTCACCCCTATTACGTGGGACTTATGACATAAATAGTGAAAAGTGGGAGTTACATTGTACACTGGCATAATGTACCTCTGCTTTCCCTTTTGGGGATAAAATGCGTCATGTTATGTTACAATTGTTTAATTGATAATTGATAAATTGTTATGCATGAAAATACTTGAAATGAGTTCTTGAAAAGTTTAAAAAGTTGCAATAACTGTAGGTGATAACGCTAATTGTTGAGAAGTGTTAAGATGCTTGAGATTACGTATGAAATTTTTTGTGAATATTTTTTTTTATTTAAAAAACTTTGCACCACACTAGAATTTTCTCCTGTGTCGTGGGTGCGTTAACAAACATACAAGTTTACATACACATGACACTCAGACCCGGATCAACAATCTGTGGATCACACAAAGAGTTGTTCCGTGCGGGAATCGCACCCGCGACACGTTGCGCGGCAGCCACTTGCCCAGCCTCCGCGCCAAACGTGCAGTCATACTTATATAATTAGCATGTGTTAGGTCGGATTATAATAAAAGGTAAAAAAGGGCGTGATAGGTGTACCACGTGGTATGTTTTTTATCGACGAAAACATTGAATAACATAACTTCTCAAATCGACACGTAAATATTTTACCCAACTGTAGGATGGAAGGGTATTTTTTGTATGACTTCTCTAACTTTTCTATTCTCTTGCAGCAATTGCAACTTTTGGAGTTGATTCGCGCAGGTCGGGCAGAAGAGGCTCTAGCATTTGCCAGCGCGACACTTGCAGAGGCTGGTGCGAATGATCCCAATGCTCTTACGGAGCTAGAGCGGTCGCTGGCACTGCTAGCCTTCCCTGACCCTCATGCATCACCCTTCGCAGATTTATTACTACCATCACATAGTCAAAAGGTAAGGATTGTGTATTGCAGTGTTCTGCATACTTAAGTTACACTTAGAAACAAAAAAATATTAGAGGTAAAATTATGTAAAAACGCGGGTTACTCACGTGAATATACTGAGAAAAGCTCTACTAGTTTCGAACCACAGAGAGGTTATTCCTCAAGAGCAGCGTGCGCGGTCGCGCAGATCACGAGTAACCCGCGTTTTTACTTAATTTAGTAAGTCTCACGATAGTTATTATAGAGGTAAAATTTATTCTTTCTCTTCGAATAGAAATTTTAAATGATCGAATCATCATTAACCTATGCAATTCTCAATTTACTATTATCATCAGATCGCAAGTGAGCTGAACGCCGCGATACTTAAGATGGAGAACCAAGAGTACACCAACCCGAAGCTATGCAGCCTTCTCCGTATGATCCTGTGGTCACAGAACGAGTTGGACAAACATAACATCAAGTACACCAAGATCACTGACCTCGCCAACGCCACCATAGACAAGCCAAAGTAATAAAAAAATCCATTGTAATATTATGAATCCCACGCTATAGTGTCTTTCAATCCATTTTGTAAATGTTTTATATTTGTACTTTAACGAATGTACAAGCTTATAACACGTAAATAAATCATTTATCTCGTTCCTACTTAAATAACAATGGATTTAATGACACGAAATAAGAAAAACGCTAATTTTTTTTTAAGGTTTTACTATAAATCTAAAATTTTTTTTTGTTTCACGAAGATTGTTTGGAGGATTCCGGCGATTTTAGGCATGGCCGGAGCTGTGACCAGCCGCTTCCAGCGCTGGAGACCGCAACGGAATAAACAGGAAAATCAAGCTGTAAGACATAGTAAACTAGCATTTTTATCAATCTTAACATTATAGATGTTTTACGGGTCTGACGAAAATAAAGTAATATTTATGACGCTAGGTTACTCGTAAAATTGTATTTTAATTTTTAATAGGGTGAGTTTAGGTATAACTAAATACATCCTAATTGTTTATTAACTTTATGTGTGCATATCTGGACTTATTAGTACACCTTAGCGTTTTTATTTTCACTGCAGATCCCATTTGGAACCATTGTTGATTGTAGTAGAGCACAGTTACTCCACTTATAACTTGGCTGTAAAAGTATTAAAATTGGACAAATAATTTCACAACAATTTGAAAAAATCTCCATAATTAAGTATTTTATATATGTAATATTTAGCAATTAAACAAATAATTAAGAAATATCAAAGGTATTTTATTTTTTGTACATAAAACAACCACCTTAATTAAATAATTTGCTCACAATTAATTATTATACATCGTAAACGTTTACAAGAATTCAATTCTTTCAATGGGCACAGTCAACGACTTTGTGAAAGATGTCTTTTTCTTTTATACAAACTGTCAAATACTATCAGATTGTGATGTATGTAACTCAATTACTATAACAGCCTTATTGCAAGACATGGTTGCACAACCCTAATTTTTTATCAAGCTGTGTGACACTTGCACCCCACCCTCGAGAGGAACCCGATGCCATTCTAGAGTCTTGGCGATTATCTTCACGTCCCTCGCATAATAGCTATATACGACTGTATTTTGGTGTCCTATATTTTTTGATGGGAAATGAATGACGGATCACTTGACTGAAAGCCATCGGCGCCGCCTATGGACACTGCAACACCGAAAGAGTGCGTTACCCGCTTTGAAGAGGGTTAGATGGGGAGGGATTTGGTGACTAGGAATTGGAGATGGCAGGGGAAGGACTGGACATTCAGTAACTCCACTCACACGACATAACATAACGCAAGAGCTGTGTCCCGCTTGTTTCCTGTGAAGCCGTTGTATCACTCCGGTCGATTCCTATTCGTGCTGAAGCATGTATTGAAATAGGGCTCTTTGTCTCCAATTAATAAAATTAGTTTTTGAAAAAAATATGATTTATTAAAAGTGTAAATGATAATTGATAATAGTACGTTTATTCATTTTATGAAGGTCGCGCAGTTTAATCTGCATATGGCACGATCCTGGGTAACGCCATAATCTTTCGCAAAGAAACTTATATGTAACAATTTATGATTCAACTTTATATTGCAAGCAGAGATGCATCCAATTTGTTTCCTGAACATGACAAATGGAGGTTACAAAAACAGACCAGGTATTTAGATAATTATCTATTATTTATTCGTGTTCAAAATTAAAATTACCTAATGTGTATCTTTTATAATCTTAAGTTAAAAAATAAGTATATTCTAGACTGCAAAGAAATAGATAAAACAAAGGGTCTACCCTTTTTAAACTATTACAGTTCTGCAATAAACTTAAGTTACCTGTCTGACAACATTACAATGGAATATCGATCTAAACCTATTGATTGATAAAGAAATATAATAAGTGGCGTAACTAAGTTAAAACTAAAATATATCACGCAATTATAAACTGTTTGTATCAAAACCTACCGACACCTATGTCGCTGACTGTTCACATAAACGTCACATTCAGTCTACATTTCATTTATATCAAGTAACTCAGGATGATCATGTAAATGTAATTGGTTCATTTCATCAAACATTGCGAAAAAGTCTCTATGTCGGTATCGCAAGCGAGTGACGTGTTCGTGAGCTCGCCTGATTCGCCGATAGATTGGCCCGATTTTGCGCACCATATTGTTTCTTGAATGTCACCAACCCAGCACGTAGTCTAACGCTTTGGAAATAAGGCCGCTGGACCGCTGCGGGACAGGCGCGTTCGCGATTGGCGTCGGGCAGAGCGAGCGGACGCCAGGTTGCCTGGAAAATAGAAAAATTTTATGGTAATGGTTACTTTTCTGTATTATTAACTCGTCGAGTACCGGTTTTATAGACACAATTAAAGAACAATAGGTCGCGGTCACCGGTGACCGCTTGGTGTTTGACAGTTTAAGGGGCAATGTAAATAATAAACAGCATTGACCAAAATTCTGTGGTAACTACAAACTTTAATTACAAACTTAGGTCTTAGGTATAAAAGGTCTACAAAGCAAGACATCTTTAGTTCTCTCCTGCAACAGCAGCATTCATTGGGAGTTTTTGTTGTTAATTTTATAACTTGTTAATGAGTTTTGTAACATATTTATATCATTTACTATTTTAGACTTTAGCTTGATACACGGTTTCTTACCTCTCTGGTGAAGTAATGCCAGGACTAGTGACGCCGATCCTCGGCGGCTCCTTGCACTCAACTACTCCAACCATGACTCCTGGCAACACTTGCCGCCCACTGAGCGACATTGCGCGCTCCTTCTCGGCTCTCGTAGCGTACCGCACGTGCGCCCAGTTGCCTTGAGTTGGATATTGTTTATCTGAAAGTGGGAATAATAGGAAGTTAGGGAAATCTTAACTGTAATACGAGTTATCAAACAATTACAACAAAATTATTTGGGCTACAACCAGTTAATGCATACACTATTAGATTACAGAAATAAGTACATTGTGTCACTACCAAAGTGAATGTAAGCTTAATCTGCATTATGTACTAGGTCTCTCCAATTGATTATTTATACTTGTAAATTACATACATTAATAACATTTACATATTTAAATTTAAACCTTACCTAAAATAGCACCACAGTTGCTGAACCTCGCCAGCACAGTATTGGCAGCATTTGGAGGGAATCCAAACACAGTCACCCAGTACTCATCATGTTCCTGACACCCATCCTGCCATGGTGTGGCTAACGACTGATTGTTTACTGAATTGTTCATATTGCCATAGCCATTTTGGACCATAGAATTGTTGTTCCCATATAAACTGTCGTGAAATAGGGACTTGTTCATGGAGGGTTCGTTACTCTTGATGGTGTCAAAGAGGTCTTCAATGGGTGGTCCGTTAGGTTTGCTTGTGTAGGACAAGTTAGGTGTTGTGGGCATACTGGGGTAAATGTTTGGCGAGGTGGGAACATTGGGGTACATGTTCTGCTGGTTATACAGTGCCTGTTGGTGCATAGACATGTTCTGGCGGTAAGCTTTCTGGTCCGGAGTTGATGTTTGACTAGGACTTGTTGGTGAACCTGGAAATTAAATGTTATTTCTTTACTTTAGGGTCTTTTTTGTATTGTAAGCTAGATAAGAAACATTGAAAGTGAATACAGATCGAGCTTTTATCTTAAAAGGGTTGTTAAGTCTTAAATATTGTAATAATGTACACATCTTAGTAAGTATCATTTTGAGTGATAATGATTGTGAAAAATTTTTTTTGTCCTGGTACAACCTACAGATGATTACAATCGAGAGGAAAGTAAACATTAAGAAAAGTATTGTGGCAGCCTTCAGTAAACTTCTTGTAGAACAAAATACGAACTTTCCTCTAGATAATATGAAGCTCTACATAATTCCTGTAACATTAACTTACCGAAAGCTAAACTCCTGCCCTTCGTCGGGGACAGGCTGTTTGTGCGAGGAGTCGTAGGAGGATTTATTTCACCCAAAAGGAAAGGCGGCAAATATGCAACGTTAGGGCTATTTGAAGGAGAGTTAGTCGGACTACCCAAAGTCATTGGCTCCATTTTCAGTTAATGTTTATGAACTACAAACTACTCTTATCACTTTGTGTAAAGAACAGCCGTTACTAATAATTAATATCACTTTTTTGAATAACCTATACGCTCTTCCGTTGGTTGACAATTGACAGAAAAAACAAAATTAACACGATTTGACATACGATTTGACGTAATATAATTTTTCAAACTGTAAAGACCGGAAATAAACAATGAACAGATAACAGAGAACATTTTAGGGTTATTTGGAAAAGACATTCTCGGTTAGTTTTATGAATCATAGACAGCCAATGTTCTACATTTTTGACATAACGTCTGTCTGTGAGTGAATTAAACTAAAGTGAGTGAACTAGTCGAAAGAGACTGTCCGATCGAAGATAAATGGCAGCCTGCTGTATACAATTCGCTGTAATTGGCAACATTGATTGATATTTGTCAAAATAATTCAGTCAAACAAACGAACATGGATTCTTTGGCTGCAAAGCCCGAGAAGTTTAATGTGTGTAGTAGAAATGCATATGATAAAGTAATATCAAATACTCCCAGAAACATGTCAGCTAATAGTACTAATATTGTCCATAAGTTATTTAATAGAGAGGTAAGTTTTAAAACCATGATATCACTGAGTTCAAAAGCTTGATCCTGTGCTTATGCTTTATTTTTTTTTCTTTCGTTTATGTTTCGATTATATTTTATGTGTATGGCCGATAAAGCATGCTGCTAGTACACGGGATGTAACTTTTGACTTTGATCTGTGATAATGCAATCGCTGATTATGATTTATTTACGATAAACATCTTTGGATTATAAATTTGTATTTACGCTATATTATATTACTCTGTACTGTTCTCCACATTTTTATAAGAAGTTAAGCATTGTTTCGAGCGTCCTAATGATAGAACACGAATATTTTAAGAAATCATCCAGTTTATGAGTATGAATGTTAATAATGTAAAAGTACATTGGCTCTAAAATTCATTATGAATGAGCTAGTTTTTGTTAAGAGTTGCCAGCCATTATGAACAAAATTGGTAGTTATTACTCTTTCTAAATGTTTTTGATTGAAACAAGGCTAAACTGATCAACTATGGCTTTGAAGATCTGTGTTATTCTGGGAAGAAAAATACTTAAGCATCACCAGAATTATAGAATATAACAATACCTATAATTTGTTGGGCCATAAACTTTTATTTATAGCAGCAGTAGCATGGAGTTACCAGTCTGAAATCATTGCATGAATTATTGATGTAATTATAAAAGATGGACAAGCATAAGACATACTCTAAAAACTAGATCAAAGCTGGCTGAAAATAAATCTTTTAAATAATTATTTTATTAGTTTATGAAAAGACTTGTACAAAAGGGAAAAACTTGTAAACTTCAGTTTAGGTATGAAATTATTAATGCAAAATAGTAATCGGCAATAGGTCAAAGAATTCATTATAATAATTTACCTTATCTACTATTTTATTTACATAAAAAGCCTAGCCATAATTATGTACAGGAAGTGGAGAACTAGGTGTGTAATATAATAACAAATTATGTTTTGTTATTGTTCATAGTATTTACCATGGAGCCTTATCTCTTCTATGAACATGGACATATTTTTAACAAAATTACATTATGTTTTTATACTACAAATATATCTAAAAGCTTACAGTCTGTCTAACAAGCAACAGTTGCCATCACCTACATTAACAATAATACAGTCTGTTTATTGGAGCAATGTGTTAGCCTACATTATTCCAGACTCTTATCTATCTTTGTTGCACATTCCGTTCAGATCCATTCAGCAGTTTATGCATTAAAGAACAACAAACAAACATACATACATCCTCATAAACTTTCACATTTGTCGTATTAGTAGGATTTTGTCAGGTCCACGAGAGTGTAGTAACAGTGTTATCCAACTCTATGATTTATTAGCTCGGAAATTAAGTACAAATTACTTTAATTAAAGCAGTATAGTAAATGGCTACTAATTAATCTGCTGTCCATTAAAAGTGATGTATAATGGCTTGTGATAACATAGGATTAAACACTATGTGGTTAATATCAAAATAAATTAATGTCTAAGGAAGTTAAATATATCATTATGAATGGTTGAAATGAAAATTACCTAATAATTTAACGCAGCATGATATTACTTTAATAAAGGATGCATCTGTTAGAATATTTATTTGAAACAATAATTTTATTATGTAACAGAATGTGTATATGTGAAAGCATTTTTATTTTGTAGTTAAAACTAAATACTAGAATGATTTCGACTCTTTGAATTCCCAAGTCTCAATTATTCTTTCTTCACCTTCATTCTTCATCTTCTTCATTGTAGTTCATTACTTACTTAATTATGTATTATTTTTCCCTAATAATTTGTTTTATCATTCATATGTAGGTACCTAGTTCTGCCTCTGTGCATTAGAGATTTACAGTAGCTGGATCAATTGTAGATTTGTGTAACTGTGGATATTATTATGATATTCATAATGAAATCCTATATGATTACATTTAGACAAGCGTTTGAGAAATAATATGAATACAAAATATTCGAATTTATTTGTTCTTTTTTTAATTTTGTAGACATTCGGTGGAACATCTAGGAAAACCAATGACAGGGGTCGCAGAGTGTTTGAGAAGATACCGCCGAGACTGCGGTTCTGCCTGATGGACATAGTGCCCTTGTCCTACTTGACGGAGCATGTGTTCATGGGATTCTCCCAGTGCGGGCAGTTTCTTCTTAGCTTCACATACAGCTGTAACACACAGCTATACTTTAGAGAGAGTTCTAAGTTCACGTAAGTAATTCAATTACATATTAAAAAAAAAATCATTGGAAATAGAGTATTATGAAAATGGTCACATAAAACTTTATTTATTTTTTTACACTTCTTGCCATTCTATACAATGGCGCACTTAATACTTAGTGGCATTCTCTAACAGTCAACCTTAGGGTGATGCAGAGAGAGACACTTTAGTGCACTCATATGTTTAGAAATATCTGTAGTTTCTTTATTGATTTGTCTATTAAAGGCAATGTGTGTACGTATTGTTAAGCCTACATTTAAAAATAAATTTCGATTGTTCCACATATTATAACAATAAGGCTGTGCGAACTATTCTTATAGAAAAATGACCTAACAGTTATTATTTAGTTTTATCGACTTTTTCTATGCTAAAAAGCAATACATTAAATAGCCCTTCTTCTTTATAATTCTCTATTATTTCTTATCATTCTACTCTTAGCAAGACATTTTGCAATTATGTTTTATTTATATGGGTATATAAACAGTTAAATAAATTAAAAATCAGCCTTGAAATACATAAACAAATGGAGCCAGATATGAAGCAATTAATTATCAGATTAGAAGTAATATGTCTCAGTACCTACAACAGTTAGTTTTTAATCTGATAACTTATAATATTTGTTAGGAATTTATCTTTGATTAGAGAAGAATGAAGTTTAAATGTCAATAGCTCCACTTGCTTTTAGTAATTTGAGATGTCTTTATTGCATTGCAATAAAAGTTTTTTTATGCGGTAAGAAGTCATTGGGCCTATGTTCAGCAGTTGACGTTTTGGTAGCTGTTATGATGATGATAAGAATGGCAAATAAAATAGGCAAATTTCAAAAACCGTGATCTCCCAAAATGTTGAACTGAAAACTTCTTGTTGTCCACTAATATAACCAGTATCTTTATTTGCTTACTATTTATTATAAAAAAAATCTGTTTCCTAATACAACAGAAAAGTGACCTTATTATTATTGACAGACAGTGTATAATCTCGAATTTTCTTGCAGTTTACACTTTCTGGCATGGGTTCCTGGCACCATTGTGCAACCCGTGCACAGTGTGCCACTGTTTGGAGATGATTGTGTGGACAGCAAAGTGACCATATCCATGGCACAGTGGAAACACAATCCAGATGCCTTAGTTGTATATGGTATTGCGTAAGTATTACTATTATTTTATTCTTTTAACTAGTGTTCTCTAGCTGGCTTTACCCACTTTGTCATAATAAATTATACACAATAAAAAGAACATGGAACGTCTTTCTACACACACAAATCCAGTAGTCCATCAATTGGTGTCTTCTTTGCCTGCCAAAAGATTAAAGAGAGAGATGTGCTTCCTGCCTGAGGGGTGTCAGATGAAGGCCTGTAGTCAATCCAAACGTCAATTGGCCTTCAACTTATTTGTTAATAGTCTGGCGACTGATTGTAAAATTAAAAAGAAATCTTCCTCAGAGATCGCACTGTCCATCTTTGAAAGCTGTACACAAATCTGTTAGGTAGTTTTTGAGTTTATTGCATTCATGCACACAGACACAAAAAGGGCCTTTTTCTATATATTAAAAGATGTTGGAAACAATATAAAGGCGTTTCATACGCCTAGCTTCAGCTTCTACTATCGTATCGGATTAATAAAGGAAAAGAGCGAATTTGTATTTTTTTACATACACAGCTGTCAATACTATATACTTATGCATTCCACTGCCCGAATTGATATGCAAATTGCAATGTGCAGATGCCTGTATCTTTTTTAACCGATTGTATATAAGATTCGAAGCCGTGTGAATAATAGTGTATTAAACTAAACGACTTTCAATTCTACTTTAAGGAATTTTCCTGCAAAATATCTGGGGCCAAGAGTATTATTAATTACAACATGAAATAAAACTTCTCATGCCATTTCGTCTGAATTAACTACTGGAATATAAATTGTTCTTAAATTAATAGAATTACATCGACAGAGTATTAAATAAAATAATTGCTTGCCTCTTGCACCTACCATTTACTCTTCTCTGCATCACCCAAAGGTCAGATTGGTAGAAAATTCCTACGGCATTAAGTCCACCTACTTGGACATTTTGTGCATGAAGTATATTAAATTAAAATGAAAAATACTTGTATTCATCATCATTAAGGTTAAACTAGTCGCGGGCTCGAACTCAATCAAGGGCGTGGCCAAAAAGCGCGCTGTCTCATCTAACATCGTGTGTGACAGAAATAGTACCAGTGATGAGCAGTTAGACGCTATCTATTTGCACGACGTATTGTTCGCACGCACACAAACACAGAAAAACGTCACTGAACGGTGCATATATCTGTGCTGTGTGTGTTTACTCGTAGTAAAATCGTACACGCTGCTACGATTTTATGATGCTCGCATGAATTTAATAATTATTGTCACAGGGCATTGTAATTACTGACAATTTTTTTATGATATCAACTTATCATCCGATCCGAAGAATCCACGAAAGGCTAGGGATATAATTTTATATAATATTTTTTTTTCTAAGTACCAATAACTTTATGTACCTACTACAAACTAGCTAGATGCATCTTTTATCTAAATAATACAGTTCAACTGTCATATTTTCATCAGGTTATAATGTTTAACTAATATTATAGTTTGTTTGGTTGAACATAATAATCTCAGGAACTACCTACCTATTTAGGTAGGTACTTACTGGTCTGAATTATTTCCTGAATTTCGAGACAATTGATCTGTCATTATGTTTTCATAAAATTAAATATATACTTACCTAGTTAGGTACGTCGGTGACTACCTAAGATTACTAGAAGTAGTGATAATACCACATAATTAGATTTTCGTCATTTCGTCCGTAACAAAACTTGTGGACTTCATACCTACATCGTGTAGGTAGGTCCCTAACTCCAACTTCGTGTTAGGTACCTACAGACTTTTTGGCAGCTTGGAACGTAACATAAAGCTGCGCACTAGGTACCTCCCTGACACAAACATAAGTAGAGATACCGGCTCGAATCTTGAGCGCTCGGCATCAAAGTGGGTAGGTATACATTGGCGAGCTAATCACTGTAAAAGGATTTTTGGGAGAAGAATTGTAGGTAGCAACAATCCTTCTCACAATACCTACTACTAAAGAGACTTGATTTCTGCGCAATCTGAGTCAACGCTCAATATTCATGCCGGTATAGTATCTGTATTAGCAGCACAGGAGAGCGCCGCAAGGCTGGGTATAATTGCTAAGGGTTCACCCTTTTAGTTACTTGCTTATTTATTATGCTTTTATTTATAGACAAAAAAAAACAATGAACCTGAAAAATCTTTATTGGTAATCGTAATATTTATCTATATCTATCTATCTATCTATACATATAATAAATCTGTAGAAAAGTAATTTTTGTACATTGAAGAAATTGACAAAAAAAATAGCCAGTGTGTTAAAAGATAACCAACAGAACCCATTTCCATCATTTTTGAAACTTTCTGTTTGTCTGTTTGTCTGTTTGTTTGTGCGCGCATCACGTAAAATCTACGAATTCAATGCAGACATTGTTAATATATAAAAATTCTACGCAACTCGAGGTGTAACTTAGTTTTTGTTTCATCGAAATCGGTTCACTCTATCAGAAGATATGATTAATTTTGTGAGTTCAAGTAAAATGTTACAACACGCAATTCAGTATAGTACTCGAAATTATATCTTTGGAAATTTTTTTTCGTTTGGTCATTGGTTTAAGTCCGAAGTAAAGATACTAATTGATATTATAAACAAGTAGAATTTTTTTTTATGTGGGAAAATCATCGATTGATTGCTCCTGCCTAGGAGAGGCGGGAGGGAGTGTCAGACTCTTACTGACTAAAAACCACCCCGTTCCTTCTCCTGCACGTCGAGCCGGAGCCCCGGTTACCCGTTAGGTTCTTCGCGACTCCGAATCGGCATCGGCCCTATTGGGCCCCATCTGTGGTGGTCTGATGGCTCTTTGAGGCACGCGTGGAACGCGACGCGCCGGACGCTCGGGTTTGTTTCTGGTCGGACGGGGAGCCACCCATGCCGCCGTCCGCAGGCCCGCGCTTACAGTGGCCGGATATCGTCCCGCGATCCCCGACGCCCAGTGTGTCCTTCACGATGGCTGGGTTGCTGCTGGGATCCGCACCGATAACTGTATCTAATAAAATCTAATTAGATAAGGTATAATAAATTGTAGGGACGACTTACCCATTGTTTATTATGTATTTTCCAATGACACTTGAAATTCCAAGTGTCATGCAATCAACCAAAACAACTTCACTAAATCACGACAATTGCACGACAGCGCCTGTCGTGCAAATAATAATTGTGCAAAAAATTGTGCAAAAACGCGTGTGCGTCTTCCCTCCGCCCCGCGCCACTGCCGGGGGAGTTTTATCCAGTGAAATGAACGATAATCCATCACAAAACGAGTGCGTAAAAAAGTACGATTTAGTGCTTTAGAAAATAGCGTTTTTTGAAAAAACCACTGCTTAGATCAATTTCAAATAAATTTTATAGAACTCTATGGTAATTGTGCTGAGTCGGTACGGTCTTCGGTTTGGAGATTTTACACGATTAGTGGTATTTTTTAACACCCAAAGTTGCGTTAAAATTGTAAAGAAAAACAAAACTTTGTTGGCTCATAACTTTTTAGTAGTTTTTTTTTTATTTTTTTTGTTTCCGTACCGACAAATGTAATTACAAGATAAAACGATATCGTGTTTAATTTTGTAGGTACACATTCACACTGTCGAGTAATACCACCCCGAACTTTCTATGGAAAAAATATCGACTAGTGTAACCTTAATTATACAAACTCACACAAATTGTCACATGAAAATTAAAATTATATATTTGTCATTAGTTAATAAATTTGTCTATACATATAATATTCATGTCTTCAAAATACGCATAACGGTCACTCGCAAGAGCTAAAACAACTACAAGTATACATATTACTTGATATTTCTTAATGTATATAGGTACGTTATTGTAAATAATGTGTGCGCAACCGTTAAAGTAATGGCTCTTATAATGACAGCATAATATTTTTTTCGAATTGTAGCTACCATACCTCTCTAGAATATAATACATTGTTAATAATTCCATGCCTACAAGTTGAGATTTATTCGAATTACTTTGTTCTTGGGTATCAATGAAAAACGTTTTTATAGGCTCTAATCGGAAGCCCGTATTCACTTACTGTATTCATTAGCTATTTTCTTATCTTTCTAAAAATAAAGACATCAATCATAAATCTCTACCAATCGATTTGTTATCGTTAAGAAAATACCGCGTCGACGTAATTATAATCTTTTTCAGTCGAATGTAATAGTTTACAGTAATGTAAGCTGGCTCGGCCCACTGTTTACAAACATACAACTTTTGTGCACATTGTTCACAGAGATTCCTGTTCGGAACGGTCCTACCTCAGTGTTATAGGAGTACCTCGCTTAGGGTGTAAGAAATGCGCAGCTTTTTCAAGAACTGAAGGTATGTATCTGTTGAGGTGACCCGTCTGAAACAAATATGCTAGTGAGCTACATACAAATTCCTCTTTACAGATGATCTAATTTGGGGTAGAAGATGCATCCAACACAATTTTGCAATACACACAAAATTCTTCTGCACGTCCGACTCCAGTATGTACGAACCAGTAGTTCAGTTGGCCTACTCCAAACAGATCATTATCTACACCGACTTCATCCACATACTCGAGATAGACTTCGTAGAACCTGACCCAGAGAAAGCGGAAAGGGAAGCGGAAGACTCGAAGAACTTTTTAGAGAGGGTCAGGGACAGGGAGGAGGTCAATTCTATTGATACGAATCCCGACACCCCGGCGTCAGACGTCTCCGCACCATTTCAATCTCCAAAATATCAGAACAACGTTGTTCAGAATATCTTAGCAGATTTTTCAGACTTCGAGATGGAGCCGTTCCAAATGTCGAAACCTGTCCGGTTGCCTGACGTTATGGGACAAGAACTATGTATTCAGGCCTCCTCCATCTCTCACCACAACTTGGTAGAGGAATGGGAGGGACCCTCGCCATCCATCAGGACACTGATCAGCCCTCCCCTACGGTCTCCAAGGCGACGGCCGGCTGAAAGCATGTCACGGTTCAACGAAACACATAGAACAATAGCGGAGAAAGCCTACGAATTCGTGGAGGAAGCAGAAACTAAATGTGAGAAACTCAGTATGTTTAGGAAACGAAGGTTAGCTGACAAGAAGTACGAGTTCTCAGAGGACAACAACGAAAACATTGTCCCGTTCAGGGTGTTACGGAGTAACAGGAAATATTTCATAGGTTCGACGAGTAAAAATCAGGTGAAGCGAGGCAAGTCTCCGACTGGGGAGAACGTGGTGCTGAGAGCTCACAATCAGATCAGTAGGCCGCCCTCGCCGACTACTAGCTCGGAGTTAAAGAACCCTGACCTGTCCACGCTGGAGTCGGACCACAACAGTGAGTCCGAGTACCGGGTGACGGAGATGTTGGACGATGGCTCTCTAAAGACTGTCGCTGTGCACGATAACACCTCGAAAACTCTCTCAGATTGTCCTGTTAATGAACAAGACCCGTATCTCGTGCACTCTGGGAACTCGAAGTGCAGTAAATTCTTCACGCGTTACTTCGTGGAGAGCGATGATGATATAACTTCTATCATCACAGACTCAGAAGGTAATTTTTCCTTAATAATATTTTTAGAGATAATGATTGTGTACATATTTGTAGGCGTTGTTGACGCATGATAAAAATCGCTCTCTTATCGTGCGGCCTGCTAACTGCTCTGAGTTTTAATAAATTGCTTTTTTGTATTATTATGCACCAACGCTTTAATTCCATGTTTTTCAATTACGTCTAAGCGGATAAAGAGATTAAGATACAATTCAATTCATTCAGCACCTACTATAGGTGTCCTTGCAGAAATTGATTAGGTACCTATTTCTATACTACTTAAAGTTAGTGTCTAAGTATGTTGTGGGCTACAGTAAACGACGCTACCATCGCGTCATAGTCCTATAAAAAAAATAAGTACATGAGTTTGATACACAACTAGCAAAAATAATATGTACCTAAAATTCTTTTTCTATACTCAGATGACTGCATCTCGGGCTACCACGTAGCTTTGCCTCTATCAGCTCACGGAGCGGGCTACGTAGGGCTGCAGGGGATTAGTTCGGGGGCCTGGGACCGACTGTGTGGGGCCGGACCGCCATTACTACCCCTAACTCTGCGAGCCCACCAACGGTCCTTAGACACAGAGTTACTATGCAACGAAGTATGTGGTCGGCTCTGCAATATAAATAAGAAGAAGTTTATATACTGCTTCGACTGGGGCTGCCATGTTATTGATGTTTGTCAGTCCAGCGGCTGCTTGTCCGGGGTGAGTTGTCAGTTTTATCTATTCAATACACGTTTTAAGTAAATGGGTTGCTTATTTGAATGTACTGGACTAATCTCTGGCTCTTTTTTAGTGAGAGACTAGTATTTAAGGATAAAGATATTGGATTGCTGGGAAAATAAGATAGAGCATTTAGTCTTTTTAGGCACCTAGCTTGAAGGATTTTTTAATTTTCACCATAATGCCTTAAAATATTGTCACATAAATGTTTAAAAAAAAGAAATTACAACAACACTGTATTTTGCTCGACACCTAGCTATATTTACCTCATTAACATAAGTAGATGTATTTATTTGTGTTTGTATAATTATTTCAGTTGTGCGCGATGTGGATGTGGGCGAGTGACGACAATGGCGCCACGGCGGAGTGCGAGGCTTGCAAGGACGTCAGTGCGGGCTGCCTTGTACACCGGCAACAGTACGCTGCAGAGGTAATCTACTATATAAAAATAAGTCGGGTTTTCCTTCCTGACGCTATAACTCCAGAACGCACAATTTCCACGGTTTTGCATACGTTGGAAAGGTCTCGGGCTCCGAGAGGTTTGTAGTACTATGTAGCAAAGAAAATTCACTTTTAATCACCAAACGAAATATTACATAAAACGAAACCAACTGGTGGCGAAACGGAGTTCGCCTGGTTTGCTAGTTTATTATAAATCCTAGTTTTCATGCAATGCAAGGCATCTCGAGATCGGTGTTCAGTTCATGATTAACGTTTCCAAAATTGTTAATCGTTCGGAAATATTAAGTATTAACTCTTCGAGGGAAAATTTCTTTTGACTTAGGTACTGAATGAAGTTTCTTAATCATGATAATATTTGTTTGTTGCAGTGTTTGTTTGTGTGGGACCTTGTGAGCGGGGTGTACAGGACTGAGAGAGTTTCCATGACAGAAGACTCCAGCCAGGAGGGAACCAGAGGTACTTTGCTTGTTATATAACTTGTATTCACAAAGTATATATTTATTCTTCAGTCGTCGCGCAGCTCACTCTGAAGAGGATGAGGAAGTACCTCTCTGTCCACATGAATAACCCGCGATTTTAGTTAATAATGATATCTTTTAGAAATATCGTTTTGTGCTTACATTAAACTTTCGAAGTCATTAAATCTAAAGTGGGTATCCATTATTATCATGATTATATTGTCAAAGTTATACAGCGTCCCATACTGAACGTACCTAATTCAAATTATTTTTAATCATAATAAAACATTTAAACTTATTCTAATATAATGTTTATTCTATAGTTTCAGGCGCAGATCGCGCTCGGGAGCTAGCCAAGAAGCTAGGGCCGATCAACATGCCGCCTGGCAATGAAAATAGGTTGCTAACTACGTTGACAGGTAAGATGCTTATTTGTAAACTGTAGTTCTACAGACTAACTACTACTACAGACGAACTAGTTTCTAGTAGAAAACATCATTCTTCAAGTTCCTTTAAATCATTAAATAAATAAAAATATTCAAGCCTTTCATTTCACACCTCATTAACTGCAAATACATTTACTGATACATCATGCATTTTATTTTAGATTTAAAAAGAACATTATATTATATTATTCACATATCATTTATCATCATCATCATCACTTTCGTCATATGAGTGAAGTTACCGGAGGCCCAATTCCCCCCCCCCCCCCTTTCCCCAATTATCAATCCTCAAATTCCTAATCCCAAAAGGCCGGTAACGCACTTGTAACGCCTCTGGTGTTCCATGGGCGACACCGATTGCTTACCATCAGGTGATCGGTCTGATCGTTTACCGGTTTATCCCATAAAAAAACGTTCTTCAAAGATGTCCAATTCTTTTTCATCTGTGGCACTTTCAATATCATGGCATAGTTTAGTGCGTATATTACTCTTGTTGCTTCTCTTATAGTGACACTGTAAAATTTTAGTTTTTTTTTTCATGTCATGCTTATTTCCATGCTCCGTTGGCATGCATATCAGAGACTGTAGTCATGAATACATGTCTCCTACCGTTCTTAAAGGACAAAGTAAAAAAACCAAAGTCGATTAAAATAATTGATGGACTATGTAATACACCATCAGAGGTCACGAATACCTATTCGTTTTGGACAAAACCATAATCAAATGGGCCAGGAGTCTGCAATACCTATATTAAATTTTTTAGGGGAGCGTGAATTTTTTTTGTTTTAATTTTTTCTTAACGTGTATGGAAGGCGCTGAAGTAAACAAATAAGGAATTACATTTACAAAAATTAGAAGCAAATCCCCTAAACCTATAACATTTTCCAAGATTGTACATACATTATCACAATACAATGTGATTTTGTTCGAAGAAAACTGTATAAGCTGGCTGGTAAATCTACAGAAAAATCATACAAAGCTAGACCATGATAAATTGCTCATATTTTTTATTACTTGGTGATGATTTCATCGAAAACAATTGTTGAATTTGAGATATACTATGTATATCTACTCTACCTTGCCCCATATAAATTATTTTAATCGATTCTGAGTTTTTGCTCTACATATTTTTAGGCATTGCCCTTTCTTTGACAAATTACTTTTAAAAATGATTAATGGCATGTAGTCTAAAAGATAGGCTACAATATTTCCCAATTTCCCATCACTCTATTATCGTTACAATATGAGAGAGAGAAAGAGCAAGGCGAGTCATTAATATAAATACAACAAAGATCGGGCCCAAAATCGACCCCTGCGAAACACCTATCTAAACTTCAATATATTCCCTCAATTCTATAAATCCTGTTACTCAAGTCTACAGTAAGATTATGATGCGAAGATATATGCATTGTTACAGGGCGGTCGCTCAAAAGACTGACCGATGTGGACAACTGCATCGAAATAACTAAGAATCATCCTGACAGCTCGGAATCTGAGTCATCAGCCGAGGAAGACAGTGACTACGACTGATTATATTCTAGAAACATCTATAATGCATAAATATAACCTCTAAAGTGAATTTTATGAGGTTCTTATGGACTAGTGTGTTATGGACACGGAGAAGTAACTAGGTGGAATGCTAACATAAGGCAATATGTTTTGGTGTATGTACCGATACTGCTATAATTATCTATGTCATTCTTAAAACCATTGTGTTGCTATCATAGTTAAGAGAAATATTGATGTTTTGATGTGGCCGAATCACAAATTGTCGTTATTCTATTTGTTCTACATGTTTAAAAACTTTGTACCATGTCTTTTGTCGTCGTTCGAGGTACAGTTTTTGCATGAAGGGTTAGCACTCCAATGTTTATATTCTCCGTGGTTATTTGTCACAAAATGTAAACAACGAATGGAAGTTGAATACGTATTGTATAAATGTTTATCTCCTTAGGAGCTCAAGAGACAGTTCTTTAGTAGTAGATCAACTTTATGTATTTGTGTTCATTACTGTAAATTGCCGGATTTGTCTATGAACATATTTTGTTCTTTGTCTATGTTCCATATTTGTCTTTTACGAACAAGGCTTGGAACTAAGCAAAATGTTACAGTGAGATGTGTTTAAGTAAACATTGATTTTCGAATGAATAATAATGTACCCATATGATAATTTGATATGATGTGTAGTCTCTGATTTAAGCCGTAATTTCAAATTATCATTTTCCAAGTAGATTGGAATTTTAGTCATTGTAGGCCCGATTTTTATCATAGTAACATTTACCTCTTTCTGCCCGACTTTAGGAAGGGTTTTTTTTAATATTATCCGTATATTATACCCACTCAATTTTAAAGTTTCTACCATTTGGTATCTTTTGTAAATAGATTTCTGACAAAAATATTTGATACTAATAGAATCAGTGTTGTAAAAGAATCCGTTTCTATATTTTCATATGGAATTTTACTTGTACTTTGTAACAGCATACTGTAATACAAATAGAAACGTCTTGTTAAAATATTGTCGTTGTTCAAATTCTAATTTCATAATAGGGTGATAGAAATGTTAGCACATGGTGTTTTCTTCAAAAAAATTACCTTTTTCGACAAAGTAAGTATTCTTCTGGATTTATAATTATTGTATTTCTGAAGAAGCCATAATCATCAATATTGTTATCTGATGACACAGTATGTTTTTAATATTATTTTTGTGGTAGTTTTTCGAAGAAACACCCTCTTAAATAGTATCAATGGAGCATCTCTGACTTTTTATAACTTTTGGTCGGTTGTGAAGCATTGTATCGCGTACTTAACAATTTATATCCCACTGCTTGTTTACTTAAATAGTCTGTGTGAAAAGCTGTATAGCATAAGTAAACTGCAAATATTATCAACATTCTGTATCTGTAATACTTTATTATTTATTTTGAATAGATGATGACTGGTGTGAATGTCATTTTATGTGTAGTTTTTTCCTAGTGTACATATTACAACTATAGGTACTACGGAAGGATTGTTGATACGTCTTTTTGCGACGCATTTTCTTACATTTCAAAGAATTGTCTTCGCATCCGGCCTTTAGACTAGCAACGAAACGAATCGTCGGATACTCAAATGGCTGACTGCCGCATGATATTTCATTGTACATAATTATAGTCTTATGGATTAATTTATACGAACTGTTTCTAGTAGAAGTTTCCACTATCAATGTCCAGTTTTCGTGTCTGTATAGAATGTGTTTAGCTCCGCTCGTGATATCGGTATTCTAAGGGTTCCTTGTTTAACTGTGAACCCTGAAAGACTGGGGTTTTGAAACACTGATTCTGTGTAACACTATTGAATTATTATATCGAAATTTCTGTTTCATGAGTTCTTTGCAATTCATTAGCTGAAAATTAGTAAAAAAATATTAGAAATATAAGAATAAAATGTGCGTATTAAGAATATGTTTGCACAAATCCGTGCACCCCACTTGTAAGTATCAAAACCTCAGTCTTTTATTGATAAGATAAGAACGTGCGTAGGTATTGATGTCTATGTATTACTTTTTACTGCATTTATGTATGTATAAAGTTATCGATTACAAGTAGTATGATAATCGTCAATGATATTAATGTGTAAATGTTTCAACGAATGACCATTATAAATGGATTCTAGCACATGTGAGGTGAATGGCGTTTGATAGTATGAGCTTAGGTGTGGACTTTTCTTCTTAGAGTAAGTTGGTGGGGAGTTTGCACACAAATTCCTACATATGTGCTGGAATTCACTCCTAAATATGAACCTAGGCTCATAAAAGGTTGTGATTGTTTGAACATAGGTTTGTAAAGAGAAGTGCCTCTGTGACTTGATCAATACCCTCCAACTATACCACCTCTTTCAACAAATGTAGCTATTTATTTTATCTGTGACACTGACAGTTTAGTATTTCATGTTAGCAGTTCTCTATGATTCTGATCTTGAAGATTTGTAAATATTTTTTTATTAGTGATGAGCTGAGACCTCACGATACTAGACTTATGAACTGTGGAGGGTGTACATACTACGTAATTTTGGAGCAAATGTGAAGGCAATGAGTACTACTAGTGTATAGAATCTTAATCATATTTGTTGAGCCGTATTATATTGACCTACGTTGTGGTCGATTTCACTCTTTGCCAGTTATATTAATGGCGATAATTTTAAAAATGTTTTTAATGAATATGAAGTAGAATAGAAAAAAGAGATTATCCTATACAGTAATTAACTCACGTTGCGATAATGGGATCAAAGGTCGAGATGAATACATTCAGACGCGATATTTATCATAATGGCAAGCAAAATGTATCAAATATGGTGCCAAAAAAGGAACTTCAAGGTCCAAACGCAACAGAGCGGGAAATTGTATAAATTACTGGATAGGCTCTTTAAAAATGAATGTTTAACATATTTATCTCACTAACATGTGAGCAGTTGTGAGCTCTAGTCTTAAGTATTGAATGATTGCACTAGTGTGTATCCAACCGCTCCAAGCCAGAGGCATTCTGAACTAAGTAACTAAGCAATATGTATGTAACAATGGTTGTCTCAGAATATTTTTCTCAAATGTCTTTTAAAGGTTTGAAGATTGTATTAATCAGCTTACAGTAGGTAAGTCAGATGATTGCATTTAATTTTATGTTGTACCTGTCGACAAAGACACTGACAGTGTTACTTGCCATCAAATTGTATTATACTATAGATAGGTATGAAACAATGCATGATGTAATAATAACATGAATAATTAATATTGTGTTTTATTCATACTGTTTTGTACATTTTTACATGGTTGAGCCAGTTGAGAATGTTCAGGAAAAATATCTACACAAAATTAAAGTCAAAATACCTACACAATAACATTTCATGATTCTTATTACTTTTTATATAAACCGAAGAGTTTGTTTGAATGCGATAATATCAGGAGCTAGTGGTATTATTCTGTGGAACTAGTCTGATTTGAAAAACTATTTGTTCTTGGATAGCCTATTTATTTAGAAAGGCTATTTTTATATTTTTGGCTATAAAAATATCATGCTACGACCAATAGGTGCGGAGCAGAGCGGGTGAACCGGTGTAGAAGTAGCTAATAAAAAATATTGCTAAACAATAAAAATGGTCAATTTCATGAGAATTCTGATTTATGTTTTATGTACAAAAATAATTGATATTTACTCTTTAGTCAAAAAATTACACTAATTGCACAATTTTTACAAATCAATCTATTAGTTTGTCAATAGAATAGCACATAGTTTAGTCAACTGTAAAACTTAAAACTAGAGCTAGTTATGAAGCAACTGTATATACAGAAAATGGTGATTAGAGGTGACGAATTTAAGAAAACTAAAGCTGTTAAAACTTATTGGTGATCACATTTTCTTTATCAAAGGAATATTTCTAATGTGGCAACACTAGTGACAAATTCATTAAAAACTATAACTTACACAATATACAAATAGCAATACTACAAAATGCTACAGTTACTCTTATAATTAAATATTTAGCTGAACATACCTAGCAGTGTAACAATACCCTTAGTTGTAAAATACAAATAAAATGTTCAAAATATTTATTAGTGTCCAGAATTATAAACTGTATACATCATCACACTCGGGCTCTATCTCCATAGGAGGGCTGCGACTCTGACCATTTTCCTCGAGCATACAGTCTAATGATAGTCTATCAAGATCGTCCCAAGACAATTTACTGAACTTATCCTGCACAAGTTTTAAAAGGCGGTTAGAAGCAGCTACAGCCTCGGAGTCTGTCATGCCATACATTTTCTTGAAGTACTTCACAGAAGCTTCCTGAAGTGTATCAGGCTTTTTAACAACTAAGTTTAATTTAGTGCCATCCTTTATTGTAGGGTATGCATCCACTGTCTGTTCATCCACTAATGTCCTGCCTAGTAGCAGCAATTTCTGTTCCTCTACTGGAATTTTTAGTTGTTCTGCGACCTTTCGTTTAATTTCAGATATATGTGTGGTTGGAAGTACCTAGAACAATCGTATGAATAATAAAATATTTGTTGGGTAAAATGATGAATTTCATTTTCTACGAAAATACTTACTTCCAAGCAACATTCACCTCCTTGTAACTTTTTTACGATTACTTTCATTGTGATAGTATCAATGTAATTCCAATTTTCACGAAACTCTGCGTGTAAATTACAAAAATATTAAATCAGTAGCATGATACCAATGACAGGCAAAACAACTGTATAAATTCATAAATTGCTTTTACAGAGAAGTGGGTATCTACGCGTACGGTGATGTTTAAGCTTAGGTTCTTTAAATGAGATATTTGTATCTCGTTTTCTCCAATGTATTTATTGTCTTGTTTTTTCTCTTTCACAATAAATAGTGGCAAATATTCATTGATTTCATACACTGAAACGCGCTTACGATACGACATTACGATAATGACATTTATTTGACATTTTTAGCTGACGTTTTATGCAACTTGTCAATTTGTGACATGTATTTCAATATGGCAATTTTAATGTTCCATGATGTTTTTCCAAAAAGTTTGTGAATCAGTTTTTAAAATAAAGAATAGCCACCTAGATTTTGAAAAACGAATACAGATTATTCTATTCTATTGAAAATGAATTTATTTGCAAATGTCAACTGGTTTTGATCTTCAAGTTTCGTAAATAAATAATTAATTACCAAGGTGATATTAAAAGTTTAGGAAAAGTACACGAAGTATTGATTCGGAACATTGAGAAGATAATAAGAAGCGAAAGAAAGAGTTATTTTTTTGTCTCAAATATGAACAACAAAAAAACTTTAGAAATTGTTCACGGATATCACAATAATGCAATCCTAATATTTGAAGCAGATTGTTTAGAAGGTAAAATATGTCTACATACACTATTATACAAAAGTTGCAAACTTTGTTGCTGGCAGACAACTTTTGTCACAACAAGAAAGTATACTAATCACGAGTATACAAAGATTCTTGTTATTTTCTAAGTTTACTAATTGTTTTTGTTCAAAAAATCGTCATTGACTTGTAAATTAATCGAAAAAATAAAAAGCCTACAGGTAGGAACTTACTTTCACCAACGGATTTTTCATTTCAATAAGTAGAATCATCTTAAAACTTTTCTGTAATTTAATTGTTATACAATGCTTATTACATTTTGAATGTTACTTTATTTTTAAAATGATATTGATAAGTAACGAATAAATTTTGTATTGCAATTTTTTTAAAAAAAACAGCAGTTTGATATTACAATGATATTTTTATACATTGATTGAAAAAACCGTTCCTAATAGGAACCTAGATTTTTTTTATAAAAATTAAGAAACTTTTATATTTTATTAACCCTAAGAACGCCACATCCTGCACCAGGACTATATTCTAGTATTTTAAAATAAATGAATGTTTTGTGAATTTTTTTTTAATATGGACAATATAAAGCCCTTGCTGTCTTCATAATTTTGAAATTATTTCAAAATTATTGATTCTAATTTATTGCTTGCAAATGTCGCAAATGTGAAAATTGTGGAAAAAATAATTTTGTTACTATTTTACAATACCTATGACTTACTATTTTTTACCCAGCACTAGCTTGAAATTTGGCCGGGGTGTCCGTAGCCTAGGAAACGGGTGTAGCTACAAGACAACAACATTGATAAGTCATTTCTTATCGTGTTACATAAAAATTGGCAAAAGTAATTGTAAATAGATTAAATTTTATTAAGAATAACTTATTTGTGAATAAAATAATCATAAGAACTATGATGATTTTGACAGTTCGAGGTATGGATGGCAGGTGGGTTTAATTTAATCTCGATAAATTAATTCGATAATAACCTGAAAAATAGGTTTGATAGCGTTAATAATGGTCTTCAAGCGCGTCGGGAATGATATGCGTGCTTCCCGAATCGGGGGACGGCTCAAATGAGCTCCCCTTTGCTCCCAGTCGCGTATCAATTTTATCAAAGTTATCGGGCAGGAGGGATATGTCGGTGGTGCCTGGTACGGCGCACGACCCGCCAGGATTATTCACCTGCGAAATTAACTTTCGGGACTTATATACTATCTGATACATAAGGGGACGATAATCATAACAAGCTCTAATCAATATCAAGGTCTTACAATGTTCACCCAATTACTATGCAAAATAAAATTGGTAACAAGCATTTAAATTATTTTGACTTGTCATCCTTTGTCAATAATCTATGCAATCAAAATATACAAAAAAAAAAATGTAAGATTAAACAATATTATTATCAAAGCAATATGACAAAGAACATAAATCTGTTTTAAAATTAATGAATAATATCCTATTTCACTAATCAACAATAGACACACTCCAATTATTATAATATTGCATGTAATATCTATACTTATATAAAAATGTCAGTAGTAGCAAGCACAATACACAATAATTACATAAACAAAACAAAATATCCAGTCAAGCATTACATATGGTGGTACATGGCAGGTGGTGTCACTGAACCGTAACAAAGCACCTGCAGCCACCCCACTATGTCCCTATCACAAAATTACACACACTACCTCTAGCTAGCCACACTACAGAACATTAAAAACAAAATTCTCACAGAAACAGTACCAAGCAGACAGTGAGCCAACCAAACACATAGAGACGGTTGTTTGATCAATACTTGATGTCATACAAACCAGTGCAAAGTCACAATAATGTGTTGCTGTTGTGTACCAGTGATATTTTGTAACAAAAATTAAATTTCAATCCAAAATGTCTGAGATGGGCTTTGAGAATGTGTTCTATTTGGAGAGTGAGTGATTTTGTATAGTTGTTTTGTTAAGAGTGCCGGCGTGGAGGGACGGATGAGGTGTTGCCTGGATACGCTCCACGGATACTCTCCGCCCTTGCTCCCAGCAGATCAATAACATCTCTATCACCTGGGATGGTGTTATGCAACAATTTAGATGATTCATTTTAATTGTGTTATTGTAGAAAATGATGCAATCTTTTATTTTTATGGATAACAAAAATTATTATGAAGTGTAATGAGTTTCTATTTGTTATTTAGCATTGCTGTTTTTTGCTGACTAATAGTAAATTGTGGTTTTGCAATTTGATTATAGAGAACACTTATTACTTGCTTGTTGTTTAAAATGTTCAAACTTGAGTTTGAATGCATAAAAATAATTTTATTTTAAATCAAATATGAAACAAAATTGCATAACAATTTTCATATTGTAGTATGCCGAAATTAAAATGAGTATTTTAACAACACTCACTGTGTGCAATTAGATTACCTGTTCCTGCATTATATTAAATTGCAAGTACCAATATCAAAGGGGTGAGCTACCCTACTTTGAAATGTTATCAATTAGTTGGCAGCAGGTATGGCTTTCACTATAATTAGGAGATTAACAAGGGATTGTAAAGTTAAAGCTCCTTTTTTACTTTGTGATTTTAATAATGGTTTGGGTTGCAGTACATTCTGAACTTTAGTTGTAAAAAAAAAATGAAATCTGTAAATAATTTGGATTAATTGTAATTTTCTGTTTGAATATTTTTCTATGTATTTGATTGATATTTAATCTTTATGTTGCTTTACACAATTTTTAATTTACTATTTCGTTCTAATGTAAATCTTCAATGTTTACAATATGAGGGCGCCATAAGGAGGTTTTTCATTAAATGTATTCCAACGTTGATTTCCTCAGACTTTGAGTGCGCCGGCGACGAAGTTCTGGTGGAGTCGTCGCCGCCTGCCTCGCCCGACATGGCAGCGCGGCTTGCGGCTCCTACCCAGGTAATATTCCATCAGTATCTATCCAAAAAATAACATTATCATATATCCATAGATGTCATCATGCCTGTTATGGGAATCTAGTTCTATTAGTTCCAGTAAGTACTGTAGTATTAGCTTTTTAGCAATCTGAGTGCTTATCTATATCAAGGCTTAATCGTATTATCAGGTATCTAAGGAAGTACTAATCTTTTTAATTTTCCTCTTTGATTACCAAACGCGGCTGCCGGTTCTGCGATATCTACAACTGAAACTTCATGTTTAACAGTCGTGCGCATTAACCACAGGAAATCGGAGATACCCCACAAGATCTATGTGTGTTTACATGTAGTGATGCATTTATTTGAATCTAGATGTTGTGACGCACACACTTTCCTCAGACGGCATAACTTTTTGCACCTAAAACGTACTTGTGACTATCAAGCCTTATCATATTGCGGACTTTCTCGCATTGCAGCAAAGAAAATTATACCAAATCACTCGAGTCCTGAAAGTTTGTTCATAACTTCATACAGTCGATTATGCTGACTAATGATGAGTCATTCGAAGGTCAAGGTTCATTATAAAAGCAAAGTAAATACCGATGTGTACGTTACTGTATCATAAAGCACATGATTGTCTAGTGATAATGCGTCAGTCACGCTTGTAAAGCGATTTATTAGAATACGTACTACGTTTTGATAAAAGTATGTACGTACTTATTGATTATAACTTTTTTCTAGGCCTTGTGAACTATGAACATCATAGACGATTTTTAGGGGCTTATTAAGTATTAGTTGTTTGTTATTGAGCTTCTTATATTTATATTCTTTTAACTGTTAATACTACCCGTATCTAGGTAATAAAGTCTATCTAGTAATCTAGTGAAGACTGCTTCATCATGAATCGATTACTAGATAGGTACCTCACGGACGCGTAAGTGATAGTCTACTTAAATTAAAGCAACCGCAAAGTTAAAGTGTAGTTTCACCCATACACAGTGTATCTGTTCGTGATATGATGCAGACAAAAACACAGTACGAATTTAGATGTGGTCTTCAGCAGTGGATAAAGACTTAGCAACATAAGTTCTGTACCATAAAAATACCAGTATTATGTTAATAGTCCCCTTGGCTAAACAGTTGTGTTGCGTACATAGGGCGGTGGCGCGGCCGGCGGTGCCTCGCCGTCCTCCGTGCGTGAGCTCATCGTCATACCGGAAATAGCCGACTCCATGCATTTGCAGCACGCCATGCAACAGGTAAATATGGTACGCATTATTTTTATTATTACCAGGATAATATATTTTATATCGATCTTTCTCGAAAAGAGGTCTATCGGCTTCGACTTGTGGGAAGGTCTAACTGCGGTCTGACTAGGTGCATAACGTGGAGACAATAAAAGATGTTATTTTATTATTATTGAAACTTCAACCTATTTACCTAAATATTATAGTGCAAAATGAGTAAAAGACTTTTGAACAGACCATACTTCTGCACCCAAGTGCAGGATTACAAATGACATTCATCAACTTCTTTGTTCCTAAAGTTTTACCCACCGTGTCTCATTTGCACTCCAAATGGTCTATTCTTGCTGTTACTGTTACCAAGCGTGATGCCATTACATAGGTGCCTTTATGAAAATCGCCTTTTGATTAATACCACATACTACTACTGATAGAAGTTGGCTGTGACTCCTCAGGTGTCGAGCACGGTGGTGGAGGTAAACGGCGACAGTTCTGGACACTCCAGCCCTACGACTGATGGTCAGCACACCTACATCACGGTGTCCAGCGAGTGTAAGTACCATGTTATGACCTAACCGTCTTATATAGTGTGAATATTTTACTGAAAGATCAGCTAGGTAGCACTATAGTCCATCTGTTTAGGTAATTAACTAAAGGTAAACAAAGAAAACCACGTGACACAGAGATACTTAACCTACTATTACTTCAAATATTTCTCGTGTTTTAATTTTAACTAAATTCACTTTAAAATCGTTCATTTGTCATACACACACATACAAGTACAAATGCCTAAATCGTACAAGAGCCTAGCCTATGGGTCTATTTCATTATCATGTTTAAATAGAAACTATTCTGAATCTGATGTACGGATTTCTTTCTTGTACGGATATCTGTCTTTGGGCCAAGTTTCTTCAATATATTTGAACACATCAATTACAAACGATGAATAACCTAAACTTAAATAACTTAATAACAAAAACAAAACAAAGAAACAAGTTAAATTCAACAAAATAGGAACGCGAGCGCAAACGACGAGAGAGCTGTCAATGGCGCCTGATTAACCGACTAAACGTAATACACGCTACTTTCATTGTCGCGCTACATCTTCGTTGTACTCTTTAATTTGACAACATTATTTTGCTTCGTTCTTAAAGAAACGTTTTGGATACCTGGGATTTTAGGCTCTTTATGGTGTCTATTGTAATGAAATATTATATTATTTAATAAATGTTATTAAATTAATATCCTCAAGCAGATATATTTAATATTTATTAAGAAATAAGTGAAAAGGAACAGAAACATAACATTTAATAGAGAAAACTGTCGTAAAAAGGGAAACAATTTTAATTTCTTATGAAGTATTTTGAATCATGGAAATGTCAACTATAAAGAACTCTTTTTATGGTTTGTTTACAAATAGTTAACTACCTAAACAGACGGAGTATACCTACATCAGTGGTGCCATGCCAAGCCATGGTCCTTGAAAATAACGCCTTGGTAACACCTGGTTCCTTTAGTTGCCGATTCCTTCTGTATGAACCTCCTCATCTAAAAGGGATTCATTATCGCTATTGCTGGTTGATGTTGCGGGTCATGGGGCATGAGGGTTTTGACTATACTTTCTTTAACATTTTTTGGCCCCTCATGTTTGCCTTACCAATATTAATTTATCTATGTTCTACCCAATTGCCACAGTACCTACTTAACTACTTATATATTTTTTTAATAAGGCTTGTAAATTACCGAATTTAAAAGTAAGTAAATAGCAGTAATCATGATGATGTTTATGATTTCTAATTTGATTCTTAGTACCTTAAAAAAAGAAGCATTTTTTGCATTTGCGTGATTGTCAAAATTATTTGTAGTAGATACATGTTTTTTAGTTAGTAAAGCAAGTTTTTTCGCACATTGTTTTACGTAGTATGTATTGTAAATAAAATATTAAGTTGAGCATGACTATTATATTATATGTTTGCACATATTTGTTTTGATGCACATTTTATTTAAGTACGTATGTATTTATTTATGTTGTGTGCGACGTGCAGTGCAACGCGCATGGAATCAACCACATTTCCTTGTCAAGAAAGAAGACCACAGTGACCAAGAAAGCAAGTTTTTTATTTTATTTTTGTTTGGTTTGCGTTTTTGTACTTAAATGCAACTCAACTCATTAAGTCCTGTTTGACTTCAACTTATTGTTATCTACTATTTAATTATTATACCCTATATAATTAGGTATCGTCAGACGACCGTCAAAAGTATTTGTCGGTCAAAATGTGATAAACTCGAAAACTGCCGAACGTATTTTCATACGATTGTCTATACATTGTAGGCACCAAAACTAATTTGATAACCGTATTAGTTTTCTCTCACCTCTATGGTTATGTTAATATCTACAAAGTATAGTTTTGCACCTACTGATCTTAGATACATAAGAACTTTTTAAGAATTTTATCACAAAAAGTAGAACTAATTATCATTCCTTCTTTTTAATAATCATTTAAAAGTTGACTTGTATTTAAGTACTAGGTATATGCTTTGTATTTTCCATACATCACCATCTCAAAATACACTTAAAATGTTTGTGCTGCTTCAAGTAATTTTATTGGGAAGTTGGTCAAGGTTATTCCTAGTAGTCCACGGTCGAACTAATAAGATTTCAGACTAATTAAAATACGCTAATACTAAGAATGGTTGCTTGTAATGTAATCTAATTATTTTTATTACCGATTTGATGTTTTGATTAGTATTGCGAAGGTTAATAAAGTTAAAATTGATGTAAGCATCAATTATGGGGCTGAGAATAGTAAATTGTATTCACTTTTGAATGGCTTGGTCATCACACGTAATCTGGGAGAGGTCCACTTATAATGTTCATCATCCACATTGGGTTGGTTATAAACCGTTTACATTGTATTTATTTGCTACATGTATAACAAACCTATTTAACAAATAGCCATCATTCTTCATTTCCTAACAACACGTCAATGGATAGACAAAATGTTTAAATTAATATGTACAATAAACCTTCTTTTTATTTTTCTTAAACCTCCAAGAAAAAAAATATTACATTTTTTTTAAACAGCCTACAACACATTTGTGTTGCGAACTCCTTTAGTGTTCCGAACGTCCACGGGCGGCGCTGATCACTAACCACCACGCTATTCTTTGGCCCTCATTTTTTTAAAAGTATCCAGAGTTGCATCTCACATAAATCCTCGATAAATCTCCACCTCTTTGAGTTTCCACTTCACTTGTCAAAGTTGGTCAAACAAAACGCTTTGTTCGTTGAAACCTTTGATGGACAAAACTACTGAGGTTCACCCTCTAACATCATAATACCTGATTATCTCTCACCTGTCAGGATTGATGCCCTATTAAATACACCCCATTTGTTATAAAAATGTCAAGGTAATATGAACTTTAATGCCTTGTGTTATGGAGTAATAGATGATAATGAAGTTTGTTATAATTGGTAGGGGTAGTTGCAGGTAGGGATGGACATGTTTTGATCAAATGATTGTTCATAAAATTGATGAAATGTTTTTGTCTTATTTGTTTCTGAATGTTTGGCATGAAATTGGTAGTGGTTTTTGTTTGTGAGTGATTTGGTTAAAGTGTCCTTACCTAGCTAAGGTTTATGATTTGCATAGATTTCAAAGAATAACTTAATAAAACGGTATACATCAAACATCCCTGATTTAGAAAAGTCTTGCACAGAAATCCTCATTAAAACCCCTTCGCAACACAAAATTAAGAATTTAATTTTAGTATGAACCAGACACTATACCGTTCGCCGTGCGCGTGCAGCGGATCAAGTTACAATCAATTTTAATTTATTACATCCTACAAATTGCACATGATACCCTTAGAAGTTGATAACAATGCATAATTGCGATGCCCCGGGGATTATTCACCTGAGTGGTGATTATCAATGGGTGCATATGCATTACAAGGGGATGATCCTACATTATTGTCCACCTGTCTTGTTTGCTGGTTACCTTTGACGTGACGCCCGCCACGCGCCGCCCCTCTGCGCCCGGCCGCCGGTAGCCCAGTACATAGGTACTCTTATATAATTTTTTATTGTACATGTCTGCTCCAATGAATCCAAGAGGGCTTCTACATGATTTTATTTGATATATTGCCTCAGATTTATGAATGTTGTCGAGGCTGTCTAGTAGGTTTTTGTGATCATCGTCTGCGAATTTTTATTAGTTTTTGAAGATTGTTCGTTTTTTATTCGATCTTCTATAGCCTGATGTTTTTGGTTGATTTGTTTATAGGATATTTATTTGGTTTAAAATATGGTTTCTTATTTTTATGTGAAATAACATTATTTAATACAAAGTTAAGAAATCATATTCAGTTTATTCAGTATTTGAACTTGAAATGGCAAACTTGAATGATGTACATAGCTGATTGAACGAAACTTTTAGTACCCTTTATGTAATATGAATTAAATAATAGATTTTAGTAATCTTAAGAATGTGTGGCGGCTTAGTAACCGCAAATTGCTGAGTTGCATTATTGTCGAAACCTGGGAGCGCGGGCGCTCCGCTCGCCAGTCGCGTACGTCACACCGCCCTGCCTCGACATCTACATAGTACGTAGTTAGTAATAACGAAGTATTGTGAAACCGAAATTAAAGACATTTATTTCATCAAAGTACATTTTTCTTATTCACCAAATAGTACACAGGACACGCACAACACTGGTGACCCCGACGTGATTAACAAGTAAGAACTTAGATTTGAATAAGTCTGCAATATTTACCACAAATGAAGCATTGATGAAAATTGAACTTCATACAAGAGCTCATTCATAAGAAGCTAGTTCTAGGTTAATAACAATCGCAGGCATGTAACCTTCATCGGCTTCAGCGGCCAGACATTGTCTCATCACTACAAACACAAGTTAAAAGGGAAATCACAATTATATCGCTTACGTCTATATTACAACGGTTATAACAGGTGGGGTGGGGTGTGAGAGGGACACACATATAAGTTAGAGAGGGAGATGAAACAAGGAGGTTGGTAAATCGGGATGTTGTTCTGGGAAGTGTAGGTCCACCGGCGAGTTGCCTGGGAGATCTCTAGGAGTATGGAGGTGCCTCGGTACCGCTCGTATTACCCCTGTGAGTCACACCTCCTTAGTCTTTGTGCTGCTTACTCAGAGCGTGCTCGTCGCCACTAACGGGTTAATTTAAACGATTTCATTACGGAGGAGTACAATGACTTTCGATATTAGAAGTTATTAAAGCTGAAGGTCTTAAAATTGTGTTAAAATATCTATAATGCTGTATGCGGACAGTTTTATCATAACTTACCAAGTGTCATAGCACTCTTTCGAAATGAAACTCTTCTAAACATTGTGCCGGGTGTTCATAGAGCTTTCTTACTCACTACTAATTAAAGCTTTAAGACTAACATGTCAAGGTTAAGTTTGCATTGTTTTGTTAAGTGTCAGTTGTTTGTCCTGCAGGCGAGGGCGGCAATGGTGTCAACTACCACGTGCAGTATGTCACCGAGCCGCAGGAGATCTACACACAAGGACATCCGCATATGTGAGCTTAATGGTTTTTTTATCAGTATTATTATTCTATTTTGATTTTAGATTGATTTTACATAACATAACATAACATAACATCACGCCTTTCATCCCCGAAGGGGTAAGCAGAAGTGCACATTATACCACTGTACAATGTAACACCCACTTTTCACTATTTATGTTATGAGTCCCATGTAATAGGGGGTGAGCTATAGATTGATTTTCTTCCAGAAATTGTCCTCTATTAAGTATCTGCTACACATACTCAAATTTGATTGATTCGCCTTAGTATTTTTTCTTAGCCTGCAATGGGTCAGTGTTACAGTCTTTCATTTGTTAATTAAAGTTTTTTAATGGAATGTATGATTGTAAGTAATAGTCTGAATTTTTTTTAGTTAAAAGCTAATTACCTAGTTCTTGCAATATTTTTTGCATATTTTCATTAAACTCCTGCTTACTTGGTTATGACGCAATTGCGAAATGAACATAACAAGACATATCTATACACAACAACACAAGAAATACCATCTTGATGGTATAGTTATGGTGGATGAACATGTTCAGGAACGACAGAGCTATTGTCTCAAGGTTATGCTAAAGTGGTTAGTTTAGCACGTAGACAAGACACTGTTTCAGGAACTGATTGGATCATCAGCCGAAAGGTATATGGTCCTCAATAAAAGCCTTTTCTTGTATGCCAACGGTTATGGCGTACCAGCCACTGTCTATTGGTTTAGTTGGAGTTTTATTAACAGCCCTGATTTATTAACAGTTATATTCGCACTAGTCTAACTAACAGAATCCTATAGACATTTCTTAATAATCGTTTATTTTTGCTAGGGACCCGCTCCGCACATACCCCGTGTACGGCGTGACGACGGTGGGCAATGGCACGAGCGCTGAAGGCACGTCGGCCGACAACGGCTGGGGGGGCGCCTCGTCTGCGGAGTACACGGCTTATGGCGTTGTGGTGAGTACATCGTCTTTGCATATCGATATACTACTATCATAGGTACTATGGTGTTGCAAGACGTCTGCTTGTTGGACCTCTCTCCTAAAAAAAACTAAAATTATTTTTTAAGCTATAATATGGACTCCTTTCGACTCCAGTAGAAATATTGGGGTAAAAACTAGCCCATGTTATGAAGTATGGTATCTACCTTATAGTGACTTCACGGTTGGTGCGGTACTGCGGTGGCTAGGCAACTGGCTGCCGCGCAACATGTCGCAGGTTCCATTCCTTCACGGAACAACTCTTTGTGTGGTCCACAAATTGTAGTTCCGGCTCGGTTCTCTAAGCAGAAGAACAAAAATAAAATTGTATTAAAAATCTTCAGCGCATTTACACCCATCCATTCGTTACAACATCATTTTTTTATCCTTTTTTCACATGTCCTGCTAATAGCGTGATTCTTGCGGAAGCATTGGATGCTAGTCGTAATCTCATATAATCTCAAATGAGATAAATCTAGATTGTAAATACCCTTTCATAACACCACATTTTTCATGAAAATGAAGTTTCATTCAACACTAAAAAGTTTAAACATGTTCTGTTATGCTACAAACAGTTTGTCCCTGAACTTCAATAAAAAGAAAGTTCCCTTTAAAAACAAACAAGAAGGGAAGCCATAGTATGACCTTATAGAAGAGTTTCAACCGTCATTGTTTTCTTTTCTTTAATTTTCTAAGTTCAGGTGTTATTGTTTAAAGGGCGGAAAAACACGGCATCACAATTTGAAACAATGGTGGTAAAACCAAAAAAATTATGATGTTAGACCCGCTTTTATAATAACTATCGTGAGACATACTGAATTAACTAAAACTTACGAAGTTATATCTTATCCAAAGGAATCTTCTACAAGCTTTTTTAATCTGTCATCCTTGATTGAGGAAGATAATCATCAGTATTTAGTCTAAATAAAGAAGTAGTATTATGCTAGTCTTATTATGGACTGCCTCGTGGCCGAGTGGTCGCAAGTGTGACTGCCGGGCACGGGGTCTCGGGTTAGATTCCCGGGTCGGGCAAAGTATTACTGGTTTTTAAAAAAAATCTCAGTAGTTGCACGGAGCCTGGAATTGTGCCCGGTATATGGCAATAGGTTCACCCCCTAATACATGGGACTCATAACATAAGTGGAGAAATGTAGGTGTTACTTCTATGTGCACCTCTGCCTACCCCTTCGGGAATAAAAGGCATGATGTTATGTATGTTGTATTATGCTAGTTTATGTTTAGTGTTCCATAGAATATCTTCATATTGGAACAAGACTACAAAACGATGAAAAAAGTGTAGGAGAATTTACATCAAGTACATTTATCCTAGCTTTTTAAAAATAAATGGAGATCAGTGAGTGAGGAGTACGGCATAAGTCGAACGTATTCTAATTATAGCTAATGCGAGCCTTGAGCGCCCACTCTTCACTAGTTATCAAGTTATCATTAGTTAGGATAAACATTTTCCGACGAAGCTAAAAATAAAGGATCGTACTTAGTTCAAGTGCGCAATATCAGATTTTCTGCTCATTTTCATTGATAATTTCTATGAGTAAGTTTCATTCCAATTTTCCGATTTGATATCGGAAGTCGGATCCGAGATTATCTGATTTGATATAGAAAGAAAGAAAAATAACTTTATTTTACACGCTAAAAACAAGTGATATGTATTATAGTGCTAGTTTATAAATGCTAATGGGTACATATTCATGTCCCAAGTCTGTGATGAAATGGGACCACTTCAGCATGAGCAAGATAGGGCCTTGCGCTGGTATTCTGCTAGCTCCTTAAGTAACTCGCGGACGAACAAGCCACCAACCGGACATCTATGAGCAATTTAAATATCGGATTCAAGATCCGAAGACGATAAGTTGGCGGCATTGTTGCAATCTCGTCGGTTATCGGTCGATAAAGTTAACATATAACAATATGTGTATCTAACGTCGAAGGAACCAACATTGTTTAATTTTTTTTTCTGATAATCCCTATACTTTATTGGAGACATGAGAGATTTTTTTTCTTAACGCCATGCGGCCCTTTACAAGATTTCCCTGAAGTCACAAATGTGGAGCTCGTTACTCAATATGCCACATACACACATTATACAATACCGTGTTGGATAAACATGCTTTGGTCTCAGGGTCTCAATTATCCGAATATTTAAACACTAGCTTTTACCCGCGGCTTCGCTCGCGTCACAAAAGGATAAAAAGTAGCCTATGTGACATATACCAACCTACACATAGCGCCATCTATACCAATCGTTTCGTTTTCCCTCGAGAATATCAAATTTTTCCGGGATAAAAAGTACCCTATTATTTAATCCAGATTTGTAACTTCACGTCTGCAAAAATTCAAAGCAATCGGTTCAGTAATTACGCTGTTACGGCGTGATAGTGGAACAAACAAACAAACTCACTTTCCGATTTATAATATTAGTAAGGATAAATAAACATTGTTTCATTTTTAAAGCGTCGAGGATTTCCGAAAAGAGGAATCGCACCAACAACAAATAAACGGACATGAATACAAACTGTACTGAGGAAAGCACATAGCTTACGTTCGTTTTTCAACTTTTTATGTCTGCGTCGCTTGTGCCATTTGAATAAGGGTTGTTACAGGCTTCGGATTCGGTTTTCGGAACTGGATTCAGATAAAGAACACGGTGTTAAGTCGGGGTTATTTAGCGGATACAAAATTGTTGTGGACGGGTTTACTGTCGGAGTCGGATAATATTTTTTGGTGATTTTCGAGGAAATCAGACAATACAATAATCTCATTTAGAATCCACATACGTCATGCATATAAGAAAATTTGGATCAGATTCGTTTATAAATGTTTTGTATCGGATATCCGATGCATCCGGTTATAGTTACGGAATTTTTGACATCTCTGATTTGCAAGTGGTACCCTAGTACGTAGTGGGGTGGGTTGGTGGTGGTGTAGCACCTACCTACAAGTACGGTGTATGTATAGGTGGCGGGCGACGAGGCGGAGGCCCCGGCGTCCCCCGCGACCCCGGGCGGCGCCCCACAGCCCCCGCGCATGCCGCCCGCCACCGTGCAGTGGCTGCTCGACCACTACGAGACCGCAGACGGTGAGACTTTACTTTATAATCCTTGTTGCAGATTTTGGATACCAAATTGTCATGTGAATCAATATTTGAATACTAAGAGTTAATCTTGAGGAATGATTGTATGAAAAGTTAACTTGATTAAGGACCGATTTTTAACGCCCAGTTAAATTTTATAAATCAGAATAACTGTCAAATAATAACAGTTCAATTTTTCAGCTTTATTAAAACATTAATTAAGTAGTACTATTAGTATGATTCAGTTATAGTGCAACAGATTGCAAATAAGTCAAGAAATATAGAATGCTAATGGATACTACGAGATCGCAGTAGATAGAGACTTTATAAATTAAAAAATAAGTCCATTTTTACAAATTAACGACGATTAAAATAAATTAATTACCTTTTGTGTGTATTGCATTAGACAATCGAAAGTTCTTTCCCTAGATAAGAAGTTCCCCACTTGCCTAGGTGTGTCGCTGCCCCGGTCAACATTGTACGCGCACTACCTTCGTCACTGCGCCACGCATCGCCTCGAACCAGTCAACGCGGCTTCCTTCGGCAAACTGATCAGATCAGTGTTCCTTGGGTTACGTACTCGAAGACTGGGTACTAGGGGAAACTCCAAGTACCACTACTATGGGATCAGAGCCAAACCCGGCGTGGAACACGAACCCATCGAGCCGCGAGACGAAATAAGTGACCAACACGATAATGTTGATGATAAAACCGACGTGCTCGATAATCAGGTGAGTTTTATCCGAGTTTTGTGGTGTTAGTAGGGACCATTTTATTTTATCTAGATGAAAAGTGATAGTATGTCTATTTAAAAGAATTTAACTGCGTAGTTTAATAAGTCATTGAAATATTGTGATTTGGTTTTGTATATTTCTTTAATTTTATTTGTGTGCCCCACCCAGTTTCGAATTAATCGGTTTGTTTTCTGATCTCGTATATTTAGACTTAATTGACTTACTTGTATGTTTGCGAGCCAATCTTGCTAACTACTGGCATTATAAATTACTCTTCATTCACTAACTCTCGTTCATTGATGTTCTGTGGTTAAATTAACGATATTAACCTGGTTAATATTGTTGAGATAAAATTGTTGTTTTGGCTTATGACGTCTCAACAATTATGAGCCAAGTTACAATTTGATTGGTCTATTATCCATATCACAGGAGGGCAGGTCTCGCGACCGGTCCCGCGACTCCACCAGTAGCCCGGGCCACATACACCGCCAGTACATGGGCACCGTGTCCCCGCCTGAACCACCGCCGCTCAATATACACCCGCTGCCTGATGACGTGACGCCTGAAGCTTTGAACGCGCTGCGGAGGCATCATAGGTCAGTGGGAGAAAATTGCATTGTCTTTGTCGGCATTTACAAGTGTTGTTGATTAGTTCTTGATGTCACTTGACTTGAATTCGATGGAATTATTTTCGTATCAAGAAGAACCAGACTTGACCCGTCGCTCCACTATCATGGTTCACCTGATGGTAAGCGATTGATGCCGTCCCCGGATACTAGCAACACCAGAAGAGATGCAAGTGTGTTGCCGTCCTTTTGAGATTGAGTATTTGGGTTTTGGGGATGTGATATTGCGGGCGAGGATTGGATTTGACTCAATCCTCCACTTATTCCAGTCGAGCCGGTCTGTCCGTGCCGAACTATAGTTGTTACACATGAAGTGTAATGAAGTGTGTAATGTGAGCGGTGTGCAGGGAGCACGGCGCGGAGTTCCTGGAGGCGGTGGCGGCGCTGGACACGGGCGCGGTGGAGCGCGCGCGGCGCGGCTGGTGGCGGCGGGCGCCGCGCGCGCTGTCGGGGCGCGGGCTGTGGCGGCTGGCGGCGCGGCGCGACGTGGCGGGCTGGCTGCGCGCCGCCGACCTGCAGCTGTACCAGCGCGCCGTCGACCTGCTGCTGCCGGACGTGCTGCGACCCATCCCGCCGCAACTCACGCAGGTACGCATCGACCTTTGCGCACGGACGCTTTAGATAAATAATTAGTACCTATTATACCCAGGTCACAAGAAAAAGATCAAAGAAATTGTGACTAGCGGTGTGATACGTTATTTGAAAGGATTTTTTTATGGAATGAAGGGAAGGGGAAATAGAAGAAAAATATTTATTTCACCAGCTTCAAGCAATATACAGATAGCCCTATATTACTTGAAGTTAGTGAATTAAATAAGAAAAGTCATTTAGCTTTTAACTCGAAACCGTTAAGAATACACGAACTGCAATTGAAATTTGCATCAATAATTCTATTTTAAACTGTCAAACACCAAGCGGTCACCGGTGACCGCGACCTATTGTTCTTTAATTGTGTCTATAAAACCGGTACTCGACGAGTTAAACATACTAACTTTTATTTACATTTCGCTATAGATAATAAATAAATATTGAACAGAAGTAATAAAGAAATATTGAATTATCCCAGGCTATCCGCAACTTCGCGAAGAGCCTAGAGGCGGCGCTGGCGGCGGGCGCTAGCGGCGCGCCGGCGGCGGCGGCCCGCGCGCAGGCCGGCGCGGCCGCCGCGCTGGCCGCCGCGCTGCGCCGCTACACCTCGCTCAACCACCTCGCGCAGGCCGCGCGCGCCGTGCTCAACAACCACCACCAGATACACCAGGTGGGCGCCGTACTGTGCCTCGTTTGGTCCATACACTATACATGTACAAAAAAGAGTTTGACGCGGTGACAGTTGGAACTAATATTGATTTGTACTGAATCATCCACTTCGAACCATATCCCATTAATTAACAATCATCCAAACATGCGCGAGCCTGCGGACGGCGACCATGGGTGGCTCCCCGTCCGACCAGAAACAGACCCGAGCGTATCATCCAAACATAGTACTACTTCTTTTTTAAACTCGATAAGAATAACAATATCAAAACTTGTTGCTAGCACAGGTACGATTTTAGCGACCTCAATTATTCTGAACACTTTTAGCAAACTGTAAGAGAACAACCTGCGTGATACCATGGTATCACAGAAAACAAAGCTTGCGTAGTGTAAAGTTACTAAAGACTCATCTATTTCATTTGTGACTTCTCAAGAGTTACAAACGTCTATGAGCATCATCGATTGCTTATTATCAGGAATCCGCCTGCTCGTTTACCTCCTAAGTCCGTTTACGCACTAGCGGCCAACCCCACGGTTGGCCGTTAACGTAAACGTAACCGTACGGCTGGCCGCCCCTAGGCCGCTTTTCCAATTTAATATACAACCGTGATACAACCGATAATCCATAAGGAAGCTAACCCATGAAACAATACGTACAATATGCAAATGTTTTCGCCCCAGATGCTAGCGGACTTGAACCGCGTGGACTTCCGCGTGGTCCGCGAGCAGGCCGCCTGGGCCTGCTCCTGTGGCAGCGCCGCCACCGCGCACAAACTCGAGGCCGACTTCAAGGTACGTCACTGGGGGCATGGGCTGGGATGTGATATAATGTATGTGGTGTGATGGGATGTGATGTGATGAGGTGTGATGAGATGTGAAGTTGCGGGAGAGAGTGAGCGTTACTGAGTTATGTACGCTGGGCCGCGGCGCGTCCCTGGAGCAGTGGGCGGGGTGGCTGGAGGCGTGCGTGCGGGGGGGAGTAGTAAGTGTGTGAGATGTATGCAGGCCACGCTGGGCCGCGGCGCGTCCCTGGAGCAGTGGGCGGGGTGGCTGGAGGCGTGCGTGCGGGGGGGAGTAGTAAGTGTGTGAGATGTATGCAGGCCACGCTGGGCCGCGGCGCGTCCCTGGAGCAGTGGGCGGGGTGGCTGGAGGCGTGCGTGCGGGGGGGAGTAGTAAGTGTGTGAGATGTATGCAGGCCACGCTGGGCCGCGGCGCGTCCCTGGAGCAGTGGGCGGGGTGGCTGGAGGCGTGCGTGCGGGGGGGGTAGTAAGTGTGTGAGATGTATGCAGGCCACGCTGGGCCGCGGCGCGTCCCTGGAGCAGTGGGCGGGGTGGCTGGAGGCGTGCGTGCGGGGGGGAGTAGTAAGTGTGTGAGATGTATGCAGGCCACGCTGGGCCGCGGCGCGTCCCTGGAGCAGTGGGCGGGGTGGCTGGAGGCGTGCGTGCGGGGGGGAGTAGTAAGTGTGTGAGATGTATGCAGGCCACGCTGGGCCGCGGCGCGTCCCTGGAGCAGTGGGCGGGGTGGCTGGAGGCGTGCGTGCGGGGGGGAGTAAAGTGTGTGAGATGTATGCAGGCCACGCTGGGCCGCGGCGCGTCCCTGGAGCAGTGGGCGGGGTGGCTGGAGGCGTGCGTGCGGGGGGAGTAGTAAGTGTGTGAGATGTATGCAGGCCACGCTGGGCCGCGGCGCGTCCCTGGAGCAGTGGGCGGGGTGGCTGGAGGCGTGCGTGCGGGGGGGAGTAGTAAGTGTGTGAGATGTATGCAGGCCACGCTGGGCCGCGGCGCGTCCCTGGAGCAGTGGGCGGGGTGGCTGGAGGCGTGCGTGCGGGGGGGAGTAGTAAGTGTGTGAGATGTATGCAGGCCACGCTGGGCCGCGGCGCGTCCCTGGAGCAGTGGGCGGGGTGGCTGGAGGCGTGCGTGCGGGGGGGAGTAGTAAGTGTGTGAGATGTATGCAGGCCACGCTGGGCCGCGGCGCGTCCCTGGAGCAGTGGGCGGGGTGGCTGGAGGCGTGCGTGCGGGGGGGAGTAGTAAGTGTGTGAGATGTATGCAGGCCACGCTGGGCCGCGGCGCGTCCCTGGAGCAGTGGGCGGGGTGGCTGGAGGCGTGCGTGCGGGGGGGAGTAGTAAGTGTGTGAGATGTATGCAGGCCACGCTGGGCCGCGGCGCGTCCCTGGAGCAGTGGGCGGGGTGGCTGGAGGCGTGCGTGCGGGGGGGAGTAGTAAGTGTGTGAGATGTATGCAGGCCACGCTGGGCCGCGGCGCGTCCCTGGAGCAGTGGGCGGGGTGGCTGGAGGCGTGCGTGCGGGGGGGAGTAGTAAGTGTGTGAGATGTATGCAGGCCACGCTGGGCCGCGGCGCGTCCCTGGAGCAGTGGGCGGGGTGGCTGGAGGCGTGCGTGCGGGGGGAGTAGTAAGTGTGTGAGATGTATGCAGGCCACGCTGGGCCGCGGCGCGTCCCTGGAGCAGTGGGCGGGGTGGCTGGAGGCGTGCGTGCGGGGGGGAGTAGTAAGTGTGTGAGATGTATGCAGGCCACGCTGGGCCGCGGCGCGTCCCTGGAGCAGTGGGCGGGGTGGCTGGAGGCGTGCGTGCGGGGGGGAGTAGTAAGTGTGTGAGATGTATGCAGGCCACGCTGGGCCGCGGCGCGTCCCTGGAGCAGTGGGCGGGGTGGCTGGAGGCGTGCGTGCGGGGGGGAGTAGTAAGTGTGTGAGATGTATGCAGGCCACGCTGGGCCGCGGCGCGTCCCTGGAGCAGTGGGCGGGGTGGCTGGAGGCGTGCGTGCGGGGGGGAGTAGTAAGTGTGTGAGATGTATGCAGGCCACGCTGGGCCGCGGCGCGTCCCTGGAGCAGTGGGCGGGGTGGCTGGAGGCGTGCGTGCGGGGGGGAGTAGTAAGTGTGTGAGATGTATGCAGGCCACGCTGGGCCGCGGCGCGTCCCTGGAGCAGTGGGCGGGTGGCTGGAGGCGTGCGTGCGGGGGGGAGTAGTAAGTGTGTGAGATGTATGCAGGCCACGCTGGGCCGCGGCGCGTCCCTGGAGCAGTGGGCGGGGTGGCTGGAGGCGTGCGTGCGGGGGGGAGTAGTAAGTGTGTGAGATGTATGCAGGCCACGCTGGGCCGCGGCGCGTCCCTGGAGCAGTGGGCGGGGTGGCTGGAGGCGTGCGTGCGGGGGGGAGTAGTAAGTGTGTGAGATGTATGCAGGCCACGCTGGGCCGCGGCGCGTCCCTGGAGCAGTGGGCGGGGTGGCTGGAGGCGTGCGTGCGGGGGGGAGTAGTAAGTGTGTGAGATGTATGCAGGCCACGCTGGGCCGCGGCGCGTCCCTGGAGCAGTGGGCGGGGTGGCTGGAGGCGTGCGTGCGGGGGGGAGTAGTAAGTGTGTGAGATGTATGCAGGCCACGCTGGGCCGCGGCGCGTCCCTGGAGCAGTGGGCGGGGTGGCTGGAGGCGTGCGTGCGGGGGGGAGTAGTAAGTGTGTGAGATGTATGCAGGCCACGCTGGGCCGCGGCGCGTCCCTGGAGCAGTGGGCGGGGTGGCTGGAGGCGTGCGTGGGGGGGGAGTAGTAAGTGTGTGAGATGTATGCAGGCACGCTGGGCCGCGGCGCGTCCCTGGAGCAGTGGGCGGGGTGGCTGGTGGCGTGCGTGCGGGGGGGAGTAGTAAGTGTGTGAGATGTATGCAGGCCACGCTGGGCCGCGGCGCGTCCCTGGAGCAGTGGGCGGGGTGGCTGGAGGCGTGCGTGCGGGGGGGAGTAGTAAGTGTGTGAGATGTATGCAGGCCACGCTGGGCCGCGGCGCGTCCCTGGAGCAGTGGGCGGGGTGGCTGGAGGCGTGCGTGCGGGGGGGAGTAGTAAGTGTGTGAGATGTATGCAGGCCACGCTGGGCCGCGGCGCGTCCCTGGAGCAGTGGGCGGGGTGGCTGGAGGCGTGCGTGCGGGGGGGAGTAGTAAGTGTGTGAGATGTATGCAGGCCACGCTGGGCCGCGGCGCGTCCCTGGAGCAGTGGGCGGGGTGGCTGGAGGCGTGCGTGCGGGGGGGAGTAGTAAGTGTGTGAGATGTATGCAGGCCACGCTGGGCCGCGGCGCGTCCCTGGAGCAGTGGGCGGGGTGGCTGGAGGCGTGCGTGCGGGGGGGGAGTAGTAAGTGTGTGAGATGTATGCAGGCCACGCTGGGCCGCGGCGCGTCCTGGAGCAGTGGGCGGGGTGGCTGGAGGCGTGCGTGCGGGGGGGAGTAGTAAGTGTGTGAGATGTATGCAGGCCACGCTGGGCCGCGGCGCGTCCCTGGAGCAGTGGGCGGGTGGCTGGAGGCGTGCGTGCGGGGGGAGTAGTAAGTGTGTGAGATGTATGCAGGCCACGCTGGGCCGCGGCGCGTCCCTGGAGCAGTGGGCGGGGTGGCTGGAGGCGTGCGTGCGGGGGGGAGTAGTAAGTGTGTGAGATGTATGCAGGCCACGCTGGGCCGCGGCGCGCGTCCCTGGAGCAGTGGGCGGGGTGGCTGGAGGCGTGCGTGCGGGGGGGAGTAGTAAGTGTGTGAGATGTATGCAGGCCACGCTGGGCCGCGGCGCGTCCCTGGAGCAGTGGGCGGGGTGGCTGGAGGCGTGCGTGCGGGGGGGAGTAGTAAGTGTGTGAGATGTATGCAGGCCACGCTGGGCCGCGGCGCGTCCCTGGAGCAGTGGGCGGGGTGGCTGGAGGCGTGCGTGCGGGGGGGAGTAGTAAGTGTGTGAGATGTATGCAGGCCACGCTGGGCCGCGGCGCGTCCCTGGAGCAGTGGGCGGGGTGGCTGGAGGCGTGCGTGCTGGGCGCGCTGGCCCCCCACGAGCGCCGCGCGGACTACACAGCGCGCGCGCGCCGCCTGCTGCTGGACTGGTCGTTCTACTCGTCGCTCGTCATCAGGGAGCTCACACTCAGGTACTGTCTCACTCACAAAACACATCCTATACCTTTTTCACTAATGTGAAATCACTAACCCCGAAAAGGCAATGTACTTGTGTGACTCCACATTATTGTTTCGAATCATCGAAAGTCCATGGACGATTGCCGGTAACGATTACTTATCGCCAGTCGTCTACTTCTTTGCCTTTTTAAAACTGTTCTAAATTTTACCAACCTTTTGTAATTTAATTTCTTCATTAATTATGTTTGATGCTTTACTCACGAAACTGTTTTGACGAGGTTTCTCAACTAGTTTCAAGCCATGCTTGGGGCTGATAATCATCAGAACTGTCATGTTGACATAAGTAGGGGGGGGGGGGGGCGTCCATAAACTACGTGAGCTGTTTTTTTAATTGTCTGTCCCTCCTTCCCCCCTTGGTGAGATTTCGTGAGATTTTATTTAACTCGTCGAGTACCGGTTTTATAGACACAATTAAAGAACAATAGGTCGCGGTCACCGGTGACCGCTTGGTGTTTGACGGATTAATACCCTCCCCCATCCCCCAATCTCACGTGAGATTTTTCAAATGGTTGGTTTTTCACGCAAACGCGCTGGATTGTTATTGCATCTTAAGCATGTACAATCCGGAATAAATGAACTATGAAGTCGGTAAAACTAGTATATTTTTTTTTTGTTTCTATCAGAAAAAAAATTACATGATATTTGCCGAGACTCCCCCTCTCTCCAACGTAAGATTAGATGAGATTTGAGTCTACCCCCTCCCCCCCTTAAACATCTCACGTAATTTATGGATGCCCCCTAAACGTCTTTCACGTTTTTTTTTTATTTTCACATAAACATTGCTATCATTACATATTTTTCTTTTAATTCCTTCATGTAATAGTCTAAAATCCTTTCTAAGGAGGGTAGGGAGGCGTTTGCTCTGCTGTCATGGCTGAAAATAAAAATAAATAAATAATAATCATAAACATTTTGGATTAGTCAAATAGGAGCTGTAATATTGTATGGTAATATGTTGGTCGCTAGGTCGGCGGCATCGTTCGGCTCGTTCCACCTGATCCGCCTGCTGTACGACGAGTACGTGTCGTACCTCATCGAGCGACGCGTCGCCGCGCATCACAACACGCCGCCCATCGCTGTCATGCAACGCGCATTCGTATGTATTATTGTGTATTACATAGTCGTTGATGTCTATTAGGCCCTATATATAACCTAATCCGCTGTCAAAAGTGAACTAATTAATATCTACTAGCACGGCTAACAGAAAACAAGAGTCAAATCTATAGTCCTTGTACTCATAATAGGTCATTACTGTTTATCACATAGCAGATTGACTGTCAACAAATGAAAGTTTTTTGTGAAGTGTATAAATAAAATATTACGTACAAACAACCCAAATATTTACTAAAAAAAAATCCAATATACTATATCAATTTCCAGGAGCAAGAAGAAGAAGATGTCCCCGAGGAACAGCCTCGCGCTGAGCCGGATGACGACGATCAGGATTGGGAGTGGGACGATGACGAGGAGGAGGACGACGAACCAACTGACATCAAGAAACAAAAGATGGCCGCCGAGTGAGCTCCGCTTACTTACACATTGTAATTGATTTCGGCCATAGATGCCTGAAATATTAAGGTAAAATTAATTGGAACGAGGGACACACGTACTTATCTTTATCTGTGTAGCTTTTAACCAGCACATCAAAGTACATCTATGAACCATTCGGTTTGTTCAGTACGCGCTGGTGTAGAGTGAGATTGTTTGTCCAAAATTTGGGAGTTCAGTAGTTTGACTCTAGCTAATTCTCTATTGAATTTTATTTCAACCTAAAAAGGTTTAAAATGGAATAAATATGCAACTGCTGTCTCAGTAATAGTTGCTTAGAATTTCACTTAAAATGAAATATTAAATATAATGTTGTAAGTTCTCTGTATGTAATTTGCAAAGCTTAAGAGATTAGTTATTTGTATGTCCCTCGTGTTTCTAAAATATTTCAGTTTATGCATTGAACAAAGGATCTTTTAAATAGTAATATGTATAAGGTATTGCTACATAATTACTGTAAGTAGGCAGTAAGCTGTCATCTAATGGTATCATTATGGAAAATGTTATTAGAACTAAACGTACTAGATTCTAATGGCAATTAAAACCAAGGGGCCTGAGGGCTTTGTGAATATGTGTATAAAAATATTGTAGAAACATAATACTTGAACAAGGATATCAACCCTTGCTATATAACCGATCTTCATTAAACATAAGTAGCTAAATGTTTGGCCGAAATTCTAGAATTGCTGGACAAATTCATCATGTATTTGAAGACGCAGCAGAACGGTTTCGTAAAATAAAATTTTCAAAGTCAAAATGAAATAATTATGTACAGTATGTACACCTATTTATTCAAAAATACTTGATACTTCGTGACCTTTTGTATGCAGTAGATAGCCAACTGTATTAAAACATTATTATGCATCTTTCTAGATATAAAAATATACGTGATTCTATGTTAAACGTATTTGCGTCTGGATACTTCAAACTTCGACGTTAATACATGCTGATGCATTTTTTACAACATTTGTAAATACTATTTCCAAAAGTAGTTGAATATTTCTGGAAATTTAAGATAGACTCGACTAACAACCGGTATTGCCTTTACAGTGCAATTAAATGTATATTCATAAGAAGTTAAATAAACGTAGTAATTGTACTAGAGTTGCTATTGTTTCAAACTACATATAAAAATGTGGTATGTACTAGTCTGTTGTGAGCAATACAGACCCTTTTAAACATGGTTTCAATCGACGTTTCTAGAAAAACCGTGTTTTATTTATACTGAGCTGTTCTAGAACAATCTAAAATGTTGAAATGAAGGAAATCGGTGTAAATAAATCATAAAAAATTACCCAAAAGCATGTAGCAGCTAATTTTATTAATATGTTGGTAGATGGTACCAATGAAGTGACTGTGTAGATAATCCCAACTTGGAGCATACATTACCCAGTGCACGGTGTTTACAAGTAACGTGTATTATATTTTATTGATGTAAATGTCGATACCATGTAGGATATTGTCCAAGCACAAAGTTAATTTTCTTATGCACATCTCATGTTTAAATTGTGTGAAATGTATGGAGATTTTTTTTTGAATAAGTATAATAAAATATTTATATAATAAATGTACCTACGTATTTTGTCGTAAAATATTAATCGGGAGACTACATATTTCTTACAAGCAGGCTCTTTTTAAATATTAGTGTTTTTGCGGCTGGCAACATTATTTGTCAATGAATTGTATGTATTATCTGTGTAAATAAATTGAGTAGTGTGCAGAAAAATGAGGAAGGTGATGTAATATTAAAGTTCTAATATATTTTCTTAACTTTAATCTATAAAATTTAAAAATGTTTTTTTCCATAATATAGAGTTTGGAAACATTCATAAATGAAAGCTAAGTCATCATTTGTCTTCATTGCGCATTGTAATTACACATAGTAATTATTATTATATTTTTACTTTATATCCTTAGTTCCTTTTTAGAATTATGTAATATACTAAACATGTAATTAATATTTACACTTAGTGGTAATAATTTTGGTCAACAAGAACCAAAGCTTTTACATTGCCAGAGTAAAAAATATCGAGAGAAGAGCGTGTATATATTTAGAAATGTTTTAAGTTTTTATTTAAGAAATATGTAATGTTTAATTAAGTGTACCAAAGAATGTTATACATGAACTTGCTCATACATTTAGTCCCACAAGACATGGACTATTTTGGAATCTGTCAAAGAAAGCCACTTGCATTTATGTTTTAAATGTTTGTGTTTATACTTCTTTCCTATTTACCGAGTCCCCTACCAAAATATTTAAGTGGTTATTCTGACCTATTTGCAAAATTTGTATAAATGTTACCTTTTTAAGGCCTAAGTCACTAAGTTAACGTTAGTGAATGTTGTTTAAAAATAAGTATGTTTAAGTAATATACGAGATACAGTATATTTCGGTATTACCAAAGTACGTTGCAATTTCATAGGATAACGTTTTCAATCAGGATTTTGTAGTAGACAATAGATTTGTCGTGTTTGTAGGTTAATTGTATTTATTACATTTATGATATCAAGAGCTCCATTATTGTAATAATAGTCGTTCTTTTGTAAAAGGTTTCCTAAACCTGTATACTAATCTCACGCCGTGTAATCTTTATCAATAGAAGAAAATATTTTACTAAAAATTTGAAGCTTCACTTACCCGAGTAGGTATATTTTGTAACATTTTATAAATGAAATGTTCTATTCAGATGTCGACTGCCTTCAAGGTTGCCTTACGATACATACCTCCGATTGCTACGTTATTTGGTATACTTGCGCTAATAGGTTGTGTTGCACAGCAAATAAATATAACGAGATGTTGTGATTCGTTTCGATTTAGTGAGTAACTATGTGGAACTGTCCATTCGAAGTGTATCTTAGCTGAGAGGAGTATATTTAACGATCGAGTGACAATAGTACTGCGCCGGCCGGTACCATGGCTGTAGAAACCCCGGCCGCCACTCCAGTGCCTGAATATCTTAAAGTTTTAAAAGAAATAGTTTATTTAAAAAAGTATAAAAGTAGACATAAACAATCATCAAAATGCCTTTGTCGGTTAGTAAAGTATTTCCACAAAAATCTTTAAAGTTATTTTAGTCGTTTATTATCGAAAATGTTGATTCATATTTTTGCATTATGTATATCGCGGAATTGCACATTAAAATTAGTCGATGTATATTGTCAGTGTGAAGACCACTCGAGCCGGCGCCATATTTGGTGCGAACCTCTCGAGTTGTGTTCACAAGTAAATGTTTGTACTTAATGAAGACCATTTATGTAATCGTTAGATGTTAAGATATCTGTAATGAGTGTCTTGATTATACAGGCGGACTGTAGCTAAAGTACTTGTTAAATAACTCTATTTAGCATTCCCATACAAATTACCCACATATCTATTGTTAGGTAGTTAACTTTTACATGAGCATTCAAATGGAGTGTAGGATTAATATTTGAATATTGAATTGATTTTCACTATCTACGTAGAGTTGAGATACATATTCGTCAGAGCGAAGACTTACTTGGACAATATAACAAGTATTATTTTTCAAAATTGTCAATTGAGCGTTAAAATGTTTAGCTACAGTAGTTAGTCTGACCACGAGCTTAACATTTTATACCGAGTTAGATAAGGGTCTATTGATTTGTTCTAATATCTGATGTTTAAAATTGTGCAACGAATTCTTTGGGCTGCATTCCTGTTGACACCTGGAGAATATTTTCAAGTTATCAAATTATTTGAAAGACCCACATTGGTGTGTGTAAACTTGTAGTGAAGATATATTGGACAAGAACCTTCTTGTATGTTCATGTCGTGGTACGTTTATCTAGTCAGACTGCAGGAGTGCACCCAGTACCCATGGAGCGATGTTAGAATAAGACATGATTATTTAATTGTTGTAATAATTATATTATGACTGTAGCGAGGGACTCTGACGTTTGTATGAACCCTGGGATGATTATGTGTCTGAGAATAAAGCTAGTCATGTGTTTATATTGGTGTTTTATTTTATAACTTATTTACGTACGAGAAATAATATATTTCAGAGACTACCTCGATGGTAAAGTTGCGAATGTGACTACATCAAACCAGACAAACAACCATATCAGGTTTTTTATGCGATAAGCCGGTAAACGTGCAGACGGATAACCTGATGGTATTATGCTATCGGCGTCGCCCATGGACACCAGGAACACCAGAGGCGTTACAAGTGCGTTCCCGGCGTTTTGGGATTAGGAATTTAAGGATGGTTGGGGATTCACTTATTATTCTCTTTGATTCAGGGATTGGGGTAATTGGGCCTCCGGTAGGTAACCTCAATGACATGACGAATCACAACACAATCGTTGATTCACGTCGGTTTTCTGTGAGGCCCTGGTATCACTCCGGTTGAGGCGGCTCTCGTGCCGAATCATGGCTCTCTCAGTTAAAATGAGAGCATATTGAAGTGTACCTGCTGAGCAGCACTCGTATGCCATAAAAAAAGTTGGAAATACTTAACATAACATAACATCACGCCTTTTATCCCCGAAAGGGTAGGCCAAAGAGTATAATAAGTATAGGGGGGGTAGGCAGAGGTGTATATTATACCACTGTACAATGTAACACCCACTTTTCACTATTTATGTTTTGAGTCCCATGTAATAGAGGGCAAGCCTATTGCCATTTACCGGGCACAATTCCAGGCTTTGTGCTACTACTGAGAATATTTAAAAACCCAGTAATACTTTGCCCCAAAGAATATAATAAGTATTATAGGGGAACTTTGCCCGACCCGGGAATCGAACCCGAGACCCCTTACCCGGCAGTCGCACTTACGACCACTCGGCCAACGAGGCATACGAGAAGAAATACATAAATTATTGGAAATATCATTTAGTTCAATTTTGTTCTAGATGTATTCCTCGTGAAATGTATAGGAAAAGACATATAGCAAAAAAAATAATTTTCCGATATAGGTAATAAATCACTTCTTATAATTTTTATTGGAATTTTCGGGTAGGTATTTGAAGCAAGCTGAAAACTTGTCAGGTGCCTCTCCTATTATATCCCAACTCTGGATTGAAGACCTGGCTGGTGAGTAGCGGGGCTAAATCAACTCCTATATTTTTTTAAATATTTTATTTTTTCCCCAAAAATATATTTGAGGCAATACGAAATTTATATATATTTTTAGTGTAATCTTCTATATAAAAATAAGTCTGGTTTTCCTTCCTGACGCTATAACTCCAGAACGCACCAATCGATTTCCACGGTTGTGCATTCGTTGGAAAGGTCTCGGGCTCCGTGAGGTTGTTCCGTGAATTTGATATACCCGAGGGAAAACTAAAGTATTGGTATAGATGGCGCTGTGTGTATTGGTATATGTCACATAGGCTACTTTTTACCCTTTTGTGACGCGAGCGAAGCCCCGGGTAAAAGCTAGTTTTACATAAAACGAAGCCACCTGGTGGTGAAACGGAGTTCGCCGGGTTTGCTAATACTTTATAAATACGAAAAAAATGCCAGATAATTCAATCAAGGTTTTAACATTGCCAGACGCGGGCAAAAATATTTTGCAAAAAATTATAAAAATGTTTTTGAGGCAACTTAAATTATTTATAACTAAAAAATAAGATTCTCAAAAAGACAGATCATTTCGGTGGGCTTTCTACCAGCCAGGTGATCAATCAAATAATGTTAATGAATGGGTACGAGCCTGTAGTGCTATAGACAAGCTAAGCATTTGGAGAAATGAGAAATGCATATTTACAATTCCCCAGCTCTTTGACAACTAATAGAAATGGATGGACACTTCTTGACTTTTATACTAATTTTCACTGGTTTGACGGAGAGAGTATGCCGCAATTAATATTTGACGCTATTGTTCACGAGGAAAATAAAGCATCTCCTATGTTATGGTTATGAAGTACCAGAACTTAGTACCTACCTACTTTGGGACAAATAGGATGATTTCTTACTATTTCTATTAATTACAATTTTATTCGAGCACCCATCAATATTCACAAGGAAAAAACCAGTTGATTCTGTAAAAGTTCAGTAAAATTCAGTTTTGGAAATATTTTTTGTAACTTGAAGACTTAAATTGAGACTTGAACAGCTTTGTGAATGTTTTACAAAAAGGAGACATCAATTAAGTTTTAATTGAAAAAAAAAATACCCTACAATAAAGTATGGTTTCCAATGGGCCCTCACACCACCCTCATAGGCCCATACAAACGGGCTGTTTCCAACTTCTAGTTATGATAATGATAAAACTGTCAATGAGTGAGTAATTAACTGGTTCGTTTTAGTGTACTTGTTGTATAGAGGGTTGTCTCAAATAAAACAAAAACATGGTTCTTACAATAAATATTATTTTAACGCTCCGTTTATCTCAATATGTTACAAGTCGTAGGGAGCATAAATGAGTCCTAATTAAAATAATATTTACAGAGAAGCTTTATATACAAACGTATGAATTGCACTGTGATGCATTCATCCTCTCGCGGATATATACATACGACTCACATATACATTAGATACATGATGTCCATTCATGATGAACAGCACAAGTCAAAGACAAATATTCCTTTTATAAACCTTTAATATAATCGCCCTTACTCCACAACTTGATTTTACCAATACATAGTTTCATTGAAAGTAAAACAATCAATGCAGTGACATATTAACCTAATAAATTATATTTTAATCTATATTAACACACAAACGGTCAATTTAAATACAAAATTATCAATAATATAACATAAGTATAATTAAGGTAAAATATTTAACTAAAAAATAGCAACATTTAAGTTCTATGTGCCGGCAGTATCAGTTCGGAATGGAGGACCACCAGACCACCAAGGCATGGAGTAAGAATTAAATGTTCTATTATACAAAATGATATGAAAACATCGATCGCTATAATATCAATTTTAAAATACATCAACACCGTAGAGGAACTACCGAGATGGTGCTGAGCACTGAGAGAGAAATATAATTAAAATCGACGAGATGCCTCGAAGTAGACGGTTCCAAATTGTATTTTTCAACATAATACGAATTTCTTTGGTTAACAACTAGCCTACTTTAACCTAACACGAACCTCGCACATCGTCCGGCGGCCACGCAGCCTGTATAATACATGTGAGAGGCTGGTTCTACTGGCGCCGGCGGTGACTCTACTAGGTAAGGCGTCCAATTGACGGTTGCTAGCGTTAAACTAAGCTCTAACTAAACCGAAAGATGTTTGAGTGATGAACCGTGCGGGTTGTACAGACGGCACGTACTGAGTGCGGAGACTGTTCACATGGCGAGCGCCGCGGAACGTTTGTCTCTGTTCTTCTTGCGTGCCAGTGTACGCGCCTTGCGCGCTGCGTTGTTTTGGAGGTGCTGGAAATACAAAACAAAAATTATAAGCATGAAGACATTACTACCAACTGTATATTAATGTTATTTAAGTTTGAAAAGTTGACTATTTTGTGAATATATAAAATTTTGAGGAATAAATTAAGTATAAGTATGCGTGTAGGTCACATACCCGTTCGAGCTTGGTCTGATTGAGAGTGAGTTGCATGGGTTGCGGCAGTACGTCGGAGAGCCCGAGCGCGGCGCGCAGTGCGAGCGAGCGCGGCGCCAGCGTCTGCAGCGCGCCGCCGAGCGCCGCCGCCAGCGCGCCGTACGACGCCACGCCCGCCCACGACGACCACGACGCGGTCTCCACGCCCAGGCGGACCGACATACTTGGGACCTCGCCCTCCTGTACACAAACACATCGTTATTAAAACTGTTTTCTCAATAATCAATCTTCATTCTTGAGTCTGTAACTAGTTACTAGAATTATCTTTATTGTGAGTATGTTTACAAACACAATTTCATACGAATGTTACGATGGTAGCCTCAACTCGGTTAGCAATAGTAGGTCACTCAGTAATTATGTAATAAAATTTTATAGCAGTGAAATAGTAGTTTTCGTCAGCCGAACCTATTTAAAACTCAATACTTAAGGAAACCAGTAAAAGTTTAGGAAAATCGATACTACACATACCTCAAAGTACTTGAGAATGTCTCTGAAAGTAGCACGTTGCAGTTTGCGGTCTCGCTTGGCGCGGAATTTGTGCGAGTCTCGCGCCAGTTCACTGAGTCGCGGCAGCATGGCGTCTACTAGCGCCGTCACGGCAGGCTCGGTGGCTCCGTCCTCGTCGGTCACCGTCTCGTAGGCAATGGCTAAAGCTGTACCCGCCGCCATACGGACCTGGAATAAGGAATTGTTATAATAAAACTACGTTTAATTTAAGAAGTATGGTATGCTTGGTGAAAGTAGGATAAAAAGAAGTATTTCTGTGAGGTAACGCCAAAAAAATTAGCTTAGGAGAATACAGATATTGATCTGATCTTGACCGTTTAAACTGTCAAACACCAAGCGGTCACCGGTGACCGCAACCTATTGTTCTTTAATTGTGTCTATAATGACGGTACTCGACGAGTTAATTAGGGAAGTTCTCTTGAAGGGTCAAGAGAACTTTGGTCAGCATGCTTGTATGACTAAATTAACTATACATATGACCACATAAATGTATAAATGTAACAGATGTAATACGTATATTTTTGTGGGTGTTATTTTATAGTTTCTATCTACGACGCAAATTGCCATAGGAATGTAAGACATAGTTACCTCGAGTGACACAGCTTCGAGCAGGTCCCCCAGCCTGGCGAAGGAGGGCGCCTGGTTGGTGAGCAGCGCCAGCGCGTGGGCGGGCGCCAGTAGCGGCAGCAGCAGCGCCCAGGCGTCCAGCGCGGCCGCGTGCCACGCGCCCTCCTCCACCGCCGCGCCAGACACCTTCACACTGCCGTCACCCTACCAACACATCATAATAATAAATATATTTCCATTTACGAAGTTATGAAGGATATTATACCCGAAATATATTATTGTTATTCTCGTGGGAGTTTTGGAAAATCTTCGTAGTGTTTTGACTTCAGCTTGCTGCTATCAGTTGCAGCGTCCAGCAGTGGACTCTTATACGCTATTGATGATGATTATCAGTACCTGTATGTCCCCAAGCAGTTACCGGTGACCGCTCTCCACTAAATACATTATAGACCTTATTTCCAATGTTTAGAGACTACTTTTGTATAAACAAATTTAGGGGATGATTTTCAACAAATTAATTACTGGTGTATTATCAGTACTAATTAAAGAATTATTACACAAATATGACAAATGCAATTTATTTACCTTGAGGTAGCTACCACTGAAGATGGTCTCGTACATGCGCATGACCTCCAAAATCTCGTTGAGGTCGTCCTCCAACAGGTAGCATAGCACGGACAGAGAGGAACAGCACTGTAAACGATACAAATAACATGATTACAAGATTTTTCTATTATACTTTATCTTGACTTACAATTTGAGTAATGAGATCGTTTATTTGGTTTATTACAAAATAATCCTTACTTATATTATAAATCGGAAAGTGAGTTTGTTTGTTTGTTCCACTTTAACGCCGTAACTACTAAACCGATTGCTTTGAATTTTTGCAGATGTATAGTTAGAAGTCCGGATTAAATAATAGGGTACTTTTTATCCCGGAAAAATTTGATATTCCCGGATATAGGGAAAACAAAAGTATTGGTATAGATGGCGCTGTGTGTATTGGTATATGTCACATTGGCTTTTTATCCTTTTGTGACGCGAGCGAAGCCGCGGGTAAAAGCTAGTATTTAGTATATTTCGTCAAGTTCTAGTTGTGTTGTGAGTATATTTACCTCAGTACGTGTGTCAAGGGAAGAGGATTTGTCTGTGCAGGCAGCAATGAGGGCGGGGCGGACTTCGCGAACGAACTCTTCCGTACCATCCTCTCCAATCTGTGAATATAATTAATATAACAATGTTTAGTACATTTGTTACTGCAGATAATGATGTTTTAAAACATATTTGAGAATGGTCTCAGGTTAGAGCAAATGTTTGGAATAACATAACTTCAGCTTCAAATATAAACTATTTTTTTTTATACTTTGCCCCACACTAAGATTTTCTCCTGTGTCGTGGGTGCGTTTACAAACATATAATATCACATACACCCAGACCCCGAACAACAATCTGTGGATCACACAATCACACAAAGAGTTGTTCCGTACGGGAATCGAACCCACGACACGTTGCGCGGCAGTTGATTGCCCAACCACCCCGCCAAATATGCAATCAAAATTTTGACGATTTGATCATGAACTGTTGATTTTAGATCAACTAGTAGAAAATCATTATTGGTTTGTGAATTGTTAAGATATTTTATGCGACTATTAATTTGATCTTTATTAATTGTAAAGACGGGAAATGAAATCCTGGCGCAATAAGGGCAATGTTTTTAAAGACAATAAGTATCTTGTTACCTGTAAAGCCAGTAATGGTGCAATAGCAGCTGCAGCCTTCTTCTCTCCATCCTTTCCTCGGCGCAGGGCTCTCGACACGTGGTCCGCCAATGTGGCGCGGTGCGAGGACAACAAGCCGTCCACTGCACGCCGCTGCAGCGTTGCACGCAGTGATACGAATGCTGTAGCACGCGCCGCGTTAGCGCGAGCGTTCAGCGACTCAATCAGTTCTAGCACCTTGTCTTCAAATTTCTCTTGAATTTCGCTCTCTGTGGAAGAAACGTCTGTTGTTATAAATTTGAAAATTGCGTGGTTACTAGATTTTTGTATTGTAGAAATGATTACAGAAAAGATGCAAGCTAAACTTGTTTATAGTGAAACTGCTTTAAATTGAATTTGTATTCGCAAAGCATTGATTTTGATGATGATGAAATTGAAAAAAAAAAACTGCTTAAAGTCTGTCATTATACCGTAATTCACGTAACAATAAAATTCTTTAGAATGTTGTTCCTAACACCATCAACATGTAGACTTCCACGTCACAAAAGCGCTAATGGATGAAAATGTCAAGTAGACTATAATGTGCTGTTGGTTGCATTCATTGCATCACATAATTGACAAATGACATTACCATTTAACAGTAATCAAATCAACATAGCCAATATAAAATGCATGCTCACAAGGAGACGAGTCATTATTGTACAGAAGTTATGGAATAAGGCGTAAGATGACTACGTCTACATTGTACAACTTATGACGTGCAAAAACAAACGGCATATTATTACATAACAGTTATTACGTAGAACAAGAGTACCTATTTATTTATGTAATTATTCTTACATTGTAATATACATAGTAGCCAATGTGTTGCTAGTTAGATAAGAGAACAATTATACCTGTGTACACTATAAAATCAACTATATTACTGTATGTCAAGGTTGACTTTCCTCTGTAACCTTGTGGAGATAGTTATAGATACTGTAAACCTACTTTTAGATACAAATATTTATTGTTTTATTATAACAAGACGTGATATTGCAGTTGTATAAAAATAATTATAGTCTATAGTCAAATACAGAAGATAAATGTATACTGACCACCGAAACTATAAAACCTAGACCAGTTTTTGGCAATTTAAATGTCTAGAAATGTTCCTGTAGTAATAAAAATAATATAAGTTTGTATGTCAATACCAAACTAGTTTTTGTTTATTAATATTCATGATAACTATTACAAAATACAACACAACTTTTGAAGCTAAAACGATAAAGACAGTCTAATGATATGATAAAGCGATACCTACTACGACCATTTGAGAGTGATAAAATGTTGAACACGCCTCCGTTACATGTCATAATGATAAACACTACATACAAAGTGATTTGTTACAATCATAGGTGTGTATAAAAATAATATTGGTATTGAATTAAAGCTGAAGTAATGTCTTTGATTGAACGCGCTAATCTCTCAATTTTAGAGGTAATTTGAAATTCTCATTCTGGAATCAAACTAGTAAGCAAGGCTAGAATATGTAGTAACCATGGAATTGTTTGCCAGTTATTTCTATACGAATCTGCATCTTGGAGCGAGTAGTATATAATAAATAATGGAAAATTTTATATCGACGTTTTAAAAATTAAGGAGAAGAGGAGGGGAAGCCTTGTTCTTGTGTTAAGAACAAAGAAAGAATTGAAATATAACTGTTATCAGGCAAAAACAAGCCTTATAACATAACTCATTAGGTAAGTGGTTGTATAACTTGAACCAACTTATGAAAACGAGCCACGTTTTTGTTTTATTGGATGAACTGAAAAATATTCCACATGGAACGTTCTATATCGCGAATCACTATTCAGTATAGGTGTTGTTGCCTCCAAGGCCATTGGCAAGGTGGGCAAACTTATCAAATTAGTTGTTGATAACCTTGGAGGCGCCGAATATAGGAACTATAAAGATCAAACTTCAACATAACGTCACGTTTTTTGAAGATAATCTGTGGAATTATTGAGTGGGTTTTGAGAATTTTTTTATTCTATTTTGTCATAGTGTATTTTTACTATTTTTTGATAATGATTCTATTTTATTCTATTCTATCTTACAACGTACATTGTTGTTGTTTCAGGTCACTGTGCAATTAATTTGCATGATGTAAAAACGTAGACGTCAAACCTTCACATTATCCAAAAAATTACGACAATCTACGACGTTTACGTACGAATACAGAGTTTACTTGCGTCATATAGTTTTTACTTTTTTCGAGAACAATACCGGAATACATACTAGATGTCAGAAGTCCTTAGCCAAATATATTTCTATACTTTGTTAAGTTTGAAATAAAATACATTTCGAAATGCATGTTACGCTTACTAATGACTACACTACCAATATGGAATGTCATTTAGTTGATAAAGTAAAATAACAAAACATATAGCTGCTAAGCTGACCTGAATATCACGCAAAGAATGTCATTAAGCGTAAAATTACGGGTTCTGATAGGAGAAAAATTGGATTAGAGTGGCAAGGGAATTTAGCGATAACTTGGTGACTATATCAAATGCATAAAACGTGCTGAAACGCATTATTTACTGCACACACGTGTAAAAATATTAAGTAATATTAGTATGTAACTGCGGTATATAAATCCTTTTACATTATAAAGCTGAATGTTTTCTTTTCCAAAGGCTATCATCTCTCGTAACTAGAATAAGAGTCCGGGTGATTAATAGTTTTTCTTTTAGAGGCTGTACGAGCTGGATACGAGTCTACCTTTTCTGCGTTGAATTATATTATTATCATGAATAGCGGCAAAATAGTAAAATATTTAGTTCCTAAATTATTTCTTATTTTGTTCCCCTTTTTGTTAAATGTAAAAACACGAGAGCGCATAACAGTAAACACGTTGATAAGTGCTTGCATAGCAACTTACCGTGTAATTTTATCGACCTTAAATTATTTAAGTAGTTATATTTCCCTGATTAAGTTTAGTGTGAATAAAACTCAATTAATTAAGCATTAAACTGTTGATAAACCCTCTTTGTAACAGTTTATTGTTGGAAAACGTGTTAATGACTGTGATAGATAGTTTACGTCAGCGTCACACGGAACCAATAAAAATAGAATGATTTGTATTCTGAATAAGTATGCTGGCAATATAAGTTAAAAATATTTCTACAAACTACTTCTCCGTTCACCCTTCACGAACTATCGTAAAACAGTATTTCACAGGTCGAAACTTTTCTTCTGGAAAATTCTTTAGTTTCGTATCGGATTCCTACGTCATCCTGCAGTGAAGCGACAACCGTGGGTGGAATATTACATTACGTCATATATTACGTGTAAATCTTTGCAGTGACGTCACAGATCCCACGCAATGGCTTTACGGCGTCACATAAAATGCTGGGCAATATTATATTCCATCGTTTGTTCATGTAATGGAAAATTGTGTCGTTTAGGACAATGATAATGTTTTGGTTATTTATATGTTATTAATACCTACTTTGATGGCTGTTGGTGAAGGTATGATCAATTGTTATAATTATACGGATGACCATTACCAACTGGTGTCAATTTCCTCTATAGCCGTACAGTTTAACTGCATTAAGGAATCGAGAGGTGCATAACTAACTAATGTACTTAAATCAGATGATATGAACTTATACGTAATGCAATAAAGAGCCTAAAAGGTTTACCGTAACGATAAAAAGATATTTAATCATATAGGTAATTAGAGAGACTTCTTTTATCAATTTTGGCCCCGAATTGTGCACTATGCATGTCACATGTGCGTCATCGAGACATAATCTTTGTGATAAACCTATGCACGAGTGGCAACCAGCTTGCCCAATGGTCATTGGCACGTGTGACGATATTCATTCAAGATAACAATAGGTACGTACATTTCTATATAATGAATTGGCTCTATACATAGGTATACTGACATTTATTGTGCAAATAAGTACTAGTGAGTTTGGAAACTACTCGAATAAGTCTGAATACCCTCGAAATCTGTCTATCGGTCTTGTGCAAACATACGAGATTGGTGGTATCAAGATATAAGGGGAAAGAATAGCTTACTTTTATGGTATTTAAACATCAAATTAAACTAAACCACCAGTTCTGGTTAACTGGACCGTTCGGTTTTAATGTAAGATTTTTCACTAAGGCCCGGCGCCCACTATCGGCATCGGCACGTCTAAGGATTTTAGGTGGCAAACAAAAGGGCAATAAAGTAGAAATTGCCGTGCATATGGTCGTAATAACAAAAATACCGTTTCGGTATGCTTGAGGCTGCAGCATCCCGAAGGATTCTCAAGCTCTTCGGGATGCTTCGGCATCATCCAGCGGCCGGCTACCGGCTTGATTGATTAGATTTATCTTCTTCTCAGCAAGAGCTGCTATGGGCACTGCTGAGCTGCTATGTCCACCACATTAAATACAACTCACGACAATTAGCTTGTAACAACTCGTGAGACTGTTATGACAAGAAATACGATAATTGAGACGCTTCGGCATGCTTCAGGGCGCTTACTCTTGAAACCAATCTCAATGTCAATGCAATTTCAATCCAATAAAATCTCAATTATTATTCAATGTCAAAACTATACAACCTCTATCGTAGCTGTTACAATAGCATTCAGAGTACGGAATATAAAGCCAAACTCAATACCATTTAGTTCATTCAATATCCACGCAATACGGATGCAATGGGTGCTAGTGTTGCAACTCAAGAGTACGAAATTTCACAATACCAATGTCGATCGATCGGAATTGGATTCAAGAGTAAGCCTTCAGGACGGTGCGTTCGTTCGGACGGTCGTTTCAAAAGTACCAAACTATGGATTAATTGAAATAAATACTTTGACTTTGCGCCATGCTTAAGGACGCCTCGTCATCCCTAAAAACGTTCCAGCATGCCAAAGCATAGTTTCCGACAGTGTGCGCTTGGAAGATGCCGAAGGATCTTTTCCTTGCCGATGCCGATAGTGGGCGCCGGCCCTTACATTAACGCAACCATGGGATTTGCTAAAGCTTTTTTACATTCTAGGATAAAATAAATAACCCGTGTTCCCCAGGAAACTTTTCTATAACATGGACGATATTTATGAAATAAAAGCTATTTATTGTGGATGTAACTACTCTTAATATAAGTGGATCAGATAGCGATACGTTGGTGTAATCAAAACATTAGTCATTGTCCTTCTTTAGGTCAACGACACGACCTTCACATCTGTGCAAATAAGTCATTGCAAAAAATAACGCGCAGAAACACTTGGAACTAGTCTATTCTAGTATAATTTGAATGAGGAAAAGAAATACCGCATGTGAAGCATTGATTTTAAAGCGTGACTTTGGTTTTGTTCGCGTGGTGAAGTTAGCAAAAGAAATATACCATATTAGGACCTCTTTCCATCATGAATTCACTTATAAACTGGACTGTTATTATAAGAATACGGAATTCGCTTACGCCGAAAGAAAAGTGGAATTGTCATAGAAGAACTAACTACGAAGTACGCCTTTTATAAGAAAATATAGGTCATCAAAACTTTATGCCAACATACTCCATTAAGCCCAGAGTCAACTAAGTTTAGGAGGTCAGCCAAGTTTCCACGTAACACTTGGACGCAACAACGCTATCGATTGTCGTATAGTGGTTCACTGCAGTTATCGATATGGAAAAAATATTTGGGCCATAGTATTAATGACGTTGTTTATCTGATAGGTAGATTTTGGGGATTATTGGTGAAAGCTACGCACTTGATTACGAAAAAGGACTATTAAGTGATAGAGATAGTAACTGATGGAAAATATATTAATGTAAATTGGGTAATTTCCATGGTATCAAAATTAAAAATTTAACTAGTCCGTCAGTTAGATAATGAAAAAATATTAGACACGTATTTTTTTATTTTCTCGTATTAAGTTGCAATACTTAGATAAAATGGCGCTAAGTTTAGGAGTGGGAGGTTGTTACGTCATAACGTGCTACAAAATGTGACACGTGGTGACGTCACACGATATTTTAAAATTAATATATCGTCGAAAGTGTTAAATTTTGTGAGAAAAGAATAAATACGTGTCTTAAGTTTTAAATTAATGTACCAGACGGATATTAAAATAAAATTTAGGAAACTACCCTATTGTGTCTCCATTGAAAGGTTCTAAAACGGTCTGTGAAAATTGTCATATCGCCAAGATCTGGAAATATTGCAAACTTATATCATAATTTTGCTATTCTGTAGCGTGCACCATAATAACAATAATGCGATATTCGCCGTGGTTATTTCCACGGCGCCTTAATGACTTAGCGCCGTGTTTTTGCTTGGAATGATTGATCTCTGATCCTGTACTTACTGAATGATGTTATAAGGATAGATGCAACATATATTAAATAGTGATGGTAGTTATATGATAGAAGCAGTATTATTATGAGCGTTATAACAAATAAGTGAGGATGAGTAAAGTAAATATGAGAAGGTGACGTGAGAATGATAGAGGGTGAAGATTATTTTGTTGCAGTAACAACGACAGGTAATAGAGTGCTACACTACATTCATGATGACAAGACAACTGACAAGCAATGTTAGCGAGGTGCTTTTACATAAGGCTTGGTGTGAGTAGGCATTTGAAGATAATTCAGAATGTCACAGCCAAGGGTAAACAGCAGACTATCAAGCACTTTATACCGCACGGCGTGTTTCAAGCGACAACTGAGAGCGTTGCAGAATGAACCTTAGAACCAAATAATAAGAGTTTTTAAAGACCTCTCAAAGTTTTGTATATCACGGGCTCCGGTTCAGGCGGTGAAGGTCTATAGTACATGCGCTGCCTCATTAATTCCTTTAATTTCGGGTCAGGTTCCCTCACAATTTCCTTCAAAACCAGCCTCGGTCTTTTAAATCTGAAGCGTTGTTTTGCTTCTGACCCTAGAGAACAGTACTCATATTCTAACAATGTCTTTTCAGAACGAATATAAACAAAAAATAAATTTGTGAAATATCGATATAAGAACTGTTTTTGCCATTTGTCCATTCGATTTATGTTGTAAATAGGATTAACAGCTTTAGTTTTGAACTTGGATTTAACTACTTCAATTTAAGTATAAAATATTTTACAGAAAAATCAACACAATAAAATGAAAAATACAACAAAACAAATCAAACTAGCGTACATTGTTCAGACTTAACTTTGCATTGTAAATCTTTAACTTTTACAACAATATTTGTGCAAACATGAATTTAATTTTATAAACCTTAATGCCACGAATGTTTTACATTATGGCATCAAGAAGTTCAAAGTCATTAAAGTTGAGGCCAAAGTATTGTCATTTATATCGATACTAGCTTTTACCCGCGGCTTCGCTCGCGTCACAAAAAGATAAAACGTAGGCTATGTGACTACCCATCCCTTCAACTACCTTCAGTTGAAAAATCACGTTAAGTACCTCCGTTTTGCCGTTTAAGACAGGCAAACAAACAAACAGCTGTTCGCTTGCGTGGAATTCGGTTATAACGCGCGTTTTAGATTTTTCCGTGGGAATGAGAAGTTCTGCCGCGGTAAAGCCTTGCTTTTCCAGGACTCAAACTACCTTAATATCAAAATCGATTCAGCCGCGTGAAAGAACAGAAGAAGTTATTTTCGCATTACCACAAATACCTCCTCCCATTTTAATTTAAAAGACTTCTATTTCCTGGGTTATATTTGCAATACTAAACCAAAACTGAGTGGTAAACTATATTATACGTTTTATTATCGAAAACCTAACTACTTTAGACATGTACTTACTTAGAAATAAACCACTTCACTAATCTAACCTAACTAATATAGCTACTGTATCAATCAACGTAAACAATGAACAAAGCGTCTTAGATTAGAACGACGAAAAAAAGTTACTATAGTACTTTAAATATCTACTTAGAAAAATTAACACTTGACTAATCAAACCTACAATGCGAACAAATAATAATCAATATAAACGCTAGATGCGTACCCTAAAAGATAGTTGATACGGAAGCTCGGAACCTATACTTTCGCCGGTAACGAAACCATAGCGCCATCTAACTCGATCCTAACGCCATCTATCGAGCGTTGAAACAACAGCGTACAATATATTTGCTATTTGTTGAGTATTGTTGCCACTATGGTTTCGAGTACCTTTAACAATCTAAAATCTATAAAATACGCAACTTAATGTAAAATGGTTGGAACCAAAATTTAAAAGCGAAGAATACTTAAAAAACACAACGCTATTCCGTTTTATAAACACTCAGCGCCATCTATCGCCAAGTAGCGTAACTACCACATAGACACCAATTTCGTGTACCTTTAACAACATAAAATCTATAAAATACCCAATTCAATGTAAAATGGTAGGAATCAAAATTTAAAACCGATAAAAATACTTAAAAAACAACGATACCCCGTTGAATATATAATAATAAACACTCAGCGCCATCTATCGCCAAGTAGCGTAACTACTACATAGTCACCAATTTTGTGTACCTTTAACAACCTAAAATCTATAAAATACGCAATTTAATGTAAAATGGTTAGAACCAAAATTTAAAAGCGAAAAATACTTAAAAAATAGCTATTATATATAATAAAATGGTAGGAACCAAAATTTAAAAGCGATAAAAGTACTTTAAAAGCATAACGCTACCCCGTTTTATAAACACTCAGCGCCATCTATCGCCAAGTAGCGTAACTACTACACAACGTTACCACGTTGTGTTTTTTAAGTATTTTTACATAAAAAATAGCAAATAAATGAGTCGAAAAGCGCACTGAATAAGTGTAGATTAACACAAAATAAGCGCTATAGATTAAAGCGTGAAATTTCCAATTAGTAGGTAATTCGTTGAATTGTTTTAGATGGCACAAAGCTCCATCTACAGGAATACACACAGCGCCATCTATACTAATATTTTTGTTTTCCCTCGGGAATATCACATTTTTCCGGGATAAAAAGTACCCTATTATTTAATCTGGACTTCTAACTTTACGTCTGCAAAATTTCAAAGCAATCGGTTTAGTAGTTACGGCGTGAAGGTGGAACAAACAAACAAACAAACAAACTCACTTTCAGATTTATAATATTAGTAAGGATTTTCTTACTATGAATGAATAATCTTTACATTGCAGTTTCTCTGGTAGAATTTCGCTATTTTGTATCTTTTTCCATATGATCGTTCCTCTGAACTTCCTGCCCTTTGGGTTGCCTGTTGGAAACATTGAAGTTGTCAGTGTAATCCTAAGTTGCCTAAACTTGCATGTACTAGCTGCAAAGCTAGCTTTTATTTGCAATTCACCTCTATGGGTGAAAGGGTAACTGGCTATAACGTCTACATCTTTAAAAAATTGTTTACGTTACTTTTGAATTGCGAATTCAAAAGAATTTAGTGCCAATCAATGATTAAGTACATTGAGGTAAAAGATTGCTTAGGTACGACACAAGTTAACATACCTTAACTTTGAGTGATTAACTTTGACTACAAGAAACGCCAACTAGCATAGCAAAGCACGAGCTAAGTACAATGTACTTAGCTCGTGCTTTGCTATGCTAGTGGCGTGCAGTCCATATAGGCAAATAGGCTTTGCTTGACATAAAATGTACTAACGCGTTTATTAAGATTCAATAATATAATAAAAGTTTGTAAAAAAACGGCTAACATAAATATACATTCACATAAACTATACACGGACCGCACGCCTTTGTAAAGCAATGAATGCGCGCCGCACGCACTACGCATGCGCTGCTATTCCTTAAATCTTGGTTGTTGGTTGTGACGTCACAAAAAGTATGCAACGCGCATGCGTGAAGGTCACGTGACTATGGTCACAGCACAGAATAACCATTCATAAACGCAAAAAAATATTACACGATTCAATCTAGCCGGACTTTTTGTTTGTGAATCTGCGCCATCTATTGAATTTTTTGTTAAAACTTCTGAACGCGTTCGATATAGGTAATGAATGCGAATGTCTTTTTATAATTATGCATACTAAAAAAATATGTTTCAGGTGTTTTAATTAAAACATTTTTACGCGTTGTCGCTTTATAGAAACTTTAAACGAGGAGTTGACTTTATTATTTTAAAAGTTAAAAGGAAGTTATCGAAACGTCAAGTTGCCGCTACTCAAAGTTTCAAATTATTATCAACGAATGTTTCTTATTGGAAAATAATAACAAGACAATGATGCAATTCCATTTGACTTATGTAAATTAACCTTTTGTTTTTTTATAATTAAACACTGGGTTGCCTTAATGTTTTAGCTATATTTTTTTTATAATAAACTCAATTGACTAATTGACTACGATGGGTAATGACTTTCCAATGTTTTCGGCCATATTGTTTTCATGTGATGTGCGATCGCTTTGTTTATGTTTTCGTTTAAATTATAAGGAATTAGTTTTAAACATAAAGTTGCATAAATATGTGTAGAAGTAGTAAAATATATGTGTCGGTTTTTCAAATAGTGTATTTGTTTATCAGTGTCTTGTATATTATTCGATTGTGAAGTTTGTGTTGATAATAGGTAATTTTTTGTGTTTGTTTAAAGTTAAAAACAGTAAGTTTTCGCAAAAATGTGTCCTGTAGCGACTAGATTCAGGTAATGACCATAGCATACTCAAGTTACGAGAATTGACCCAAGTCAAAGGTAGGTAATGTAAATATGTAGGTACTATAATGGATCTTTTATATGATGTTCTTGTTTATTGTTTGATAATTCTTAAGAATATCAACTTATACTTCGGGTTGTTTTGATTTACATATTAATTTATTATTAATAATTATTATTAATTATGTAATGTAATAACAAATGTGCCGCTTATACTCGGCTCGGCCACAGCCGGCCGCGCTTGTTGTTGTTTTGTTTGTTGGTAGGTACCTACGTTCTTAAATTCGTAATTATGATTTTGAATAGATTATTTAGCAATTTGATAATTGAATTTGGTTCATCAAATTTATGCTTCATTATTAGTATAATAAATAGATGCTTCATTATTTGTAAGTTTTGTTGGCTTATTCGATAGCTGATGAAGTACTTTACAAAAAATACGCGAGATGTCAGTGTATGTAATTTGGCAAAAGAATAAACCACAATATTCTTGAACGCACTTTTCAAAATGTATTCTGTACATGTACCTGTCTTGTAGGAGTATGATTGTATGACCGGGGGGGAGGGCTTTAATCATACGATATTTAGTTGCCTACCCTGTCTAGAAAATGTGTGCACGCCACTGAAGTACATAGTAGCGCATTAGTGAATATTTACACAGTCTCGTAGTGTTTCAAGTAGGTTCAATATTTCTTAGTTATTTCTACGTAAAATGTAGTTTTTATCTACTTGAGGAGGCGGAATATGGGAGACAAAGTTCATTTATAAAGAGCGATAGTACAATATTTTTGTTTCTTTACAAAGTTATGATGAATATATTTTTGGTGGCACTTAAGAAAATAGTTTGTTCGATGTCACATTTTATTAGAAGTGAGGATTATTCAGTTTCGTTTTGCTAACTATTAATTTCTTTCCATAAATAATTTGTAGTGAGTTTAAAGGCCTACTGGATTAAGCCATAATGCCATTAAAATTACAGATTACGTATGTTCACAGATACAAACTTTATGATACAATGATTAAGTTCCCGATGAATGAAACTATACATGATATTATACTAGTTTTTTTTTTAAGGGGGGAAAATCATCGAATGACTGCTCCCGCCTGGGAGTGTCAGACTCTTACTGACTAAAAACCACCCCGTTCCTTCTCCTGCACGTCGAGCCGGAGCCCCGGTTACCCGTTAGGTTCTCCGCGACGATATTATACTAGTACGTGGTACCTGCATAGCTATGAGTGGAATTAATCGATTTTAATTACGAATGTTTTCAATGGAATTTTTTATAGTTACTTATTTCACGTGCCGAAGTGCGTGTAAATACCAATGATTTTAACACAATAATAGGGTTAGTTTAGTCATACGATTAGAAAGATAATCATAAAAATCATAAGATTTTTATAACCATAAAATCATAAGTTTAAGTTATGACATGACTAAACGACTTTACTTTGAAATGAGTAGTCAATTTAAGTGATAGATTTACAGATGGACAGTTTTATTTTTGTTTCTCATAGTATTTAGGAAAACTTAATTTTTTTAAAGTTTTGACTTTTATCTACATTTTCCCTTCATTTTGTTCGAGTGGTCTATAATATGACCACTGATTTGTACTTGGGATAATAATAGCACCTATAGGCTGGGAGATCAATACATAGGGGTTTGATCGCCCCTATTGCAATGAGATTAAATTACACGATTGTCCAAACAAGGGTAAATGGAATATCGATTTATTTTTGCCTGGCAGCCTTAACTTCTTCTTACTAAGTTTTGTATCGAGATGTTTATCATATAAGTTACAAGAAAATAGGAATAGCGTGATAGTTAGTACGAGAGATTACCGTGTTCAATCAAAAATAACACTTCAGCTTTATAATATTAGGTAACTAATTGAGATTACACTACTATACAATGTACCAGACGGATATTAAAATAAAATTTAGGAAACTACCCTATTGTGTCTCCATTGAAATGTTCTAAAACGGTCTGTGAAAATTGACATATCGCCAAGATCTGGAAATATTGCAAAGGAGAACGGCAAATTTTGTACCGCTTCGCTAAAAAATTATTTGTCATTAAAAAATTGGGTCATTATAGAACCTCCTAAGTACGTTATGTTAGCATATTTAATAGATTTTTAAAACTTGGGAAACCCTAGAAAAACTGATATTCAATAATGATAAAAAGCAATCCACTATACGTAAAACGAACCGCGATTGACGTTTACAAAGTTGCCATGCGTAAAGATGAAATCAGAGCATATTGAATTTCGCTATTTCATAAACTCATTTATTTTATTATCTATCAATGAAATATTTTCCATTTCAAACATTTTTATAAGTAAATATAAAAATCTACATCCAATCTAAATCTACGTTTACATGGATTATTAATGATAATTAACATTTTAACAAACTTGAATATTATGGCAATGTTGAACTGGCATTTGTCTTGATGACATTGACAATTAATTTGTCAATACTGGCGCATTGCTGTTTGTTTCAAATGCGATGTTATGATGTGTTTGTTGAATTTGAAGTTATTTTATTCATCTGGTGATACGTTGAGTTTGGCAACCGTTCCTCCGTAGCCCAAATTGGTATTATTGGCATCATTGTTGTGACAATTGCGAAAAGACACTTATTTACATTATTTTGTGCAGTGTGTTGTTATTTGTCGCGATGATGAATTTACAGTGTATTAATTGCATTCAGAGTTTGTCGCACATGAGACGGCATGCTCTAGAAAATGAGAGTGAAGATTAGACGTGGTCAACAATATCCCAATGTGGACTTATCCTAGAGATGTAAGTACCTAGTTTACCCATAACATATCGAAAGTCACCATGTTCCTGAATAAAAGAAGGCGCATAGTGTTATCTACCCATAATGTATCATTTTATTCTTTTTATTCTAGATCTCTCCTACCGACCATATTTGCAATGCTTGCTGGCAATTAGCAATGTATCGGGATGTTGCTGAAAGTATGTCCAGCAAACAAATTGGTCACTGGCATGTTTGTGTCGTATATGGGTGATTCATTGCAATGATAAGGTGACGCAGGGTTTTAATTGAAGGCGCCAACAAACAGGAGTAAAGACTGGCTCATATAGTATTTGATTGGATTCAGCCACAAGAGGTAATAAAGCATAATTTAACCATACTATTATCTATATACAGTGTAATCTAAAGTCAATATCATATTCTAATAATATTACTTATTTTAGCTTACTTCCCATTATGAAGATCATGTTACATACTGACTGAGAGACCGTACAAGAGTCGAAACTATAAAACCACAACCTGACATACCACCTCACAGTGTTCACTATCAGGAAGTAATGTATTATGTAAACATGGACTAAGCCTCACTTTAACATTGCCATTTGTAGAACAGATGAGGCCGGATGATGTTGTTCGGCTCTCAAAGCTTCAACAGGTATGCATTCTCAATATAATGTACCTACATAATTATGTATCTATGTGGAGTATATAAGCGGTTTCTAATAGGTTTATACTCATGTTATAATTATAATTTATTAATTAGCATGCTGTTTGAGCTCCTATGATCTGTGTTATACGAATAACTATAATAAATGTTATAAAATGAAGTAACGTAATCAAATATTTATTTTTATCTTTTCCATTTTAAGATAGGGAATCAGACTTATTATTATAACATATAAAACTAAAGGAAAAAAATGTACTTTTGTTTACTTTATTTACAGTTATCTTACTTGTTTACAGATATCAGCAATTGATGTCTGCTGTACCTATGACACGGCCTGTTCTATTTTTAGATGAAGTACTCCTAGAAACAACCTGAATACAATGAAATAAAAGTATTTCAAAATAATACATTTGTTTTATTTTAACCTAGTAAGTAACTATATATTCCATCTTGATAAAAGTGATTTTAAGAATCAATCTATAAAATAAATGCCATATTTAATTTAGATAGCTTTAGTTTTATACCAAAAATGTTCATTTTCATTTTACATTTTCTTTAGTTGTAATGTGGTGGCCCAGAGGTTTAAGAAGCCCGCTTCTCATGCATGAGAGTGCGGGTTCGAAACCTACCAACGGCAAAGTACCTTTTGTCCAATGTGTCTTTTTTCCGAGTTATTGGTATATTCAATAATCTAAGAAAGTACAAAGACACCGCTGACGAATGGTGAAGGAAAACATTGTGAGGAAACATGGGCTTATAATTTCTTATTATAAGTTTGAATTACCAACCCACATTGAGCTAGTATGGTGATTAATGCTCAAACCTCCATGCGAGAAGAGGCTTCGGTCAGCAGTGGCCACTTATAGACTTAATGATGAAAATGTTTATGATTCTACTAATTTGACTTACTTATTAGAAATTAATCCTTACATGCGTGCTAAGCAACCAGTTTTCAGAAGAAATACTTTCTTAAAGAGCTAAGCTAAGTTTAAATCGAATTAACTTGAGACCCTTGAGACTATCTACCTGCAAGATTCAAGGTGAAGTGAGACATTAGTTTTATCATATCCGCCACAAGACTTCCACTGCTAAATGTAGGCCTTCTACCCAATGACAGTCGCTTACATTATGAATTTGCATTTTCGTAGGCACCTAAGAAATGAAAAAGATTGTGAGGCATACTCTTTAAAACTCTATAGGTGCATCATGCTTGCTGAATTAACAGGATCATTCCTAATTGCCTTTTGCGCTGCGACGCACCATAGGTTATTTTTTGGGTTTCTAAATTCTTGTTGTTGTCGTAGCAAAATAAATGGTTTTTCTTTCTTTCTTTCTTTCTAATAATACAAAGTGTAATAGTCACTTGAGTAGCGAGCAGTATTTTTAGATTTTTGTTTTTTGTAATTAAACAACCACATGAGAGCACATTGACATTTTTCAGTTAACTGTCATCTGTCATTTGTAATAGATATTTTGCTTACGGTGGCTCTACACTTGACGTTGCGTATTTGTTGTGTTCGGCCAAAAAAGAACATGTTTGGAGGATTTATTCTTCTTTGTTTGCTATATATTTGCACGCCATTACATATAGAGATACTATTTGGACGCCATTTGTACGTAGTCTACAAATATTTGGACAAATGAAGCGACTACGCAATGTCAAGTGTGGTACCACCTTAACATACCTTTTGCACATTTTCAAAGTGAAATAACTTTTGAACCCCAAGTTCTAAAAATATGTAATTTTTTTCTAAACTTCATAATAAAAATATCTATCGTTCAGACTATTCACTTGGTTAAAACAATGACTAATACAAAATTTTATAGCGGTACAAAACTTCCATACAAACCTGCCATTCTCCTTTATACCATAATTTAGCTATATTCTGTAGCGTGCATCATAATAACAATAATGCGATATTCGCCGTGGTTATTTCCACGGCGCCTTAATGACTTAGCGCCGTGTTTTTGCTTACCATTTTTTGGAATGATTGATCTCTGATCCCGTACTTACTGAATGATGTTATAAGGATAGATGCAACATATATTAAATAGTGATGGTAGTTATATGATAGAAGCAGTATTATTATGAGCGTTATAACAAATAAGTGAGGATGAGTAAAGTAAATATGAGAAGGCGACGTGAGAATGATAGAGGGTGAAGATTATTCTGTTGCAGAAACAAAGACAGGTAATAGAGTGCTACACTACATTCATGATGATAACTGACAAGCAATGTTAGCGAGGTGCTTTTACATAAGGCTTGGTGTGAGTACGCATTGTGTTTCAAGCGACATTTGAGAGCGTTGCAGAATGAACCTTAGAACCAAGTAATAAGAGTTTTTAAAGACCTCTCAAAGCTTTGTAATCTATCACGGGCTCCGGTTCAGGTGGTGGAGGTCTATAGTATATGTGCTGCTCCATTAATTCCTTTAATTTCGGGTCAGGTTCCTTCACAATTTTCTTCAAATACAGCCTCGGCCTTTCAAATCTAAAGTGTTGTTGTGTTTCTGACCCTGGAGAACAGTACTCATATTCTAACAATGTCTTTTCAGAACGATACAAACAAAAAAAAGTAGTGAAATATCGATATAAGAACTGTTTTTGCCGTTCTAGAGATGGGTTTTGTGCATTCGATTGTCTCGATTTATGTTGTAAATCGGATAAACATCTTTAATCTTGAACTTGGATTTAACTATTTCATTTTAAGTATAAAACATTTTACAGAAAAATCAACAAAATATTACAAAACAAATCAAACTAGCGTACATTGTTCATCTTGAACTTTTACAACAATATTTGTGCAAACATGAATTTAATTTTATAAACCTTAATGCCAAGAATGTTTTACATTATGGCATCAAGAAGTTCAAGGTCATTAAAGTTGAGGCAAAAGTATCGTCATATATCGATATTTTCTTACTATGAATGAATAACGATCTTTACATTGTAGTTCCTCTGGTAGAATTTCGCTATTTTGTGTCTTTTTCCATATGATCCTCGTTTCTCTGACCTTCCTGCCCTTTGGGTTGCCTGTTGAAAACATTGAAGTTGTCAGTGTAATCCTAAGTTGCCTAAACTTGCGTGTACTAGCTGCAAAGCTAGCTTTAATTTGCAATTCACCCCTATGGGTGAAAGGGTAACTGGCTGGTAAAATTGTTTACCTTACTTTTGAATTGCGAATTCAAAAGAATTTAGTGTCAATCAATGATTAAGTAGATTGAGTAGGTGCGACACAAGTTAACACACTTAAGCTTTGAGTAATCAACTTTGACTACAAGAAGCGCCAACTAGCATAGCTAAGCACCAGCCAAGTACATAGTAGCGCATTAGTGAATATATTTATCAATAGAACTACTTAACGGTTATTGACTTATTTGAGGTTTAAGGGACACGAGGACATACTCGATTAGTCCTTCAACAATGTATTACTGTTGCTTGAATAATCTAATTACTTATCTTCTACCAACAACACGGTCACGTAGTGTTTCAAGTAGGTTCCATATTTCTTAGTTGTTTCTACGTAAAATGCAATTTTTATCTCTTTAGAGGCGGGAAATGGGAGACAAAGTTCATTTATAAAGAGCGATAGTACAATATTTTTGTGGCACTTAAGAAAATAGTTTGTTCGATATCACATTTTATTAGAAGTGAGGATTATTCAGTTTCGTTTTGCTAACTATTAATTTGTTTCCATAAATAATTTATAGTGACTTTAAAGGCCTACTAGATTAAGCCATTATGTTGGCATTAAAATTATAGATTACTTAAGTTCACAGATACAAACTTTATGATGCAATGATAAGCTCCCGATGAAACCATACATGGTAATAACTAGTACGTGGTACCTGCACAGCTATGAGTGGAATTAATCGATTTAAGATTTTAATTACGAATGTTTTCAATGGAATTTTTTATAGTTACTTATTTCACGTGCCGAAGTGCGTGTAAATACCAATGATTTTAACCCAGCTATGGTTATGATTTTTATGGTTATGACATGACTAAACGACTTTACTTTGGAATGAGTAGTCAAGTGATAGATTTACAGATGGACAGTTTTTTTTTTTCAAAGTAGGTAGGAAGATAAATACTTTATTTTTTTTAAGTTTCGACATTTATCTACATTTTCCCGTCACTTTGGATGTTTGGTCTATAATATGACTACTGAGTTGTACTTGAGATAATAATAGCACCTATAGGATGGGAGATCAATACATAGGGGTTTGATCGCCCCCTATTGCAATGGGATTAAATTACACGATTGTCCAAACAAGGGTAAATGAAATATCGATTTATTTTTGCCTGGCAGCCTTAACTTCTTCTTACTAAGTGTTGTATCGCTATGTTTATCGTACAAGTTACAAGAAAATAGTAACAGTTGGTACGAGAGATTACCGCGTTCAATCAAAAATAACACTTCAGCTTTATAATATTAAGGTAACTAATTGTGATTACACTTGTCTTAATAAATAAAACCGTTGTCTATCGCGTTTCGTAGTTGCTAGCCAGTAGCTGGTCGGTTTTATATCCGTTCAGTATAAGAATTAATAATTAAAATACACTTTAATGTCAAGGACATACGTTCGAAAATCGCAACAACGATAGTAATTAAGAATTATGTTCTGATAAATAAATTTAAAGCAGTTTCAAGCTTATGCTACATTACATATACATATTAACATCAATATTTACAAGTAATCACTAATAACAGTAATGTTTATTTGGGGTTCGAACCCAAGAACAAAGCGCAGTTGCCAATATATCTACTGTAATTCCGTAAATTAGTGTAGGATTTGGAACCAATTAAGATCACTTAAGATCCAGGAGTCGAACCCAGAATACTATCTTCTGTAGTCTGTAGTCATTGAATATGTAGACGGGATTGCTAACATACTGGAATATGGGACTAATAACATCAGTATATTATTAGTTAATCCAGTAATAAGGGACTAATAACAAACTTCTGCACAAAAGACTATGCATCACCTAAAAACAAAAAACTATTATTTTGTAACTATGAATCTACTATCTACATGAAAATAGCAAACTTATTGCTACGGTACTCACTCTCTCGGCGGATCAGCACAGCTGTTTGATGCATTTTATATACATCCCTATTATTTACACGGGTTTTACCCAAATTAGCCTGTGTATACTCTGGTTTAAGGTTCAATTTCCATTGAACATTATAGCATAAAATCGATAGCACATGGTATTTCCTCGATTCAAAATAAAAGCAGTCCCACAAAAAGCTTGCGACGAAACAGTGGCGGCGTAGGTCAGGGATGGCAAGGGTGGAATAGTTTAATAGATTTAAAACTTTATTGTTATACAATAAAGTCGATTTTTTTAAAAGATGTGACTTATTAGGTCTGTTTGTACATTTTCAACCTTATCATTTTGCGTTACAGTTGAAAGTCATACAGATAGATTGGGGTGGAAACCCCTATTTTTTATTAAACAGAAATCTTGTTTTTGTCAGCTGATAGCAAGGTATAGCCGTTTCATTGCTTTACCTGAGCTAGAATAATCGTGAGGAATTTATCACGGTTTCAAAACATTCCTTAAAAAAACATGACAATACTGGCCATGGCAAGAGGCAGATGGGAAAGTGATTATTATTACATCAAAACAACATCTTTTAGCCACAAAGCTTTTGGCACAACTTTACTGTTATACTCAAGAAACGATGCCAAACCATATTACGCCGCCACTGAATACCAAAGCAGCTCATATTTACTTCTAATACGAATCAATAATTTGGAAATATTCCATTTGAAGGCAGATCTATATAGCTACAGTCTACACACAGCTCTTGGTCAATAAGAAATACGGCGAAGGAACTGTTGTTTTAAGCCCCCATGGGACAAAGGCTTCAGTTCATGTATGTATGTACAATAATAGAAGATTACCTAAGACTCTGAAGGCCAAAATTAATAAAAATCTTTTCATTAGAATCGATTTTTGTCCTTAGCTATTTCTATTGAGTTTCTGTCAAAATCCTTGATCAGTCCAAAGGGTTTGGAACTAAGATCGGCTATTATTTTCAGAGAATTTCAGTCTTCGATAATATGCGTGTATAGATCGTATATAAAAAGTGATAAATACCTGGATCATCATGGATGCTCTTAAGGTCCGACTGAGCGGAGGTCTCAGACATGTTGTCGATGGTCATGTCTATGCCGGCATCTTCGTCTGAAGAGTAAGCCTGTTCTGTTCTTTTGTGCTCTGAAAATATGAAAAAAAGTGGTTAATAAATAAATAATATCCATGCTCTTCATTCCGTGAACCGAAGGTTTCGGCTATTTATTTAGGGGCAAGCCTATTTAAACCAGGAATAGCCCGGTTCCGCGCTACTACATAATTTTTGAAAGCTCAATAAGATATCGCCCGCGATTTGAACCTCAGGTCCCTAAGTAAGCAGTGGTACTTACCACCGTACGATCAAAATAACGTCCTTGGTTACTGAAATAATAATAATGTACGACATCATATACCTATACAGTACGTCACCACCCTGATAATGGAGGTTGCCGCCTGTTAATTTTGACGTCATCGCACAAAGGCGCGGAAGACAGGATTTAATGACAGTTTTCAAAAGAAGGCTTTTAAATATTGCTAGCCTTAAAAAGCAATCTACGCATTTCGAAATTATCGATTGGATTTTGATGACACTTGAGCAGGGTGTTCTGGGGGCGTTTTTGAGGGTTCCTCGTTCAAAAATCCACAATAACAGCACCCATATAAAGTCAGGGGATGTTTTTTACTTATTTTATTTGTATACAAAACTTGAGTACAGTAAGTACCTATATCGTACAAGGCGACCTTTTGGACATAATGGATAACTAAATTACAAAGATAATTTAATGTCCTGTATTATTCTCTACATTAGTACTGTACTCTAGTGTAATGAATAATGATATCCATCGCGTGTATTCGATTGGACAGAAGAATACCGCAATACAAGGTTTCATTGGCGCCACCCTGTCGTTGCAAATGTAAACTAAGAACCTATACCATGTAACTGCAATCACCTTGGCACTCACGAGGACTTATACTGGCCTCATTTGAATACGTCCTTGAATGGCCGTATAAAGCTGTTGCAGTATTCTGTTTGAAATATGGATTTATGCAGCAGTGCGCCATTAAAACCTGTTAAATCGTTCATGCTTATAGCCACTACAATTAGGAAATACAAGGTTGATTTGATACTTTAGGAGAAAATTAGGTATTGCGAAAATTTTTGGGAGTTTAGATGCTCTATGAAAAGCAGCGTTTTCTTGATGATTTTGATGAAATTCAACTTATTATTTGATACATTACAAGCCATTATGGTCTATAATGGCTTGTAATGTATCAAATAATAAGTTCCCATGGCACATTCACATAGAATTTCAATGTGTAATTTAACAGTAACATACAAAACAACAACATTAACATTCTCGTAGGCATTTCAAGTGTGTCAGTAGTTCAACACTTAACGTTACTCCATCAAATTGTTACATAATTTTTTAACCTTCTGTATTATTAGATTGTACTATGAACTGTGATCATTTAATTAGAGTTGTTTAGACAAATCATGAACACTCCAGGTATCTCATAAAACTTTGTAGTTTTCAGTTTTTTAAATAGAGAAAAATCATGAAGACTATATTTTAAACTGTATATTTTGGCTATACTTTATCTTAATTAGACTTGATAATTAGCATTAGTATTTCACAAACTAATTTACTAATTTACTAAATATGTAATTAAGTCTAATGACAAATTAATCTGGCAATATTCTTTACTTTTACTTAACTTTTTATTTCATTCAAACTTTCTAACATTACAATACAAATAACAGTGAGCTGTTTAATGAAGACTATGTCATGATTTTACTCTATTTATTTATTACACACGATAAAAATTTTGCTTGATAACATTTAAATCAGAGAAGGCTTGAGCATTTATCACCATAGCCTGCTCAATGCGGGTTTGTGATTACAAAATTATAATTAGAAATTATAAGCACAGGATTCCTCCCTATGTTTTCCTTCACCATTTGTCAGTGGTGTCTTGATAATCTTAGAAAGTACATAAAACTTGGAGAATGTCACATTGGTACTTGCCATTGGCAGGTTTCGAACCTGCACCCTCATGCATGAGAAGCTGTGTCTTAAATCTCTGAGCCACCACAACATCATACAATTAAATAATTTTACACCACAGTATAATGGTAACAAAACTGAGAACCAAATTATTTTGTTATTATTGCAAGTTGAAACTTAGCTGTAGTTCAAAATGTCAGACAATGATAAAAAGTTTGTATACAAAAACAAGGAAAGAAACAGTTGTGTGAAAAAAATGTCTACCCTGAGTCCTTGCTGCCAAAGAACAAGTTTTTTTGTAATCTAACCAGGTAAGGGACTGGTTAATACAAAAAATATACCATTTGGATGCAGCCATTTTGTATTTACTAACAAAAAGTTTGTTGGTAAACAAAATGGCTGAATAGAAATGCTTCAAAATTGCAATGAATAAACTGGCTTCGCTATTTTAAACTGAATATTTGGACAAGGAATAATTATCTTAATTAGACTTGATACTTAACATTAGTATTCCGCGAATTAATTTACTAAATATGTAATTAAGTCCAATGACAAATTAATTTGACTACATTCTTTACTCTTACTTAACTTTTTATTTCATGCAGACTTTCTAACAGTAAGCTGTTTAATAATCGTCTCAGATTGCATACAATTCATTATACAAATTTAAGTCAGAAAAAAATTAGACTACTTCGTAATTCAGGATTTAATATGATACTAGTATGTAAAGGTTGCAAAGGCCTTCAATTTGTAGCTTTATAGAGAGAATACTAAACATAGATAATAATAGATCTGTTGCCAAGCCCGTCATGACATAATGTGGAGTGACATTGAAAACGGACACATACAGCATACAGCCAAGCAATGTTTACATAATATTTTTCCAACAACAATGATTATTGTTGCCAGTAAGTACACAATGTTTGGGATAAAATTATTTAGGCTCTAAATTAATTTTCTCAGTGCTTACATGGTTTTAAATATGTTGTAGTGCTCTATTAGTAGGCCTTTAGGATTTATTTAATGCTAGAGATATAGTTTTTATTGAATATTGCAAATTTTGACTCAATGTGATATTTATTCATTTTAAAAAAATGGAGTGGGTATACATCTATTTATAATTGTAATTTGAATGTTTATGCAGAGTTGTAGGAGATAAAATAAAATATGTTCATAGAATTACTTATAGGTGACACAGAAGAGATCTGAGATTCATATGATATATCATTGAACATTCAATGACAAATATAACTGCATGCTTAGATGTACTACATATATTTAATGAGCAAGCCAAATAAACATGTTATTTTCTACTCTAGGAAGTAACTCATTATGTAAAATTATGTAATGTACAATCTAATGTTGTTAGCAAGGCCAATCATTATCATTTAGATAAATAAACCAAATGTCAGGCCGCAATCACGTTTGCCTGCGTCTATAGACAAAGCGTGACCACATTGAAATTGACATGTGGGCATTGCAACGTTATGAAACGTGAAAGTAAAGGTTGCGCCGCGATACAACACGGGGCTTGCGAAACCCCGCAATTACTTCTTGAAAGATTAAAACCTAAACATATGGTGATTTAGCAGCCTTCAGGCTGTTGGCATCCAGTATTGCGACCGTGAACAAATATACGTAAACGTCACTACGTCCCGCGGAAAGTCCGTCGCCACAAGGTCGCCGCGTGATCTCATTCTTGGCGGAACCCGAGCTCCACGCACCACATAACCAAACTCTTAACACTAAAATTAATCGAAACTTACCGTATTTTCCTTTTTTCTTTCCTTTAGGCATTGTGGATGATGTTTTTTTCGAACGATTACTTATAATAGACTCTATTTTATATAATTAGATATTCACTATGTATTTATTTAAACTAAGTATGTCACTTAATCAAGATGGAGAAAAGTTCAATATATCAGTTCTTGTTGAACAATCGGGGCACTGAATATAACATAAAACTAAAATTTCCGAAAAACTTTTTAACATGTTTAACCGTGTAGCATGCACACTATAAACTCCTGGCTTTGCGCAATGCGCTGTCACTTTTTGTCCATGGTGGGGGTAACAAATTACGCCATCTTTTTTCTAGTGTTGCCACTACATAAAGTTTTATTACCCCGTCAAAAATCTATTTCATGTAAAATAACAAACATATACCTTCAAAAAAAGTCAAAATTTCTGCCACATTTCATTATATGGTATATAATCAAACCCTGTTAATTTTTGAACCATATCAATTTAACTTGTAGGTTGTAAAATATGTATCAAAATGTTTACTCGTTTGTACCCCTGCTAGACAAAAATATTTTACCTGGTAACTCAGCGGGCTGCCGCGCGTCATTTTCAAAGGAAACCCGATGCATTAGTCACAAAAATTATTGTGAAATGTATTGACAGACGAATTTCATACGTTGTGTAAATTTTAATCAACAAATAATATTGCACAATATAATGATCTAAACGTCACTATACTCTATGAATTAAATAAATGATTGCATAAAATTGCACTTTTAAATGTAAATAAAATTAAAGTATTTTTTAAAAGAGTTCTTAAACTGACAATGTATATTTTTTTTAATGTTGGAAGATAACAAACGAAGTAGGATCTTTGTGAAACAAACATGCAACAAAGGAGTAACAATGGGTTTTCCAACCATGGAATGGCTTTTCGTATATTGCTTTACAGTAGCTAGGTAGGTACATTTTATATTTCCAGAAAATGTGTTTATATTTCTAGAAAATGTCTACTATTAAATAAACTAATGATGTTCGGATTTTTATAGTTAAAATCGGGACTTTATTTTGTGTAGAAAAAATGGAAATATGTAGGTATTCATCCTATTTCATTTACCTATGGCTTTTGTGTGTCCGTAATCGCAACTATCAAGCAATGGGTTTCGGGTTCAATGCCCGAGTCGGACTAATAAGTTATTAGGTGTTTGTTATAAAAGTAAGCATTAATTATTAAAAGTTTTTCGGAAAATTTTAGTTTTGTGTTATATTTCATTGTCTTCAAGTCTCGAGTGAACAGGTTGCTCATAGGTGAGTTCCATGGGCAGCTACATCATCGCTTACCACCAGGCGAGATGGTGGACAAGCGTCAACCTATCAAGTATAAAAAAATATGCCTTAGTTCCTAGCGCAGGTTCTTAGAACATGGCAATAGGCCCACCCCCATTGCATAGGAATCATAACACAACAGGTGTAAATCGGTGGTATGTACCTATACCTAACATTATTGTCCCTACATGTGGCATTATGTACATCTCTTGAAGGACAAAAGGCGTGATATGTATCAGAGACATTGTAGAACATTATAGAGGAGTACAATAGTAACGTAGTATATACAAGAGTAACGTTTATAGTTTCTTGCTCGTTCTTCTCCATTCGAATCTACATTTTGGAATGAGCACCTAACTTCACCTAGCTTCACTGACGGACTGACTGACAGACTATTATTTATTTTGTATTTGTTGACGTTTCAAAAATACCAAATTATGGTTTAATTGAAATAAATGCTTTGACTTTGACTTTGATAGTGATCTAACATAGATTGTGTAATACACCTTATTTATCTGGTCTATGGTGCCAAGCTTTTCGTAGATTGAAGATTTATACTAAGTTTCTTGCTATTTATTCATATTAAACATACATCACATTACGCCTTTTATCCCCGAGGGGTAGGCAGGTAGGCAGAGGTGCACATTACGATACTTAACGCCTCTGCACAATGTAACACCCAGTTTCCACTTTATTAAAGTTTCTGCCTCGTTGGCCGAGTGGTCGCAAGTGCGACTGCCGAGCAAGGGGTCTCGGGTTCGATTCCCGGGTCGGGCAAAGTATTACTGGGTTTTAAAAAATTCTTAGTAGTAGCACGGAGTCTGGAATTGTGCCCGGTATATGGCAATAGGCTCACCCCCTATTACATGGGACTCATAACATAAATAGTGAAAAGTGGGTGTTACATTGTACAGTGGTATAATGTGCACCTCTGCCTACCCCTTCGGGGATAAAAGGCGTGACGTTATGTGTAAAGTTTCTGCATATTTTAGCTTCATTTTTAGTATGGTAATGAGTATTGTATGTAACAGTTCTGGAATCTATGTGAACCTGAGAATTAAGTTCAATAAGAACAGCCACACTTTTTTTTCTCTTTGGCAACCGAGTCTCCAAAACGAAGTTGTCGACTATACTGCCAGTGTCGAGTGGTGAAAAACAGCCACACTTGCGACCACCTGACTTCACACCACTAACGTCTAAGATAGTGATATCGGAGAACCTAACGGGTAACCGGGGCTCCGGCTCGACGTGCAAGAGAAGGAACGGGGTGGTTTTTAGTCAGTAAGAGTCTGACACTCCCTCCCGCCTCACCCAGGCGGGAGCAGTCATTCGATGATTTTCCCCCCTTAAAAAAAAGGTAGTGATATTGTCATTGTGAATTGTCATGTAGGTAAGCCCAAATTTCGCCCTATTCGTTTGATTAACTCAGGAACCTGAGACTCTCAACAAACAAGGATCTTTATAAGATGAATACTTACTTATGCATAATTATACCGGTAACATAAGTACACCAGGAACATAATTTGCTGGTAATCATTCACCAGTTAAGCTAAATAAGCTCCGTTCATAAAAGGTTAATTACATACACTGAGTCAATAACCTTAATACTGTGTTTACCTGTGACAGTCGACAGTAAAACCATCTCCTATAATCATAGGAAGCCAAGAGGTGTTTCTAAACGTCTTCATTTCATCAACTATGTAATACCTACTTCTTTTATTTAGTTTTTGAGTCCCAAACCCTCATATCTAAGAATTTGCAAAATGTACTTGTAAAAATATTTTAACTGAATCCCCAACGATCCTCAAACTCCTAATCACCAAAAAGCCGGTGACGCACTTGTAACGCCTTTGGTGTTCCAGGTGTCCATGGGCGACGCCGATTGCTTACCATCAGGTGATCCGTCTGCTCGTTTACCGGCTTATGTATGCCATAAAAAAAAGCTGACAGACAAAATATGGAATATAGCTATAGTGGAAACTATAGTTTTTTCTTCTCCTCTTATAATATCTTCTGATTCATTTCGTTGCGGGAACCAAGACAGTTACTCATGTCCCTGGGACGCGCCGGACTTCAGTGTTCCGGTGTTTTCATGGTTGTATCTACTGTAGATCCTGGCTTACAGGAGTTGCAGCGGTTTTGGGAGGTTGTGGCGGGCTTGTCCCTATAAAAAAAAAAGACAAAATATGTGTATTTAAGTAAGTATTTCAAGCTTTACTTATTGGATTTTTAACCCTCGTTCGATGTGATATGAGTGTATATGTGTGTGATGTTATGATAGCCTACAGGATTAACTGGTTTCAATGGGAATAGCAACAGTGACTACTAACTACTTACAACATCGCTTGTAGGTATATATTTGATTTAAAAACTAGGAATTTTTAACACAAAAATAAACAAATATGTAAATTAAATAACATCATTTAATCATAATTATAGCTCTACATACATTGCACTGCCATAACACACATGCATCGACAAAATATTAATACCTATTTTTCACTGGAGTCAACTATAAACATACCTAAGAGGAACATGGTTTATAACGCTACGCATAAAACGATATATCCAATAAATATATCTAATATTACGCTCAGTAATCCTAAATGGCCGTTGGTTACATTCGAATTATTTCTCGCTTTAGGTGGTTCTTGGCTCATCTGCCCGATCTCACTCCACGAAGCTTTGTGCTCTTTCGAACCGTACACCCTCTCCTGTCTAAACTCCGCGCACTGCACTGATATCTTCGGCGGAACACCCATGAAAATATACCGAGAACTCTTCTTCTTTAAATTCACAGATCCTCGCATTTCTTCCACTTCATTCCCGTTTATGTACCAGCGGATTTCCGAGTCCGGAGACGCACGACAGTACGCCTGTATCATGTCTCCATCTCTGTACTCCTCAGCCAAACCTTCCAGTAACGGCCTCCGATGACCTTCACCATGAACCTCCATATGAGCCGTTTTGGTAGCAAACTTGTATGGAGGCACGTCTCTCTCAATGTCGCACCTGTACAAGCCGCTCGCCTCCGTAGTCAAAGATCCCAGCTTCAGGTGGCAATAGGAAGGACCGCAGGCCAGCATTTCTATCGTTCCCACCCCGAGGATGGGGAAAGAACGAGTGCTAGGTGTGGTGCCAGGACGATATCTGAAGAATTCGTGAGATCCTTTGAACCAGCTGAGTAGAGTAAAGTTAGCATCGTATCGACATTCGATTTCGATCTCCTTCTGGTGTGCAGGTACAACCTGAGGCACATGGAGGTATGTGATGTTGAAGTTCCTGGCGCGGGCGGCCGCGCACAGCGTAAGGAGCAGCGCCAGCACCAGCATGATGCCGGGACGCGCGCGCAACTCGCACTGCGCTTTCGCCCTAACCTAACCCAGCGCCGCTAACACGCTCTTAATTAAACAGTTTATTAAACTCCGACACTTAACCGTTGGACAGATAAACGGATCCCTCATTGACAATAGTGTATTTTTTTCACGAAATTTAATTGATAGACAAATTGGTTTCTATGGGGTGGTGGAATAACCGCCTGATGATATTATTGTAAGGGCTCGACCCTACTTTCTACTAATTTAAATGACGTTGTTATTTTCATTAAATTGAAATTGAATATATCAATACTCTTGTGCCCACTTGCCACAAGAGTACCATACCATATTTAAATTCCGAATTAGTTTCCAAATTAACACGAATAGAAATAATATTATGCAATGTTATTCCTATCGATATGCGCTCAACATTGCGCTCTAGTATGACTTATCGATATAAAAGTTATCGATGACCAAAATAACCTTTCGGATTGGAACAAAGATTTACAAACAATAAGAAATTATCGCAATGATTCAAAATAGATATTCCCAGGCATTTTCTTTGTATTACACAACTAAAGAAATATTAATCGCAAGCGCAACTTTATTCATGAGCGTAGATACAACAATAATATTGCGAAATAAAATTGTAATGTAAACAAGGGTCGATTGCGCCATAGAAAGAAAAAAAAAATCGCTCCAAGCAGTGACGGGTTACAGGCACCTCCTGGCTCTTGGTGAATTACGCACAGAGTGTGTCATCCAATTTTGTCAAATGAGACTTATGAACAAATAAAATGGGAGATATCCGTCGCACCGAGATTTTCTTAGAATAGTCCTGATTAACGTTGAAATTATGCTTTATTTAGTTGCACAGCAAAATAATAAGTGCTAAGTAAGTTAAGAGATGCTTAATAATTCATGCAACTGCAACTACTATATTCAAAGCTAACTGGTATAGGCCATATTTTTTTTTAATCTAGGTGTGATACTACGAACTGTTTCTAACAGCTACAGTTGTTTACTGCCGACCTATTAGATGACGTATCATCTGTGTATCGTCTCGTTTGTCTAGTCTCGCTATACTCTGCTGAATCACAGTGTAAGGTAAGCTAGACTTTAAGCCAGGATGCCAAAATTTAGTTATATTCGTTTTCTAAATGCAATATTTGCAATATTATACCGAAGGAAATTGTCAATTGTGAACTATTTTTTGGTATTTTTCATATCACATTATTCTGCATAAAATTATTTATTTACTGGAGATAAATATGAAGAGCATGCTGTGAGTCCTAAGTTTAAAACAATTTATACACAACATCTGGATTCAGTCTACAAACAAATCAATAAACATTTCAACAACCTGGTATTAGCACTTCCTAACGCAATATTAACACGCAAACTGCTCGTGATAATATTATCTGATTATCTTACACTCATACGCAGTTCTAGAGTCAAAAAACTTTCTTTACAAGAGGGTCACAGAGTGTCCGTGTGCCCACGCGCACATCTCGGAAACAAGACATTACAATTTTATTAGCAGTGATCATCTTAAGTGTTATCAACGTAATTGAATAATGCATCGCCATAGTGACCGCTGCCGTCTCTGTTTTGCTAAACGACCGTATCTAGATTGTTTTGGTTGGGTATTTTCTAGTCGGTTTTGTCTAGTCATGCTTTACTACTATAGTATTGTCTGTTTCATGGGATAGGTAACTGTGAAACGAGCAGACGGGTCATCTGATTGTAATCGTTCATTCTATGGATCACCAGCAATACCAGAAGAGTTACAAGTCCGTAGTCGGCCTTTAAAACGTCATACGGTAGGTATTGTTTTGTTTAGATGCACAATTAGATGCACAAAAAATGAACAACAGATTTTTATGTGATTCATCTTGATCGGGAATAACAATTATTACATCTCAAACATAAAACTACTCAAAGGATTGAAATGAACTGGACCCCGATAAATTATGCAGTTATTCACAATGTTTGACTGAAGAGAACGAGAAACGTTGGCTATGACAATAGTTTCATAATGATTTTTATTTTCATACTTAGAAGGTCAAGTTTGCAGTATTACAGATTTGTTGTTGTATGACTCATGAATTCGTCTATGACGTTTCTAAGATGTGTCTAGTCTAGAGAGGTACTTTTTATTATTTGAAAGTCAACTGTCAAGGTTTAGAATATTGTCAGAAGGAATGAGTGCTTGTAAATGTAAGAACAATTTTTTTTTGATGGCGGAAATTATCTAATGTCTACTCCAGCCTGGGTGAGGCGAGAGGGAGTGTCAGACTCTTACTAACTAAAATCCACCCCAGCCAGAGAGGGAATCCGTTACGTCCTCCGGGGCTCCGTATTGACATCACCCCTCTTGGGCCCTATCTGTGGTGGTCTGATGACACTTTGAGCCACGCCGTACTCTCGAGACATGGAAGAACTATGAGTTGAATTTCTACGGTAGCTTTGTTTGTTCTTTATATCTACTGACACCGAGAATATTTCTGATTTCAGGCTAATGTGCTGTGGCTGTATGAAACTATTCAAGTTAAATCCTTGTATGTGGACTTTGTACTCCAGATAAAAAGTTACTTTCCTCTTGCACCAGAAATACGATATAGACTAATGACATCACTAAAACATAAAGCTATTATCTAAAAAGGAGGTGCTTATCTTTGTGTTTCAATGAACTTGCAACAAGTATTGTCATTGAAATTAGTGAGGAATTCACGTTTTAGATAACGTAATCTTTTTGATAGGTTTTCCTGTAGCTGACCTTTTTTGCATGCCAAATATTACCCGGCTGTTTATTATCAAAGTACGGTATGATAACTATTAAGTGATTCATATACCTACATATACCAATTTGTTTAAGCGGAAGTATATGTTGATATTCGTTTAGTTTGGGGATTAGTAAAACGTGCCTAGACAATCAATTAGGTACTTTTCTTGATCAAAAATAAATTATTTCGACTATTAAATACCATAAAATGTTAAATATCATACTTTCATTAATTTATTTCATGACTAACTTAATTTTATTTTAATATTTTTCCAGCTAATTTTTAAGAAATAAATATGTCATTTGACTTTAAAAAAACGTGACTCACAATACACAATCTCATACAAAATTAATAGAAAACTGTCGTTTTTGACAGTTCGAAAAAAAGTATTGAATTTAAGTAGTTGTCAAGTACCCAATATTATATTAATATTATGAATAGTACAATGCTATTAACTATTTAGGTTTCATTGACTGTTTACTCATGCAACATAACTTTGAGCGAGCTTATATTAATTTGTTGTGCAACATATTTCCTAGCGCTATGAATGTAGGCTCAATGTTGCACAATGTTATTTCAGTGTTCGACGGACATGTTGCATGTACGAAAATATTAATCTGATTGAGTATTTATTGTTAAGAATTAAAGAGAGTATTTAATACCTTTGCTCAATAAAATATTGTGCAATATTATTTTTGGATAATGAGGCGTCTTAGCGATTGACACCCTTACGAAGCCATAGCGTGTAGCTATTACCTAATAATATTAATAGTACTAAATGTTTCAACAAACAAACACACATGTTTATTTGATATTTAATATATTTACTACGATCATCGTCTTAGCGGATGTTGCAATTCAACTGTACAAGTGCATAACAAGAGGAAGGGGAATAAATTGTTTTAACGATACTTTTTAATATTCTCGATAACCCTTGTGAAGATCGATAGGTTACCGTTTCAAAACATAATAGAAATACAACATACATTGATGTAATCATCAAATTAAATGATGATTACGAAACGGGTAGTAATAAAAGCTCCGACAAGAAAAGAAGAAGTGTCCTTACTGAAAATATTTAATCTACTGCCTAAAATACTAACTTTCCGACTACTTTACATGACTGTTTATTGCTACAATACTAACCTACCTAACCTAAAACGTCTGCTGTCGGTAACTTAGTAATTTTGTCGGAGGTTCAATATTCTATTCGAAATTTTAGTTTTGTTATTCGAAGATCCATTTTTATAGTCGGCCACAGATAGCTGGAGATTATTTTTTTTTTCGGAACCATTATTATTTTCCTTACGAAACTATTGTTTTCCTTGAACGTAGACGTACTGAAACTATAGTTTTATTATGGTTTTATGCGTTTTGATCTATTCTTGGAAGAAAATTCAAGCTAGGGATATCAGGTCCGATTCGTGACTTGGACTGCTTGGGCCTTATTATATTATATATCTGAGTACATACATAGAGACTTTGTTTTTTTAAGGGAGGAAAATTATTAATTTACTTCTTCCGCCTGGGTGATGCGGGAGGGAGTGTCAGACTCTTACTGACTAAAAGCCACCCCGTTCCTACTCCTGCACTTTGAGCCCGAGCCCCGGTAACCCGTTAGGGTCTCCGTGGCTCCGTTTCGGCATCAAAGTACATAGTGTAATAATATACCAGTTGTGTAATAACCTTATGTAATAGAAGGACAATTAAATCCTATGGTGTACAGCACAAACCAATTTCAAAATGTCATAGGTAACTGAAAAAGAAATGGTAAAGCCCGCCATTGTATACACATTTGTACATAAAGTGTTAAAATAAATAAATAAATAAACCAAAGATCATCTAACTAATTTTAGCATAGACCTACATTCATATTTTCAACTGCAGTCTACCATCTTACGAAGACAAAATGAAGATGTATTAAAGGACACAGCTTCATCCCATCTTCCGTATCACCGTGACAGACTCATCCTGTCTCTAACGAAATATGTCGTTCATTCATCCATTATATAGGGGAACTACAAATTGCTATATTTAATTGACTGATCATTAGCGGCTGGGATATTATGCGGGATACGGTAATTATAGTCATTTATTCATTATCAAGCACTTTTAATTTGGTTTGATTTGGTTACATTTTGGTATTCACGAAGTTGAGGCAGCTTCGCAACTAAAGTAAAAAAAAACAAACATTAAACACGTATTCATAAATGTTTTCTAAACTCAGTT